CTGAACATTCAATTAACAAATTTCTATTGGGACTAACTAGTTCGCAACAGAAATGGTCCCTTCGACAAGTATTGATATTTGAGTGACAACTCGAAATTGTAAATCTACTGTCAAAACGTCAACAAAACGGGAAAATATAACTGTAATTCTCATGAGAGTGACATTCAATGGGATTTATCTTGAAAATTCAAGTTACGTCTCAAAGAATGAGATAAAAGTTTCAGCACTCGATTGAATTTTCAATGGAACATTTCGGCTCTTTGAAAATTTCCACGACAGAACAACGCGATATATTATTTTAAAATAACTTCTTAAAATCTCTTTTGCAGTATTAAATTTTTCTTCCATATTCGTTTGAATAAAAATGAAAGATTGAAATAACAAAGAAAGATTGTCTACTGAAAATGGAAGAACTTCATTTAAACTGATGACGAATTCATTTGAATGAAAACTAGAGAGTGCAGTTGGCATCACGTGACTGTTAATCACAATTCCGACATATCCGTACCTAAAAGACGAAAGTTCATGTTGAACTCGACGTTACACAATCAGAGCCCTTGGTTGAAGGGATTTATACCGCGAATCTCCAAGGACATTGAAGATTAGGTAATCTAAAGGTCACATGAAGTAGGACATTACTAATTAAACAACCACAACCTTTGATAATCTCCTTTCCCACCAGCGATAAGAACTTATTCTAACCGAATATTTTCCTCCGTCTGTCCCAGTAAGATTTGCATATTCATAAAATTTCCCGATGGAATTCGCCTGTATTATTCGGTAACAGAGAGATTCTTGGATAACTGCAATTCCAACGGCTGAAGGACAATTTTCATAAAATTCTAGGTGCAGGAATATATCTGCGATACATGGTAAACTCGTGAGAACACTCGCACCCAATGCTATACTCCTCGAAATATTTAAAGACTCCGTTACTGCTGGATAAATGGAAAATTCAAGTGGAAAAATTCTTGGGGAGAATTCGCTCGAGTTGCACTGGAGTAAATAGAATTCACTTTGATGCATACGTGAAGAGTTTCAGTCTCTCTCGGTCATCCACTCACTTGTCTTCGTTTTTCCCTTTATGTTTTCTCATTTTCTTATTCTCTCATTGGACTTTCTCATTTCTAAGTCAAATCCAATCTGCGGAATCTACTCAAATATCCACGTACAATTTTTTCCCCATCGTTCAAATCGAAAGAAAAATGTTTCATTTAGGTGGTATGAAAAATTTTATTTGAAATTTCTCGAATAATTCAAATAAAGGTTTATAGATAATTAAAAAAATAATTATAATAAACATTTTATTTGATTTTACTGAGATAAAATAATGGATTTCCTTCAAATAAATTATTTTCCTGGGTGTCTTTCGGAAATTGACGAATCAATGAGCAATTCATCGAGACCCTACATAGTGGATAAAACGAGATTAAAGTGATGGACTTGATGATCATGATGATGAATCCGTAGAACCCGGAATGCTGGACAATCGACAAAGGCAATCTGCCGATATTCGCCCTATAAATTCACGAGGAAATGAAGCAGAGATTCATCAGTAAGCAATAAACGTACTGGGGTGAGAGGTGCACACGCTGGCTTTTCCGTTCGATAATGACAGTTAACTAGACACATGGGCATGTAGCTGATGAAACAATTACGAAATCCGTCGCACCTAGTTGGTCCCTGGATACTGAAAGTTTATTAAGCTACCATTTTATCCCTCGCGTGTTCCATAACTAGACAGCTGGGATGAAATTGCCATTTCCTTTGGTCCCTGCTGAGGTGCGCCATGATGAGAAATTTTTTCAACTCCTGCACCTCCTCTTTCTACTTAATTGTCCACGAAAAAAAAATGTAAACACTTCACCGGAAAATTCAAATTTTTCTATCGACTCTTCTACAGTTCTACGATCCAGAATATTTACTAAAACTAATTTCGTGGGGTAATTAATGAAGGCATCAATTATGAATAGAAAGAATTGAACAAATTCAGATTTCGAAAATTTAGTTTCTTTAAAAATTGAAGAGTTATGAAAATGATGAGTAATAAAAATGCAAGGAAAAATTCATCAAATCGTTTAAAAACCTGATGCTGCCTCATTATTGGGATAATTCGATTTATTTCGATACATAAAGCCTTCACGACGTTAAAAAATACACGAATCTTTGAATTGGATCGTAAAGTTGAAACCGAATTTATATTCGCGATTTCGTTACGCATCACTTTGAGCTGCATATATTGAAACATAAAAATTTCCGAAATATTCGGTTTTATGCGATGGTAATGCCCACACAGAAGTTATATTCATATAAACCCACCGGTGTGTGCATTAAAAGAGCTCATTAAAAACGAATATTCATAAGAAATTAACGGTAATCCTCGCATTTCAAGCGAAATCCCCTCAGGAACAGAAAAAATGTTTAAATCTACCCGGAAACAGTTAAAAAATTCTCCATTGCAGAAAAGAGGATTTAATAAACCCCGCAAAATAGATGCTTCTGGAAAAATCCCTCAGACAAAGCCACTCCAGAAGATTTGCTGAATGTCGACGGATAAAGGTCTCGCATCTCTCCGCAAAAACCCGATAAATGTACATTCAAAGAATAACAATGAAATTCAACTTGTTTTCCCTGCGAATTGAAACTTCAACAGGATTCCTCAAGTTCCAGAAGTAGAGCGCGAGATCGACAGAATCGACAGAAGATTTAATGATATAATTGCAGGTTCTCTGCAAAAATGAATATTTAAATTCACGGATCAATTTTTGGGAAACTTTTTACTTTTGGATTCCATTCTGGAAAACTGATAATTTTTATCACATTTTTCTCTCCGTTTATCCATCGGAAAACCCCAAATCTACTTATCTACAAATATGACGAGAATTAAATTTACCCTAAACGCCTTGGAAATTGAAACTTCTCAACCCCTAACCCCCAGAACTCGGTGATGCGAGGAGAATTTTCTCCCTGAGCGCAAAGACATCAGTTGCAGGAGAAAAAGAAAATAATCCGAGATAAAAAACGACTCTTGCCAAAGAAGATTTACTCGATATAAAAAACCGTCCTCTCAATTTAAAGAATCGTGAAATCTCGTGATATAATTATCTCCGCTCATTGAGAAAAAAAAATTCCCCAACAAAAAAATAATCCTCTCCGATTACTTAATTAAAAGAGTAAAAAATTATAATTATAATTATGAATAGAATTAAACTATTATGATTATAATTATCAACATGTATTCATATCAACATATACGAATAGCATATTTTTTTTTCATGGAGAATTCAGGATTTGATGGATTGACATGAGAACATTTTCTTGCATAAAGTAAATTTTCTTCGTGAAAAGTACTTTTCTTTTCTGTGGATGTGGGGGATTGAAAGTGGGGCGAGAGGAACCGAGAGAGGCTGAATGCAAAAGGGAGAAGAGAAAAGGGAAAAGGGAGTGGAGTGAAAAAAAAATAAGAGAGGGAGAGTGAGGATAGCCCCCGAGCTGTATCGATTTCCTCTTCTCCAACTATGACGTCATCGACTGTATCCTCCCACTTTGCCATGAGATACGTGTAGAAGTTGTCAAGGTGGATCATACGATCTCTCACCCCTCAATCGTCTTTCATCCCTTCATCTTCACCCCCTGACTCCTCTCTCACCCCTTGCCACCCACCGCCACCCATTCGTTCGCTACACTTTAAACGTTTTCCTCTCTCTTTCATTCATGCAATCAAATTGATATTAGAGATATAGCAGTGTCGATGCCCTTGAATCTTTTTTTTCCAACTCCAAAAATCGGAAATTCAAATCAAAGAAAAGTATTACAAATTTTGAATTATGTCTAATGGAAATTAATAATTTCTTTAATTTATCCAATTTCATGCTTCTTTGTTGGATTGAAATTGATAAAAAATTCGTTATGGAAAATAGTCGATTTATGTTGGCGATTTGAAATGAATATTTGTATTTTATCTATTTCGATGAAATTTATTGATTTTTTCCGGTTGAATAATTCTCCCGTTGATCCGTTTATGTCAACGATAATTCTTCGCTATAAATTGCATTCTACCGTAATCGTAAACAGGAATCGATACGAGTTTTATCGGTTGTCGTCTCATTGAGTCAACCAATGACTCGGGTAATGGCTCAAAGTTCAACCGAGGAGAGGATGACGATCGATAGAAAAATAGAATGAAATTTTCTTTAATGAAATTGTGGGGTAATCAGGATGCGATTATTCTCGCTGTTGATTGAGACTTTATCAATCTTCGCGAACTATTTTCGTGTTTCAATATTTCAACATGCTGTTTGATAACTTGGACTTGATGGGGTATTTCATGCTCGTACACAACTCGGATAAAATTTCACACGCCAGCGTGAATTGCCGTTTTTTCTTTCCACTCTTCCCCCCCGTTGTATCAGAAAAGATACGATATACGACCGCCTAGGTCGCAAAGATAATAAAATGTAGATGGAAATTCTCCTCCCCCAAAAGCTTTTATGCGGGTGGTGGAGGAAATAATTTTCTTTTGATGATAAAATCATGTCACGAACAATGAGATTTAGATTATTTCGAGGTGAACGAAAAAAAATAATTTTTCGTTCAAAACCGTCGATTTTTGTCGCTCCTCTCAATTCATTTTTTTATCATTCATCAAATTGATCATAACTCAAAGTCATAAAAATCTAATTTAGATCTTCAACTCGATATTTTAAATTAAATCGAAGCTCATCAAGAAAATGTTTTCCCCGATTTTTTTTAGAGAAATTTCCCATTTTAATTGAATTCGCAATGTTTTGATTTTGATTGTCAATTTCCTCACTACAAATAAAGTAGCGGAGATTCAGATTGACTGCATAAGTAATTCGAATTATTGGCGGCAAGAAAAGCGAATAAAAGTGCCGCCAATAAAAAAATAACGAAAACGACAATGAGAGATACATGAATTTGCTTGAGGGTGAGAAAAAAAAGACAAGAGCTCTGAAATATGCAAGATATTTATTTAAACATTATTCTACATCTGCATCAGACACATTTGATTGGTCCATGACAGCTTCTGCCTGTTCTCCTCCAAACGAACTTCCATCACCGAATTCTGCACAAAAGCACTCGTTGATAATTATCCCAGAGCACGAATATAAATTCTCTCACCAGCATAAAATGAATTCCTCAATTCATCGTCGGAAGGTACATCATACTGAGGCCTTTGGAGATCTTCAAAACCAGGTGGTGGTAGAAGACTCTTGGCTCGCAGTGGAATAAAAGAAATACTCCGTTTACTCTCAAGTACAGACCTCATCCTCTTCTTCGTCAGTTCCTCATTGTTCCTACAACAATTTCTCACTTATTCATTATTATTTTCTCGTTGTCAACTCGTTGTCGACTTGATAAATGAGGAAAGAAATGTTGAGAACGGTGAAAAGAATTGTTGGAGAAAAAGATTATGAGTCCAAACAAATTCGCTCAAGTTTTCTTTCGGTGATGTTAGAGGAATTGTGGGTGAGAAAATCGATTCATAAATGACAATGGGAGACTGAGTTGTGGAGAAAAAGCCCTGGAATTGATGGTGAAATGGTTCTAGGGGGAGAAGGTTCAATCTTTCGCTTTCTTTTTCATGTGGATTTTTACGCTTTCTCATCGTTCGGAGATTTGTCCTCGTCGTTTGATATTGAGTAGGTGAATTTATCGACGAGAAATGGGAAAAGTGCTTGACTCCTGGCTTAAGGAATATTGCCATGAATTTTCATGTTGATGAATGGCGTTGTGAATGGCTACAGGATGTAATGGAAATGAAATTAGTGGTTATTTCAATTAGACTCAAAGGGAATTGTCAAAAAACGAAGGATTTTTCAGAGAATTGGAGTAATTTATGGAGATACAATTGCTATTGAGTTATTCATTTTGGAAGAGTCGTTGTGGATTTGTGGAAAATTTTATGTAAAGGGGTTTGCCAGTTGTGTCAAGAGGAATGTACAATCCGAAGTAGCACTGAACGGTTTAACAGAACAGTTTTCCAGGTCTTCCGAGAGGTCATGAATCTATGCATTGTCGAGAGTATCTCCTGGGTGTAAGTAAACAGGACTGACAATCAATTCGGAAAGTTTTTGGCGTTCTGCCAGGTGTCCACAGAGTTTTACGAGTGACACGACATTCAGTGATGAGATAATTGCAGTTATTCATGGTTCTAAATCTTTCCAGCTCGCTTTATTTTTTTTTAAACTTCTCCTGTCACGTGCCATGGGAAAACCCGAACGAAAATTCGGCAAGTCATCGATTCCGATGCGCAGATTGCCTCAATAATTAACTGGTGTAATTCAATTATTTGTTCTCATTAAATCGTTTTTTTTTTCAGGAACGAAAAATAACAAATTCACGAATGTTTAATGATTTTTGTGGAGCTGGTGTGTTATTGTTGAATGACAGGATGACTTGTTGTGCACACAGTGAGTCATCGATTTCTGTTTCGTCTCGGACTTGTTATTGAATTTTTTTCCGCGTAGGGAAATTCCAGCAATTGATGAATTTTATAATGATTTTGAGTCTCAATTAAAAAGGAACTCTATGATATTTTGTAGTGGGGAATATTATCTTCAGAAGATCGACGGTGCAATAAGCAAACAACTCAGGACAATCAATTCCTACGAGTCCTGGCTTCCTTCCAGAACTGTTCTCCCCAATTCTCAATTTTTTTTCGTCCGCCAAGCGAATTTTACTCCGTTCTTTAATATTCCTTTTTTGGGGAGATTTTAAAGTAATTCATATCGCTGGGGGCTTCTTGTTGGTCGCGTCCCTGGCAAGAGTTCATATGAAACTCATGAACTTTTTTTATGTTTTTTTCCCTGAACTTTAGCGGTGGAAGAAGCCAAGTGGCGACTATGATGGAGAAAGAGTTGAATTCAGGCCATTATATTTTGACCGCCGTTAAATCACTAGAGAGGTTCACATTCATCATCCCAATTTTTTTGGGGATATTGGAGGCAAAGTTGCGAGATACCGTAAGTCAATTTCGATAAAGAAAATCCATAAATGTGTGGTGGAAATTGGGGTCGCACTTATCACAAAATTTGATGACTGCATTATTTAAATTGTACCTTTGAACGCTTTCGTTGATTAAATACTCAGACTCTTTCGAAAAATTGCACATTCTCACATCCAATCCTATTATCTGAGGACAACTTTTCACAGCGATATCTAGTGCTTCACCAGCTGTAGTTCAAGAAGAAAATATAAAACTTAATTAATCGATATCCTTAATTCCTAAATTTAAGTTGCAAAAAACTACTCACCTATGGGCCCCATATTATTATTTGATATATCAATCTGTAAAGACGATATTTTGGTGTATCCGGAAGCGATAACTTCCGCCAAGGCCATTCCAGTTTCTGTTTTCAAGCAACATCCACTGACATTCAATATCTCCAAGTGTTTCACTCGTAGAATCACTAAAACCCCACGAAAATTTCATCAACATAAGAGTCAAAATGATTGAAACTCAGGTGAAAATTACGTGCGGCTATGTGAGTGCCTCCATCATCTCTCAGTGGATTAAGTCTCAGATCTAAATGTCTCAAAGGAGTAGACGACTCCTGCAGAAGTCCATGAACAATTCCGGATACTCCATCCGCGCGAATGTCATTGTTGATTAAATATAGTTCCTTCAGACGTCGGTGCATCTTCAAAAATTCACCGATTGCATGAGCACCGGTGTCTTCTAGCTTGCAGTGGGATAAATCCAGGACTTGAATCTGGAAATATTGAACTGTATGTAACCAGTTCTACCTTCAATTCGATGGAATTGGTGAGCGGATATTTTTGTTTTACCACACGGAGTGATAAATATTTACTCACATTGTTGTTCACAACGATCCCCTGGAGCAATGCTGCTGCACGCGGCTGATCTAAATTGCTCCGGGTTATACGGATCTTCTCCATTTTTTTCGCATTTTTTATACCTTTTCCAAGATTCAGACAATCCTCCACTGAAAATCTACAGAAAGTATTCTTTGCGTGTTAAAATGCATATTTATTCCGCAAAAAATTCACTTATCTGTAGATTAAAAAGTCACAAGTTAAGACTTGAATTTATAAAAGAATTCACTCAAGACTGAAAAATTGACAAGTCTTGACTGAGAGCTCCATGAAATCAGCGGATGATTGATGACGAAAACTCAATGAACTTTGTATACGAATATTTCTGAAAAGGTGGCCACCGACTTTCCGCCAACTTAACCCGACGATCGTTCTCGTGTTATAAATGAAATCCGATGAAAAGAAATACAACTCACTCAAAGTCCCGCCACTCGAAGCCCTCATTCATGTAAATCATACCGAAGTTGAGTCGCAACTCCCGGAGTTCAGTCAATTTCGGTACAATGACATCCATGGGGATGTGGTGAACCGGAAAATCAGCGGCTGTGCACTGATCCTCATCGTCATCTCCCGACCACTTGAACGGATATCTTCAACAATGAAACGAGAAAATTATGCGGCCATTGAGAAACTCCCGGGTTATAAGATCATTGTGCGATTTACTTGGATGGCTGCAATGAGCGGATGGTGAGAGTACTGACGTATGGCTGCACAAGGTTGATAAGAGCCTCGCACTCTTCTTTTTCAGATTCAACATTCTCAAGTGACTCCAAATACTCAGTGAGATGACGCTCGCAATAAAGACGTCGCCAGGAGTTACCGTGTTCATTCGGATTATTATGCTCCCACCTGGATGTCACATTTTTACCGTGTCATCACACATTTTATTAAAAATTCACTCCACTACGCGGAAATTCCTCACATTTCTTGCGTATTCCGTACTTTTTTATAAATAGAAATTCCCGATAAAAGATACTGATCATATAATATCCAAGTTTTCTCACTATCGTCGATTCTATCAGAAATAGAAAATTTTCGTGGAAATCTTTTTTGTAGCTCTCATTCCATTCCACAAAAATGATCTTAATAAAAATTTCGATTTTCCCCTTAGATTCAGAGATATTCTTCTCTTGCTTCTTTGCTTTTCATTGATTATTAAAAAATATAAATGTTATTATGGAAATTGTATGAATCGTTGAAGTTGTTGTATTTTGTTTATCAACTTGTTTTTGATGTGAATTCCGTGAAGATGGAAGTTCTCACCTAGCTTTTGCGGCCCGTGACCAGTAATACTCATACGGTATTTTCTGAATAATGATTTCAAAGGGGAGATCAGCTGGCAAGAGTTCCAAAAGTGCATCCCTGTCAACGGGACTGGGGAGTTCTTCAAGTACAGGCATGTGAGGCCACAACTTCAGCAAAGCACGGAGTGCTAAAGTTTTCAAGTCAGACACAAGTGATTCATCCCATGTTTCATTCTCCGCACGAATGCTTCGATTTTCGGGTTCCAGCAATAAAGTCTGACCCGAACATCTGCTCCGATACAGAGAAACTAAATTTACAGGCTCTCACTAGATCAAAGAATTACCGTAACATTTTTCTATTTTCAACATTCGCCATTTATTCATGAACGCAAGTGAATTTGTTTATCTAGTCGGCGCACGGAGAGAAAAATTCAGTTAAAATAACGGAGAAATTCGCGAAATGGAGAATCCTTATTTTTACCGAAGACGTAACACCTCACAGGCATTCGTCGATTTATTATGCCTTTGAAATAAAAAATTCGCGAACGTCCAGCAATTTTTATGAAGCTGGAGTTATTTTTACGTTTCGTCTCGTAAAATTGTTCACGTTTTTCCCGGTGATTTTTATTCAACTTTTCTCTTCGTGTGAGAGGTATTGGTAGCTATAATATACCTGTAGGCCTCGATGACGTTTTTCGAGATTGTGTGGGGAACTCGCATAATTTTCCTGTAATTTTCTCGTTGCTCGCTTGAAAATTGAATCAATTAACATTTCATTTGTTTTACTATTAATAAATGGATTTTTAAATAGGTATTCAATAGAAAATCGATCTAGACATCAAGCATCTACAATTTTTATCAGAACTCTAGATGTTTAGGTGATAGCTATAGTGTATTTCAATTTGACATCCTAATTATTTTTCTAACTATTCAGTTAATGAAAATAGTCCGAGGTGATTTGACTACTCGTCGGTTTTTTGTGAATACCTCAAAATCTAAAAGAGATATCAAAATTTTCATCACAATCTTTTCTGTAGTCCATCGTTTTCTCTATAAAAAAGGACATCACCAAAAATTGACTATCTCTCTTAGACTCAGAGATATCCCTCAAAAACCCAAGACCTGAGTGATTAAAAAGATATTAAAGAAAACTGATAAGTCATGATTTCTTTTATTTGAAGGAGTGTCCTGAGGGTGTGGTCCAGGAGGACTCATTCAAGGACATATATGCCAAGTTCTTTCCACATGGAAGTGAGTAAATAGTAACTTTCTTGTTGTTTATAACTCCTTGATGGGATTCGATGGAATAATTACAGATTCGAGCCTCTACGCGCATTACGTGTTCAAGGCCTTTGACGTTAACTGCAATGGGGCCATCAGCTTTAGGGTAATTTTGTTTAGAAATCTTATCTCTAATAATCCAGTGAATTCATCCCACGCACGAATAATCCGATTTTCTATTAAAGACAATTTTTCACTACAATCGACAAGAAGTGAATAAATTAGCCAATCAAAGTCCAACGGAATTCGCTGAATTTTCCGTGTAAATCTCGGATATTGTGAGAGAATTCAATATCGAGATGTGAAAATGACTCTCTGTCACTCGTGGATTGACAATCGTGCGATGCATTCACAGCGATAAGATGTATCAATTTGGGGAGAACGAAAAGATAGACAGTAATAGAGAGAGAAATGTTGTGAATGCTTTCAGGATCTACTGGTGACTCTCTCGACTCTGTTACGTGGGAGTATATACGAGAAGCTCAGATGGACATTTAAGCTTTATGACATAAATGGAGATGGTTGCATTACAAGGGGTGAACTAGGGGAAGTCGTAACAGCGGTGCATGAGCTCATGGGGCGAAAGCATCCAGCTGAGGAGGAAAGAAAAGCCAGGGAACAGCTGGACAGGGTCTTCGAGAAACTCGATCTCAATCACGATGGAGTTATAACGATAGAAGAATTCATCGAAAGTTGCCTTAAAGTGAGTTTTACCCTAATTTTAAGACTTGTCTCAAATTGAGACTATCAATAATCTTCAATTTGCACAAGTTGAATTGAGGACTTGGAGAATTACCTTCTCCAATGAAAACTGAGAAACAATTATGTAAAGGATCAGTAATTTTGTTGAGAAAACATTAGAATAGTCCTGGAGGGTGGAAAATACGGAAAATTAAGTAGAAATAAATGATTGACTGAATGCAGGACGAGGTCATCACCCGGTCACTGGCAATGTTCGACTGTGAACTTTGATCTCCGGTGAACATTAGCCCTACGAGGTCGGCAGCCGGTGTAACACCAACGTCCCCAACCTCGGGTGCAACCCAGTCACTGACGAGCTCATCCCCAACACCACCGCGTTACACCTTACTACCGTCATTACCAGCACCAACGATAATCGAAGATCCGCTTATACCAATCCCATTGCCACCACAGACTGATAATCGATCGGAGCCAATGCATCCACCGCCGGACTACATGACTGTGCAACACCAGGAATCCTTTCGTTTTCGTGGATCGCACTGGTGGGACCAAACTGATGAGCCACTCTTCTGTTGAAATTTCATCATTCAACAATGACAGAAAATATTACTCTGCCAAGTAAATCTACTAATTACAAGATTATCCATTTTAAATGATATTTACATACATTTACTTGTGCCAAGTAAATTTACTTGGCAGGAGTCATTTCATTGATCAGAAGTCATTTCATTGGACTCATCAGTTGGACGAGTCAGTCATTCAGTCCAATTTAACGAGGAATAAATTATAATCAAACGCTATTGGGAGGGTTGTCGGTAATCTGTCGATTGATCGAAATTACTCGTTCGGGATTCACTGTTAGAAATTCAAGCGGAATTATGCGAGAGAAAATGTCCAAAATTCTGCCAGAAAGATTAATTAAATATTTTTAACAGTAATTTCGTGGAGCACGATGTGTTCGCCATTTCTATCGCAATCTCAATCCAAAATCAAAATGATCGATACCACCGCAACCTCCTCAATCGATAAATAATGAAAAATCTAAACGCCAGAAACGAAATCCAAACTCAAGGACATAATGAAGAAATTAATGTGAATTTAAAGAATTAACAGCGTGGAGTAAATAACGAATTGGAGATCACCACTGGGAGAGTCAGCAATTGCACAATGGCTCTCTTGAGATTGTACCTGTAGAATTAAAATAAAAATCTAAAAAGACGATTCAGTAGTTATAGCGTAGGACCTGTGGGTCATGCCGTAATTTTCGGTTAAGTCGCAAATAAAATATTTGTAAAAAAAACCCTATGGTATTCGCTAGGAAATTCTCTCGAATTCTCGTTTGGAAAAATTTTCATATAATTCTCACAACTTTGATTTTCGGGGAAAAATAAGAAAAATTCGACAGAATTGTGGAGCGAATGTTCGGTTTTTGTACGAAATATTTTCATGCGTGCAACCAGTCGGTGAATTACAATAATAATTATCGAATAAAAACATGATGAGTTTCCGGCAGTTCAAATGAAATTCTGTCGCTATTAGTATCTTTCTGTTCTCCGTCTGTAAATATTTATTGCCTCCACTGATGAATTAATGAATCAATGAATTATGCATTTAATCGTTTTAATTTGGCCGTTCGAATAGTCAATTCGATCTCCACTTGGATATTGATTATCGTTAATTGCCATTATTTATCTATTCATTGGTTAACGTCGAAGTGATTCATATTATAATGTGCCAAAATAGTTCACATTAGCCAGTAACTTTATTCATTAATTAGTACGGATAATGCGTGAGTGTTAAATTATATTGTACGCGGCTGTGAATTCGAGCATCTCGATGGAGGTTTGCCAAGGGTAATAAACAAAATATAACATGAAAATAACGCAGTTAATCGGAAGTGACGGCAGAGGGTTCAGCCACGATTTTGTAATTATGCAATAATTAACGAACGAGTAAAAAATATTTAACGACATTAAATGCTCGCGTTGCGAGCATATGAAATGAAGATAAAATGTTCATTTTTTTTTATATTTTCCAAACGCATGCGAGAGATATTGTACTCCGATTTCTTTATTTTCGATCAAAAAAACACGCGAAATGTTAAAAAAGAAAAACTAGATAATAGATAAGTTGTTATAGTAAAATCGAAATTAACGTCGATATTCGATGAACAGTGAGTGCCCTTAGAGAAACTATTTCCAATTTCAAGTAACTGGTGATTAAAAATTCAGAGTAATTGTTTACGAATGATTATAGGTTTTCTATTGCTATTTACTTTCTATCACTCAATCCTTATCAATACTTGAGTAAAAATGGTATTCTGTCATTGCATTTACATCAATAAACTACGTTGATTGTAATTGGCAGATCACCCGAGTGTGTTACTAGGAAATTCCAAAAATACATATTTTAAAATTAAAAATGTAGAGTTACAAGGGACTTTGAGTCGGTTCCCCAACATTTTGTTAGATGAATTAAATCAGTGTTTTTAAGGTTGAATAATGAGAAACTAGGAATTTATAAACAGCTGAGAATAGCTGGAAAATTAATTAGACTGCGTAAAATAGCTACGAGGAATTTTTTCATATCACTGAGAATTTTTCGTTCTCCCTCGACTTGATTTGACATGTAGATGAAGAATTTACGATTATGGAGTAAGTGAAAATTATAGGGTAGTTGTTTAGATACTGTTTTTTGGTATCTCTGGCTGTACTCGAGTTGAATCATCCTGTTGAGCAGCCTTATCCGATATTTCGATAATTTCTGGAGAACAATTACGTCAAGTAGAGAACAAATCAACATAATCTACGATTAAATGGGGCCGAATGAATTCAGTTGTGGACACTCAGAAATCAAATTTTATTTTCAGGCTTACGATCTCAACTTGAGATTTTCCAAACAGCACCATAAATTTTGATTTTTTGGGTGGAATTGTGAACATGAGGAAATTCCCCTAGCCCTCAATTTTCTACAAGAATTCTGATAGAAAAATTGAAAAAATGGAATCATTGATATTTCTCTCCGAAAAATGGTTATTTCCATCGAATTGTATAGCGCAGAATAATTCGAATTTTTTTGAACAATCTGTCAACTCTTTTTTTTAATTTTCCCATCGCACCACTCCGCAACTGAACTACTTAGACTCTTCCCTCAGAAATCAGTTTTGTCAATGAATAATTAAATATGTAATGACGTCACCCTCGGTGACGATAAACCAAGGAAAAACTGAGAGCGTAATCGCAATATTTCAGAACCTTGAAGATGTAAAAGAATCGTTCAACGCCATACTGCCTCACGATAAAGAGAAAAATTAAAAGAACAAGATTTAAATAAATGAACCGATGTTTTTTCTATAGTTCACATCAACGACGTGTCTAGCGTTAAAGGCCACAAGTCATTAATGAAGTCATTACCACTTAATCGGATCGAGCGAAGTAATAGAATAAAAGATTTTACCTCACATCTCAACACTTATATCTGGCGTTTCCCTAGGCACGAAACCCTTCATTCTCATTATTGAATTCATGGTACATTAATTGACTCATTAATTTTGTAACATTCGTTCTTAATGTAAGCAGAGAGTGGACTGTTGATTGAATGCGAGAAAATGCGAGCGTACGGGTTCTAAAGTGCGGCTGAATTTTCGATGAGGTAATGAATCTAATGGGTTGATTCATCGTGAGACATCGACGAATGTACAACACCAAATCACGGGTTTTGGAAGGGAGTAGACAATCGATGCGAATTCAACTTTATCAGATATTTCAGGATTAGCGAAAATTCTTTTAATCAATAGAACTACCCAGAGTCAACAAAGGGGATGAGCGAGTAAACTTCGCAAAGTTTTGCAATAATTTTATCGAGAGCGACTTAATCTCCTGAGAGACAACTCTTATATCGAATTCGATTTAGGAGAAGATCCCTTAAAAAAAAACTCCAATTGGAAATCGAAGAATAAATTACGAAAATTTTTGCAATGTTTATCGATTTTCACAGAATACTCGTGAATTTTCAATGGAAAATTACAGCTGAAAATGTTGACACACTGAAGATACTTTCGATTCGACTCTCCCCGGATTACTAGAAACGCTGAGATAAGATGACTTGTAATCACAGAAATCACAGTCTCTCAATTGGTCAATTAAAATGTAGAATCGATACTTAAAGTCCTGAAAATAAAACACGTAAGTCCAGATATAAATTATTTCTCTCCCGGATTCAGTAGTGAAGTGATAAAATGATTATCAATTCATCTCTACTCATAACTTCTCCGGAAAAATAATTTTTATCACTGAATTCCACATGCCCATTTTCTAGAACAAATGTGTTCGATTAATTAGACAATTTTTTGAGGATATAAAAAATATCTCCAAAAAAATGCATGATCTTTGTTTAATTCCAATGGATTGTCTTATCACTTCTCGCCAGAATCCAGTGCATTCAACTTCATTTGCTTCACTCAATAGAATTATTATTCAAACGCTCCGCCTCTGGTAAAGAGACAAACTAGAAATTCAAAAAAAGCAAAGTTTATCTGTACTTAGGTGAAAATAAACTGCTGAGTGAGTACTAGAGCTATAAGAATAACGTACGAGTTTGTGTGCAATTATCAAAAAGTAATTTGTGATTAGCCAAAGATTTAGATGACTAAAATCAAGAGGATAATTAAATCATGAATATAAGGCTCCGGTCGGGAGTATCTCGTTATGCTCACAAGAATAATCAAGAAAATTATATCGATTTCTAAAGAAAATGAAATGAATCCTTTAGTGAAATTGCGTGTAATAAAGAGTTGATAGACAGGAACGGTGTTATTGATTGGAGGAATTCAATTTCATTTCAGTAGTGAAGTGTCAAAATGAAATAAACTTCAACTTGAGATGAGAGATGAATGAATTAAATATCTGTCAGTGCAAATTCTCTCATTTCCAGGTGAAATAGTCTCATCATTTTTTATCGCTTCACTGTTGACTTACGAAATGGCCTATTCGGCAAATTCCTCTGTTCGTCAGTTAATCTTCAAATTTGTATGTTATGAACAAGAACGTTACCTCTAGGTATTACTTATTAAAGAGTGGAATCATGATGTTAAATAAATTGTTGAGTGCTCCTTCTTTTTAATAAAAAAAAACAGCTCATGTTTCCTAAATTATTTTCCTCTTTTCTTTCTCACCTTTTCCTGTTGACTTTTCCCGTAATGCAACTGAATTTTTTGGATGTAAACAAGGGAAGTGCTATGGCAACGATAACAGTTGCGTCGTGGAATGGAGAGAAAGAAGGAAATAAAATAGGAGAAACACAGGGAATAATTCAGCAGCGAAGACGTCAGGGACAACAAAACAAGGAATAGAATAGAGATAGCGGAATTTTTCTCGGGATCTTTTTTGCAGACTGGAATGAGAACTACAAAAGAGATTTTCACAAAAATTTCGTTATCTCTCTTAGATTCACAGATATTGCTCAAAGCCTTACGTATTGACTGCTGAATTATTCAACATTTATATTTTTGAAACGCAAATTAGGATAATAGTAATTGAAAAACGCACGATATTGGTAAGTTCACGAAACTAATTTATTATGGCAATATTCATCGTTGTTTGTTACATAAATGAATAACATTTCGTTGGCTACAATAAATACAAAATTAATTAAACAATCCAATGAGTAAATTCAAAAATTTCATGATATCGGTCATAAACTAGGCGAACCTTTTACTCTGAACAGAATCATCATGAAATATTCCTATTGCACTACCATTAAGCACCAACTTTGTTTGGAAGATCTAGGGATTTAAAAATAAAAAGATTTTTCTTTAAATCGTATCAATTAGAAATAAAAATCATCAACACATGGGGTTTCTTACAAAAATAGATGAAATTCGTCTAAGGCAGGATGCAGTGGTGTATCAGTGGAAAAATATCATCGAAAAATGTTGTACACATTATGTTTCGATTAATCACGAATTATTCTTGAACGGTAATTCGTCGTAAGGCCAGTCTAAATTTTTGTAGTTACTGGTGTGCAATTGTAATAAAATACGAATAGTGATTATCAAGTAGGCCATAGATTTTTTTAATGCTGTTAAAATAATTAGAATTACTAATGAAGGTTAACCCTGTCTTACCGAAGTCACAAAAATCGAGACTTCGATGATTAACGTCGATTCAAAAATCATAATTATGTGATTTCAGAAATTAATTGAATTTTCTCGTTCTTCTCTTTTATTTTTTGTCTTTTTACCACGGAATTATCGGTGGACCAATGATTGAGTGAAGAGTAATTTCTACTTGTCAATTAATCAATTAATAACTTAATGTTTAATTGAAGTGGATTTAGGGTAAAGTTTCATTTGGAAACCACTCACTCGAAGAAAATTATTCTGTTCGTTTTTCGTTCAAATTTTAATATTTGAAATGAAAACTGAAAGTTAGTGGTTCGACAACAGAAAGAGAAGTTGAGTTTTGCCGGCGAAAATTCTCGGCTCGGCTAATTGATTAATGAATTAATAATTGCAATAATAATTTCATTCCTCAAACAAAAACTTCGAAGTGGGTGGATTCCATGAAATACAATTAATGTTTCGCAGGGGTCATTGTATAATTCAACTTGTGGGAAGTGGCAGGTGCTGTTCTGCATTGAGTGAGATTGTGTCGGCGAATGAAGGACGGATAATGCTGTATTTAGTACTGGTACCAGGGCTGACGTCTTACCCAGCGTAATTTCATTCCCGATGCTGTGCGAATTTTTATACTCGCACATTCAGCAGCGCGAACCGTTTCTTTCACACTCTGCATTAAATTCTGGGCATTACCAACTAACATGTCGGTTGCCTCTTGATCCTCCTCGGTACCTAAATACCATTATATCATTAATTTCAATTAAACTAGAGGTTATTACTACGAGATTACGTCCTACAATTGATCTGGCCATAAAGAAGCAAATTCGATCGAAGAATTTCATTGTAATCGTTTCAATTTCACGTACCGACAATTGAACTGTTTCTTATTTCATTATTATAGGCGAAATTATAAAAATTTATATTTTATTTACAATTTACTCTATTGGATTTTTATCTATAATGAATATTAATCGGAAATTTTTTAAAAGAAATTTATGCAAAGAAATTAGAATCTCTTTTTTTTTTTCTTAGTGAATATTTCAAAAAGCTGCACGTCAGCATTGAATATTTCTGAGACGAGGCAAAGAACTGAGAAAATTCTGTAGATAGAAACTTAACCGAAGTCGTGTACTTTAAATAGGAATCGAACGAAATTTATGTGAGAACCCCAAGGTTTTTCCATTAAATTTTCTCATCTCTGTCTCTCTACATCATGAATATTCTTCGATCGATTTTGTTTCATTAATTATTCAGTAGTGGAGCAGTGAAACGAGTTCTCTCTTCCGCCAATCTCAAAATACCAACGATCCGCGTTGAAATGAGATCTTTCCCCGGCGTGAAAAATGATGCTATTGAATTACCACTCCACTCTGACTTTATTTTTTTTCTACAAAAAAAAAATTCTCTCATGATCAGACATCTGAACGTGCTGTAATTGTGCTCTCATGCAAATCATAAAGATCAATTCTACTCTAACTTCTTCATGTAAAAGTGCTGGGTAAAAGAAAAAAAAATCGTAAACGTGCAAAACTGTCTCATTATAATCTAAAAACTAAGTACTATATATTATTATAAGGGAGACTTTTATCGTGACTTACTGCATCCAATAATTTCATCTGTAACCAGTGATATCGTTGGGAGATGTGTTTATTTATTTATTTTGGTTTTCATGAAGCCAACCGTGTCGGTTTTTTCATGCCGTAAAAAAGAAGTTGAAGAATAAATAAGACAAAATGTTATAGCCGAGTTAGTCATAAGAATAAGTACTAGAATGCAGGCTTAGCATTACTGTAATTACAGTGTTGTTGGTGAATTCAGAAAAGTTGGAAGGATATCCAAAGTGTATTAATAGTTTCGATAATACTGAATAGTTATTATTTTTGTATTAATTACAATACTTGGATATCCTTAAGGTGCTATTGTTATGTGTGAATGAAAATATTAATGGATCGAAGAGGAATAGTTCATCCCACGTAGAAACCGAGAGAAAATGTTCGATATTTAGTTATTCAGCGTTTCCTCTTCAAAATGGAAGAGAAAAGTGAAGTAAAAGATTAATTTGCAGTGACAATGTAAACAATGTCATTCAAAATGCAGAAAAGGAATATACACGTGCGTTCAAAACACCTAGAATTATCTCTAAGAAATTTTATTGAATGTCTATTAGAAATCTGTAAATTCTCTTTACGTTTTAGTGCATTCCTATTTTTAAAAATCTGAGAAAGCAATTTCTTAAACTTCCTACAATTCTGTCTAGATCTTCAGAAGAATTTCTTAGAGAAAAACAAATATTTATGCATTAAATGCTTTCAGACACGCAGACTCTCATTCGTTTACGCTCATAATTCGTCGTGACACCACAGCTAAATGCATGCCGTGAATAACAGTGAGCGAATATGTGCAAATGTAAGAGAAACAGGTGAGTACGTGAGACAAAAAGCGGACGATTTATTTACAGCTTATTTTTACCATATAGCATCAGCTCTTCCCAGGTGGGGAGCATTTCTACGCACAAAAAAAAATAAGTTGATGTTGATTATTAATGGGTTAATCGATGAATTAGTCTGGGAGAGAGTGAGCCGAGTATGTCGAATGAAATTATGTAAATTACAAATGACAATGAGAATTGTTTAGTGACGATTTAGACTTGATGATTTGAATAGGAATCGTTAGAAGCTGTCAAGCCGGAGGTATTTTTCATTGCGAGTGAATCAGTGATTCTCGCATGGCAACTAACGCTGAAATGCCCCGGTTCACGTTGAAGCTTCAATTGCCTAATTAGCGTTAAAAAGTAGAAATATTATAAATCATGGTAATCCTACCTTGAGCACCCAACATCGTAGCTTTCACTGTTGACAGGATCTTCAATTGAGTTCCAATCGTTGGGATTCTCTCACAGACTTGCAGTAAATTCTGTAAAGACAAAAATCAAAACGATTAGGTAAAAGGCCTCAAGTTAGTATTCAAATTTTTAGAAATTTCACCGGTGCTCAAAAATTTACAAATATTTCGGCAAATAGAGCTGTTAGCCAGTTAGGCTTCAATTAGTTAGTGAATTCGGTTTTCTAGAGTGGAGGAATGATTTAATTACCGTTCTGATGCGCTTGTCAGTGCATTCACGAGCGAGTTCTTTGGCAAGACGAGTGACCTCCTGTGAAGCTTCGGCAATGGCCTTAGCACATGCGATCAAATCACGCTTATTGCCACCTTCACCCCTGACAAGGCCGGATAGTCTTGCCATGAGAACTGCCATTTTTTTTGCTGCTGCAATAATCTCATTGTCCTTGCTGGACCACTGGCGCACCTCCTGGTGCAGACCGTGAGCGGCCATCTAAAACAACGTAAACATGATGAGAAAACTAAATTTATTCATTATTCTCAAAATCTCCTTACTAATTAAAATTGTCTTCATTATTTACCATGATGGGTTGGTTGGGCTGCGGTGCATGCATAAACATCTCATCCTCATCGTCAGTCTCTGGAGGTGGAGGACGTGGGGGTGCAATTTCTCCACCGGGAAGTGGAGGCCTTGGCGGAGCCATTTCTACAAGAAATTCGGGATATTAAAATTTATAAGATAAGAAAAATGATTTTCCATGCACATTCACAAAAATCACGATGCAGGCCATTTTGTCCAATAAATTTCGATGCAACTACTGTTCATTTATCGCACAGTCCTTACCATCGTCGTCCTCGTTCCGGTAATTGTTATCGTAATGTCCTGAGCGGTTTCATGCAGCGTTAGAAAGACACAACACTTTTAATTAGATTTGGAGTAACACTCGAGATACTCGGAGGTTTGGAGAAAACACTAATGTTTTCTATAGAATTGTTTTAATTTTTTCATACGCAGTCATGCCAGATGAGCTTCATGAAATGACATTGAACAAGAAAAAATGGATACCGGATCGAGCAAGAAAGTAACCGCGATTCTTCAAGGGGCTTTAGTCGTGTAATTGTAGAAACGAGAAGATTAAACTTCTTGTTTCCCAACTTCACAATGGAAATTCTTGTTTTTTTTTCTCATTGGAATTACCTCCTGAGCGAGGCGATTTGTCAACATCGTCAGACGCTAGTTCCTCGTACAGAAGATCTGGATTATCTCCTGATAAGAAATTAGAAGCGTTTAAACAAAGCAAGAGAATATTAAAAATAAATCACTAGAAAAGTAAGAGATATTCAAGTGAATTTCCACTTTTCTATTCAATAAATTTTTAATTTAATTCTCGGATTATTAAAATTTGATTGAAAAATCCTCGTCGATTGTTTTTAATTCTTTCTGTACCTCCACGTGCCCATTTGGGGAGAGGACTAACAGAGCCGTGCTGTGGTTTCCCAACACCCAGGGTAGGACTGATCGCTCGTAAATTGCTGGGAGACGGCTGATTTCTCAGTGGTTCACCCACTGGTGATTTAAAAATTCAATGATGATCATGAGGTGACATAAATATGAGATATTGCTGATAAATTAAGTTGTGAAAACACTCGACTAAATTATCTAAATGAAAGACACCCGTTCCCTCTACGAAATTAATTCTCTAGATAAAAATTGAAATGAATATCAATAAATATAATTGATCATGCAGAGATACAATTTGTGCACACGCAATAGTACCTTTATCTGCGAAAAAGGTGTGCCTAGGTGGTGGCACTTTTGCCTCTGCAATAAATATGGAAAATGTCAACTCGGTCGTGAGTAATAAGAAAAACAAACAGAGAAATTATTAATTTCATGAAACAAGACGCACTAATAACTCCTCTGTGTATAAATAATTCAACGGAATCTATTCGATTTTGATACACGAATGTAAAAAACGATGAAAAAATTCTCACCATCATTAATTCGTAACTGCGATAAATCTGGAGAAGTTCTCTGATCAGTATGGACAGCTCTACGAACTTGTCCCACACTATTCAGCAACTGAAATATAATCTCTCTTTCAGAAACAGCTACAAAGGCAATGAACTCCAACCTTGCACCAGATTTTCCGGAATCTGATGGAGGTTGGTAAAATATTCATTTACTCAATGTTCTTCTTCAGATCAGGCAAATCAAATTCTCACCGCTCGATTGCTCTCTCTCCACCTGGAAATGGCAGGTCCATCCGTGATATTCATAGCTACAGCTTTGGCATCTTGAACCATAGGCGTGACAGAGTGCTGGAGAACATCAGTAGCTTGATTGACGCGTTGTATAAATGGCAGATCTTCACTGTTATCACTCTCTTGCTTGGCTACAAGAATAACTCTATTCGCCAGTCTGGCAATAGCAGCAGTATTGTCAACCATTTTCTGAGGATGTTGTTTAGCAATGGCCTCTTCACAGAGGAACGCGTGTTTCTGCATCTGTTCTTCAGATGTTCTGATAAAATCAGCGCTGTTCGTTGCCTCGTCGCAGAGTCCCCGAGTCCTCTGCATTGTCTCTGCGTACTGCTGACGTAGATTCTCAAAGTGCTCATGAGCAGCTTTGCTCTCAGGATAACTCATCCTAATTCTTCCAGCATTCACCAGTTGAGGAGTCAGTGACTCCACCTGGGATGCACTTGTGAGAAGAGCTTCAGCAAGTTTTTTATTACCTCCACTTCCACCAGCTGCTACCATTCTGGCAGTTTTGGCAGCTCTGTTGGAGAAGCTTTGGAGGGCGTGGGTTTTGTCATTGAAATTTTGCTCACGGCCTGGTGTTCCCTCGGGGGTTAGGACAGCGTCTGTGAATTGTTTGAGTGGAGTCGTGATGTCGATGAAGTCCTCAACCACTCGAGAGACAACTGCTTGTTGAATTCGATTCTTCAGTTCGTAGAGCTTCTGAGATAATTGACGTGCAATTTCTTGGGCTCGTGGCGTATTTCCCTGGCCATGGGCGCAGAGATCCGCCAATTGGTGGGATAAAGTATCCACTTCATCGCAGAGCTGCAGGATTTCTGCTTTGTGGATGCCAGGCAGACCCTCAGCAACCTTCAATCAATTTTTCATTGTCAATTTCTTACGCAGAAATTGTGCCGTGAAGTAGTAATAGATCAATTCAATTCATAGTTCAGTTTTCGAGAAATATCTGTGAATCTAAGAGAAATAGCAAAATTTCCGTTACCACCGTTTTTATAGTTCTCCTTGAACTTTACAAAAAAGGTTGAAAAGAAAATAGCTCTATCTGCCTCAGTTACAGAGGTAGTCTTGAAAAACTCAAGTATGGAATAAATCGAATCGTTATCCTTCACAACTTCGCCACTAAATTAGTTTCAGGAGTTTCCTGTGGTTCAGGCTTTCTCTCAGATTGAAGACACTTACATATGCAATACCCTGCTGATTATGCATGTCCAGCCGCAATGACAATGGCATCCATTATTTTACAGAGTCATTTCGGTGAATTATTTAATCCAGCCAATAACGAACATAACTCGTAAATAATGCATGGAAGAATGAACACATCTCACCTTTTTCCCTTCATGAATAATCATGGCAATGGCTCGTTGTCCAAGTCCTCTGTCATCGTGCTGAGGATTGAGGAGCCATTTGTTGGCCTGTTCAAGACGCCCAGCCACTGTGTGAGCCGTCTGGGCTAGACCTGACTTGTCAGCCGCCACCAAAGCAGATGCCACTGACGTTCGAAGTTCGTTCAATTTATCTTTTATCCCACGAGCGAGGGACTCTGCTTGTGGTGTAGTACCTGAAAATCATAATTTCCGAATGAATATAAAAAATGCCTCAATTCATTGTAGCCGGAATAAATAGGTGATATCAGGTTCTAGTGTCAATCAAGGCCTGCATCCTACCCTTTCCATCTTGGCGAAGCTCACAAAGTGCGTCTGTCATGGTAGCTATTTCTCCAGCGAGTTTTCTCAAGGGTTCTGCTTGAGCTGGGGGTAAATAGCGCTCCGCCAGTCTCTCCGCTTGTTCAATAATTTGTCTCAGGCTCTTTTCACCAACACCACCACGCATAGCTCTTCCATCGTCTAGCCAATCGTGCGCTGCTCTTACACGAGACTCAATCGCACTTTGAGCTTTCTTCAAGACCTGCGAAAAATTTGAGTGTAATAATCGCGCCAAAAAAAAATGCATTTCTTCTCAATATCTTTAATAGAAGTATTTAATATAGATTTATGAACATATATTTAAATTACCGTCAATTGATCAGCATCCCATTCCTCTTCATCGTAAGTTGTCAATTGAAGCACCCGAATAATTTCATTCAATTCATCGGACATACGCCCAGACAAATAATTTCGATTCTCCGCTGCTTCCTCGGCCCCTTTACCCCCTTGCGATATGATATGAATAAATATTTTCATCGAGCAAATGAGAATTGGCGCCAGAGTCTTAACTTGATCCAAACAACGAACTAGAATTTCGCGATGCACCTGATGCGTCAATTCCTTCTCCCTGGCGCTCACTTCTCGGGATACTTTGCTCAAACAGGGGCTCAAATTCTTCAGGAAGTGAACAAGATCCTCCATTGTCTCTATAACTTCAGTAACAGCGAGATAATCCAGCACTCGTTTACATTCGCGAATGATTTTTCGCACTTCACTCTCGTCGAAACAGAGGAGGAGAGAGCTCGTCCCCTGGAGAATTCCACGAGAGCCTTCAATGAGTTTTTTTCGTGCTGGGCCAGAGTAAGGATCATGTTTCAGCAATGCTGAGGCCTCTTCAAGGAGTCTCGATGCACCTTCAACCCGTTGCAAGGCTGAGGGCATGTCCTGCTTAAGTAGAGCATCATCTGAAGAATTTATTGTTTCTTTTCCAACTTTAACGAGATTTGTCACTGCCATGCTGACCGCCTGAACAGGACGGCCAAGATCAGGCATGGCATTGCCATCTTCGGCCTCTTCATGGAGAATCACAAGCCTCGAGACCTGTATCATCGAAAATAATAGAATGAAAGAAATGTGCAAGACGAGCAATTTCTGAAGGGAAATAAAAAATGTCAGTAAAAAACTTTTTTGTAAAGGAAATTGAATCTATAAAAAAGTTACCGATAAAAAAATTGCAGTTATTTCAAGAGTGGGAAAGAGTTGAGTACTTTTTTACTGCGTTTTCAGGGTATCGTGAACTATTTTCTCTTAATGTACATTTCGTCGTTATGAATGTTTGTTTTCCAGTTCATTAAAATTTCGGGGTCGAATGAATACATAAAAATTCCCATTTGGCACCTACTACTGTTGCCGCTGGGTTATTTCCATCCTGTATATTACGAAAAAGTATTTCATAATTTTAGCTATAGCGAGGAACAAGGCAAACACTAGCAATTCCTCGGTTGAATATTCATTTTTCAGGCTCTTTAAATCTATTTTTTCACGTAACGACGAAGGGATTTCCGAAATGTTAAATTGTTCAGCTCATGTTTTGTCAAATAAAATATTCAAAAACTCTTGAATGAGTACACGAGTTCGGATGAAATTACGATTTTTGTTAAAAAAGACGAGAAATTGAAGAGCTAAAAATAATAAAACAAACGTAGTCCTACATGGCGCGAGGTCAATGAATAGTTTTATAAATCTCGGCAATCGTAGAGAGCAATCGTGAAGGACCTCTCGGGACTTTCATCGTGCCTTCTCTTTTTAAATGAGCGGAGAATTGAAGCCACTGTTAGTGGAAAGGAGTGAGTCGAGTCAGTGAAAGAATGAAAATTAAATCCTCAATTTTCGGACTAAAATTCACCGCCCGTTGTTCCCGACTATTTCCCCAATATTGACTTTTTTTGTCTCTATTGTGCAATAATTTAGACCTCAATGGGTTCTCACTGGGCCGCGGGTGGCTTGGAGCAGTCGCCGGATGGGCTTTTATTTTCATCTTCATGTATTTTTAGAATTTCTTCATAAACCTTAGATGTGGCATTGGCCAACCGGACAGGCGTGGTCGACAAAGCGCGAGGAGAGAATTTATTTATGCTTGATATACTCGTTATCACGACCTTCAGTCATCAATTAATTTCTATATTTCTTAATTTGATGGCTAAAAAAAATTTCTTGAAGTTTACAAATAATTTTGCTTTGAAATATTAAATTGGAATAGTTCCAATCAATCAGTTGATGATTAAAGTTAAGCCAAGGCCTCACGAATTTAAAGTTCTCTCGATTGAATCGACCAATTGATTGCCAAGATCAATTCACTCATCGAATTATCAAAAAAAAAATTAACGATTCCAACGATTTTTTTCCTCAAACTCGAAGGTCACTGTCTCAATGAATGATGTCATACCTGAATCTAAATTATCGCGGACACATAAGTCTATTTATTATTATGCGAATTCAGTTGCAACTCTGACTTCACACTTCATACTCGACTGTCCCTAATTAGTCTACTCACATATTCATCCACGAATGTGAGTCTTTCTCTATTTATATTTGCTGACAAAGGCTGACTTGATAGAAATTACCAACACATGACTCAATATACTAAAAGAGGAAATTTTTCAATGAATTCCGTAGTTTTTAAGGTCAACTCATTCCCACAATGATTAATCAATTCATATCTCGGGAATAAAAGAAGATATGAAAATTTCCACAAGAACTTTTCTTTTAGAGAGGACTTAGACCTACAAAAAATATCTTTAGAAAAAATTGGTTATCTCCCCCCAATCCCGAGATATTAATTTAAAATCGCTCTGCTCCAAAAGGCTTGATTAATCGACTTCACTCCGGAATTCCAGCTGAATATCTCGGATCCTACAGCAAATAGCATAATCAACATGAGGACCTTTTCTATAGAACTGTTCCTGCTCTACAAAAAAGGTCCTACAAGATTTTCGTAATTTCTCTTAGTTTCCAAGATATCTACGAAAAACCGTCTGCTCCAAAGTGAAATCGATTGATTCCATTCCACAACTTCAACACTTGAATTCTAGAGGTTATTTGTGAAGTTCTACATCTAGTCACAATACTTTGTTGTATTAAAATATTGACCACAAAGATAACAAATGGTCTCATCTGATGAGACACAAAATTACTAGATGGAGAAAATCTCTGGGAGTGGCTGAATTATAGTTGTACTGAAGATAATTGGAAAATAAATCATCTATTGTTATACGAATGAATTACCTGCTGTGCCACTGGCTCGAGGATGCTCTCGATGGTCTTCGTATGAAACACCGGCATTTTAGTAAACCTCAAAATCACTTCACAATAACTCAATTGCTTGTATTATGAGAGTTGAAGGTTCTTATGCAGGCACTGTCCAAAAACACTTTATTAAAATCATACGAGGGACTGAGGCACTCAGTTAGATAGTACTGTGGGCTTCAGTCGTATTGAAAAAAAAAACAACACGTCAAGGCTCGATACGACTCGTGGAGTCGTTCCTACTCTCTCCCACGTATCAATGTGAACTACTGGCGCAACCGGAGGCGTTCGTGGGTGATCGTGGGCTTCGGCAAAACTCGGAGAATGTTTAAAGTGTCCCCCTCCCTTGTATTTGTTCAATTCGCTTGGGAAAATATTTTCATTTTGTATCGCAACTTCGAGAACTTGGAGGGGGACTTGATTTTTTTCCAATTTTTTTTCAAGAGAAAAATCTCAAGTCACACCCTCAATGTCTTAATTTAAGATTTTAATTACTCAAATGTTTGTTCGATTATTCATTCGGTTCATGAATAACTAAAGTATTGCTCGTTGTCCGCATTAAATAAATTTAATGAAGAGATAATGACACGTGCTGAATGCATTCGGTTTAAGGAGAAATTTTTATCATTTTCCCTATAAATACTTATGCAGAGAAGAGCTGACACAAGTAAAAACAGGGAAGGCTATAATTTTCCTTAAGAATCATGGAAAAATAAAAATAAACCATCGAAACTCCGCGTAACAAATGCAGTATTTTCCTCACTTTCAACGAAATAAATATAATATAGAATTCCGAGAATTTGAAAAACTTGTGAATTTTTTAATACTTTCGACCCGCGCGCCAATTACCACTTCAATACATGTTCTGATTGCTCTCCATCAGTTGGCGTCGCGCACTGTTGGTGTCAAGCTCAATCGACCTGAGATTTTCAAAAATGAATCAATCTAAAATCGATAGCTATAATCTCCTAATTTTGAAAATCTTTTATAGATGGTTTTCGGCATTAGGGCTGGCGCCCTACGATGTCGAAGTCGAAATAGTTCCATCAACATTGCAACCATCAGTTAAAGTAATCTACTCCAAAATCCACTTGATCTACAACATTTTCTTGCTAATACTGATAATTTTCATATTCTGCTATTTAATTCCGAATCACGTGACGGACAGCTTAGATACTCTGGAGGAGAAAATCGCCCGAAGTGCTTTAGCAACGATGGGGAACACCTCAGCGTTCATAATAATCATCAGTAGCATGATATATAATCTAGAATACGTTAATCTCGGCAATCATCTACGCGAATTCGACGTAAAAGTTGATCTGTCTCGCCACAGCGTAAAGTTTCAACTTTTCCTCGAAGTTTCCACCATTATATTTCTCTGGATTGGATTAATGATAACAGAAGGACTTCAATTTTACGTCTGGCATTTTCTCATTCACATCCCAAACTCAATAATTTGCTGCTGGCTTGTCCTTCAATACAGCATATCAGCAAATATCCTCCGAATGCGATTTGAGGTATTAAATGATTTGTTTTCTGAGATTAATCCTACTGAACGCCCGTTGGAGAATCTCCGGAGATTGAGAGCAGTAAGAAATCTACTCTGGAAGACAACTTATGGATTTTCAAAGTGCCTTTCGCTGCCCATTTTGTTTGCAGTTGCCAATTTGTGTTTTGATGCTATAATTGGTGTGTATTACAGCATCGCCAGGGTATTGAACTCTCCGGACCCCGAGTTGTCATTGGAGGCCGTCAATGGCTTCTTCTGGGCTTCTGTTCAAATATGCCCGATTGTTTTCTTGAGCATCGCCGTTAAAAGACTTATCACTGAAGTTTGTATTATTCACTTATTTTACGAGACACTCGCGTGAGAAATTAGTCACCAGAAATTTAGTAGAAATTTCAGAGAATTTTTTAGAGCACGGGCTAGGGTTCTCTGTTAATTCCATTCTAATGTGATTGATTGAATCTTTGAGATGTAATTTTCAATTTTTTAATTGCAGATCAGTGAGACTTCTTTCGCTATCTATCGAATTTACGCAATATTTTCGGAAGACGGAGAATGTTCTGAGAATGAGAATGTTATGTGCTGGGTAAGATAATTAAGTAATTAAGCATTATATAATTTTCTCGGTTTCAGAACTGATCACCCCGGTTTTGGGATTCGACTTGAGTGAGTAATTAACCACATTCTAATTTATTGCAGATCCAAGAATTTTCTCTCGAATTATTCCACAAACAAATACCGTTCACGGCTTATGGGCTTTTCCCGTTGGATTGCACTTTGCTTTTCTCAGTAAGACGGATCTCCAATTATTTTATATCCATTACTATTCAGATTATTTTCATAATCTCGTAGCGCAAATTATTAATCCCCGGTTGACGATAAAAGTTATAGAAAGTATCCTCAGGAGAATATAATAATTTTTTTTTTTTTCGATGTTTGAAACGAATTATTAGAGAAATAGAAAAAAAAATGTAATTCATAATTTCTTTCCATAGGTTATCAGCACGTTAGTGACCTACGAAATCATCGCAGTGCAATTTAAATCCACAGATAGTGAGGAGTTGACTCCAAATATCTCCAGAATTATTTCTCCAGAATCATCATAATTTAAAGCGCTCACATACCGAGTTAAATATAAATTCTTCACTCCGATAGTGTTCTCTTAAAATAAAATGTATAATCCCCCGTTTTTTCCGTTCTTTCAAATAAAAAGATCGGTATGTGTTTCGTTGTTATTATTTCGAACCTATGCCGTTCGTAACTTATTTAAAGATAAAAATGAGAATTCTGTGTGATTCCTCGTACGACGTTTTCGCGAAATTTTTTCATAAATTTTTGGATACGCGTTCCAGATACATTTAGAGATTGAATATTCAGTAAAAGACTCACCGGTCTGTCTCCAAGGTCCGTGCTGCTGCATGGGGTAGTGAATAGCGACAGCCCACGCTCTCTAGTAGAGACGGATTCATTTGTCAGAGAACGTGACTCTCAAAAATGATGGTAAAACCCGAGAACATATCTCCGGACGAAGTTGCTCCTGAAGAGACAGCAGAGGTGGTTACATCCGGAAAATCTGCAAACACAAGAACAAAAGCAAATTATCCCAGAGTTTCTGAGATGGTAAATCTCGCTATTAAAGCACTTTGCGAGAAAAATGGATCATCCCTGCAGGCCATTAAGAAGTACATGGTAGAAACTTATAAAATTGATGTGGAGAAACAAAATCTTTTTATCAAGAAGTACTTGAAATCAGCGGTGGACGCTGGTTTTCTCATTCGAACGAGAGGCCGAGGAGCTGCTGGGTCTTTTAAGATCCCCAGGCATGAGATTGATCCACTGAAGGCAGTGGTTAAACCTAAAGCTAAAAAGAGAACAGCTCCGAAAAAAAAAAATGTGGAGACATCTCCGAAAAAAAATATTACAATGAATTCGGATGGAAAGAAGTCCAGCCAATCTAAGGCGAAGAAAAAAGTAATTCCTCCAAAAGGGAAGACGACCGCACAAAAAAAATGAATAGGTAGTTTTAAAGAAGATTGCGATGGTAAAAAAAGGCCCTTTTCAGGGCCACCAATTTCGTTTGGCGTAGTAATTACTCATGATCGCGATCTCTTATAAAATATTTTTGGCGGAGAATTCACAAATTGATGAATTAAGAGATTTTATAATTTCTGGTATTAATTAGAAATTGTTTGTAACAATGTAATCATTTATTATAAATTAAGTCTCAACTCGCTGCGAATTACTTGACAACAATTCTATTAATAAGTTAATACTGTTTTGTTTTAAAATGTGACTGCAGCTTAGAAGCTCATCTAATATTTTGCACGGCATTGCTCATCATAAGAATAACGCGAATCTGTTAATTCTCCACTAAATATTTCGGTTTGTTTAAATGATAAACTGAAAATTGGGAAACATATTGTCTCAATTTTCAATTGATAAAGGATGGGATAAGGTCATACCCTGGATATATATGTAGGAACGTAACAGGAGAAAATCTTCTGCACAGTAGCAAACATGATGGGTTCAGTCGCTGGTAACAGTTTTAAAAAAACTTTGGGAGGATTACAACTTCTTTCTTCATAAATTCCAATTCTCGTTCAGAAATTCTCGTCCATTCAAATTTGCAGTTGAATAATATACAGCAGCTCCATGTGATGTCTACAAGATCTCGTACGGTTTTGACCGTGGGCTCCTGCGGGCGTCATCTATATACCCTGCGCGACGCGCGCTCTCCCACCACCGCGCAGCCGGCCAATGGGAAACGAGCACTTTGAATCCCTTACTTTTTTTTAGGGACCAATCACAGCCCTGCACGGTGTTATATATACGGGTGCCTCAGACAAATTTTTATTACATTCTCCGGAATCTCTGAAGAATACCTTTGACGCAATGGCCCGTACCAAGCAGACAGCTCGTAAATCGACTGGAGGAAAAGCTCCGAGAAAGCAGCTGGCTACCAAGGCCGCTCGTAAGAGTGCGCCAGCAACTGGAGGAGTTAAGAAGCCACATCGCTACAGGCCAGGAACAGTGGCTCTTCGTGAAATTCGTCGTTACCAGAAGAGTACTGAACTTCTCATCCGTAAATTGCCATTCCAACGGCTTGTTCGTGAGATCGCCCAGGACTTCAAAACCGATTTGAGATTCCAGAGCTCAGCTGTGATGGCTCTTCAGGAAGCTAGCGAGGCTTACCTCGTTGGTCTTTTCGAGGACACCAACCTCTGCGCTATTCATGCCAAGAGAGTCACCATCATGCCCAAGGACATTCAGCTGGCTCGTCGTATTCGTGGAGAGAGAGCTTAAGTTGGCTTGAATTCTGAAATTACAAATAATCGGCCCTTTTCAGGGCCACAAATTAAATTCAACGTATGAAATTTCTAATTGCTAAAAATGATTGATTTTATATTATTTTGATAAATTCGGATTTGAACAGTTTAATAATGAAATGAAATTCCACTTAAATAAATTCTTATTTATATTTTCATTTTATAGACAATTTTTACTCAAAGATATCTTTTAGAAAAATGTCGGTGTTATGCTTAATCAATCTGAATTTACCGATTCTAGTAACCATGTAAGTCTAAATAAATTCTATTTAATTTCTGAGATAAATTTTAGTAAATTTAACAACCCCACCGATTGGAATTAGATCATAATTTACTAAATTTACTCTAATATTCTTGCTGAAAATATCATTACCGTTCATGTAATATTCCGTTACCTTTTCAAAACGTTCATTCGAGTAATAATTTCTTAATAGTTTTTGCAAGTCTACAATGTACGATCTTAGTAGTTTTTACAACTCTACATCGCCACGAAGTTTCCGATACTCAATAAAATATAATTAACGCAGTAGACAAGTGATTATATAATCGCAATTAAGAATTTCAACGTTTGAAAAAATTATTGGCCCTGAAAAGGGCCGTTTGGTTATGATGATTGAATTGAATTGGCATATTCAATTCATTTTTTTGCTGCAGCCGATTTCTTCGCTGGAACTTTGGTCTTCGGTGCAACTTTTTTGGGCTTAGGTGCCTTAGGCTTAGCTGTTGGTGCCTTTGTAGCTTTCTTCGCTTTAGGGCTTTTGGGTTTAGCGGCTTTTGGTTTGGCAGTCTTCTTCTCAGCAACTGGTTTCTTCACTGCAGCTTTTTTCGGTGAAGCTATTTTTTTTGCTTTTGGTTTGGTTGCCTCGATTTTCTTGACGGATTTCTTAACAGCAGCCTTCTTAGGTGATCCCTCCTTCTTGAGAGCCTTGGGTTTAGGTTTTGGTTTCGAAGAATCTGCCTTTTTCACAGCAAGCTTGAAAGATCCAGCTGCACCCTTTCCTTTGGTCTGCACCAAAGTTCCAGCCGCAACTGCTGATTTCAAGTACTTCTTGATGAAGAGTGCGTGTTTCTCGGTGTCAAGCTTGTAGGTTCCAGCCATGTACTTCTTAATAGCCTGGAGAGACGATCCATTCCGTTCAGCCAGAGTTTTAATAGCCGTATTAACCATGTCAGCTGTACTGGGATGACTTGCTTTGGCCTTCGGATTTTTAGCCTTGGCTGCCTTCTTCGCTGGTTCTGCCTTCGCTGGTACGGACGATCCACTCGCCGAAGCGGCAATCGGTGATGCAGAGGTGTCAGTCATCTTCGATAACTAGATTCGAAAGATTAATTCTTCAAAATTGTTGACTCGTCGGCTGAATTGGGTTTGCGTTCCGAATGGTGGGTGCAGCATATTGGGTAGAGAGCACGGACCGTGGAGAAAGGCTCGGCCGCCACGAAGTCGCGGGATGGCGTCACAAGCCAGCAAACCGCATCTTTTTTCCGAACATTTTAATTTTTTAAAAATCTCTCATACCTGGTAAAAAAAATTTTAATATATTGGGAGATTCGCGAATGTATGAGGAGGTTGTAGAATTTTTAATTGCGGTGATAGCGTGAAATATCGAGATGTAATCAAGAATAATGTGAACTGCGCACTTTTACATGATCTGTCGGTGCTTTGTTTAAACACTCATTTATTCAAATATAAACATTTTTTTTGGTTATTTTGTTGTTTAACGATTAGTACGGAGTCTATTCTATCCGAAAAGAATCATGTGTTTATCGTGAACACTTGGATATTATGAATTTTTAGGTGATAAATGTCGGAACTTTGAGCAGATCAAGACAGGCGGATTCACCAAGAGATTTGTACAATTCATAAGATAAAAACACTCTTGTGAAAAATGGAATTTTTATTAATGATCCAGAAATTTAATTTTCATTTAATAGTGAGTTCTGTACTGATATTAATTTGAGCGTCAGTTGAATTCGACTCTGTAGAGCCGAGGTTTGTGGAAGAATCACTTGAATTTGTGATCCAGTTTGTTGGTTTGATTTTTTAAATTATCAATGTTATAATTGTCAAGTTGCATATTTGGTTCCGACGGAATTACTGACAAGAAAAAGGTTTAGTTTCAAAACCGATAAATTGAAAAAAACGTCAATATTAAAAATTTTAAAAAGTTTACATGGAATAAGTATCACATAGCTTCTGCAGTGAATGGAGAGTACGTTGTCAATGACTCAATCAACATTAACTAAAAATGGTCATCCGCTGCGTTTAATTTGTTAAAAGTTATTCAAATAATTATGAATAGCATTAGACTAAAGTTTTTCTATTCATTCAGTGATATACGAACGTTTCACAGAATTCATTTCTCCGTTGAACTCTATTTATCAAAAAAATAATACGTCCTAAGTAATACATCGGCGATTTTATAAATTTAGTTAAGAAATAATATTAGTATTGTGTATAAATCTATATTGCTTTGAGTAGGTGAGAACATTATTTCAGTATATTTATTCTGAAGTGAGTTATCGCATCACGAAAGGAAAATTCAATTTAATTTCAGCATGAAGTGAGTGTCCTGTACCAATTTAACTTGACAAACTTTAACAATGTTTTTCAGGTTTGTGGAAATGAAACTTTGAAGTAATTTCTTTGCTGCAGCAGAAAAATAGATTCACGTGTTTCGTAGATTTTGCGTCATATTTCGTAAAACTAACAGCTAACAAAAGTTTTTTTCAGTAATTGAAACGTCATTATTTTCATTATCTAAAAAGAAAAATAAAAAGGAATATTTTTGGGATTTGGCAAATAGAAAGTTCCTTCGAAAAAATATTTGGTGGCCCTGAAAAGGGCCGATTTTTTGTAATGAAGAAGGCAATTTAAGAACTGCTCTTCTCAGTTTTCTTGGGCAGAAGAACAGCTTGGATGTTGGGGAGAACACCACCTTGAGCGATGGTGACTCCTGACAATAGTTTGTTTAACTCCTCGTCGTTACGGATTGCCAATTGAAGATGTCTAGGGATGATTCTGGTTTTCTTGTTGTCACGAGCTGCATTGCCTGCCAACTCAAGGACCTCAGCAGCCAAGTACTCCATGACTGCTGCCAGGTAAACTGGAGCTCCAGCACCAACTCGTTCTGCGTAATTTCCTTTGCGTAGCAGACGATGAATACGGCCCACTGGGAATTGAAGACCAGCTCTCGTTGAACGAGTCTTGGACTTTCCCTTGACTTTGCCACCTTTGCCGCGACCAGACATTGTTAGTGGATGATAGTTTAAAGCTCAGCGAAGTACGTCTCTCGATGAGAGCGCAATGTGTAATGGTGTTAAAAATTGTATTCGCCCCTATTATATAGCCTTAGACGTAGGCATCGCCGAGCCAATGCGCGCGCACTGTCCGGGTAATTCAACCGTAAACGCAGCTGATTGGTTCGGCGCTACTGTCTCCAACTCAGTTATAATAGAGAGGCGATGTGCGGCAGCTTAACATTTGACTTCTGCGCTCCAGTCAGTGAAGACTATCATCCAACGACATGCCACCCAAAGCCAGCGGCAAAGCTGTGAAGAAGGCTGGTAAAGCCCAGAAGAATATTACCAAGTCCGACAAGAAGAAGAAGCGTAAGAGGAAGGAGAGCTACGCTATCTATATCTACAAAGTTTTGAAACAAGTTCATCCCGACACCGGAGTGTCGAGCAAAGCCATGAGCATCATGAATTCGTTCGTAAACGACATCTTTGAACGTATTGCTGCTGAAGCATCTAGATTGGCTCACTACAACAAGCGTTCCACCATCACATCTCGGGAAATTCAGACAGCTGTTCGTCTTCTTCTCCCCGGAGAGTTGGCTAAACACGCTGTGTCTGAAGGCACCAAGGCAGTTACTAAATATACCAGTTCTAAATAAATCTGAACATTTTCAAATAATCGGCCCTTTTCAGGGCCACAAAATTTTTACAACGTGGTTATTTCAATGAAGCACTGCTTTCATAATTACTAGAAAATTATTCATTTTTGTAATAAAAAATAATAGATGACTCGCGAATTAGTAAGCGATCCTTTCTATAATGAAACGGATAAACATCGAGATGTATTAATTAATACGCTGAGAAAAAATTCTACCACAAATTAGTGTGTTATTCACCAACTCATGGGACCAAACCGCGGTCAACAAAAAATTCGAATGACCCACCCGAAAAATGCGGATGTGGCAATTTTTGAAGAACTTAAGCTACTTTTCCGTGAGACTCCCTTTAAAATTGGGGCGCCACATCCGAATTTTTCGTTGACCACGGTTCGTCCCGTGGTGAATAGGTGAATAGCACACTAATTTTTGAATGGACTCACACGAAATGATGACGTATTTTTCTCTCCGTGTATCTCGAGTCTGTTAAGCTTGTTTCTCATTGGTCCAGTCGTTTCAGACCGATGATTTGAATTCAGAACTTATTTAATTTTGAAATTTTCCATGAGTTCTTTGTTAATTTTCATTGACAACTTCATAGTCAGAAATATACTTCATTGTTAGAAATTACGGATTTCGGTTGAATAGAAATTTTAATTTAACGAATATTCAACAAAAAAAGAGAAATTGTCAAAGTCATTTTGGTTCTCGTTACAAAGTACTAACTGTATAAGTTATAATTCTATAAAGACAGTCATGGCGTATCAGTAATAAATAAATATAGCGTGTTTTCGATTCCAACATAATAAATATTTTGTGGCCCTGAAAAGGGCCGATTTTGTTATTTCGATGAACGAGCTGCTTAACCTCCAAATCCGTAAAGAGTGCGGCCTTGACGTTTCAAAGCATAAACGACATCCATGGCTGTTACTGTCTTCCTTTTGGCGTGTTCAGTATATGTGACTGCATCACGGATGACATTCTCAAGGAATACCTTGAGAACACCACGAGTTTCTTCGTAGATCAAACCAGAAATACGTTTCACACCACCTCGGCGAGCGAGACGACGGATAGCTGGTTTGGTGATTCCCTGGATGTTATCACGAAGAACTTTGCGATGGCGCTTGGCTCCTCCTTTTCCCAATCCTTTTCCTCCCTTTCCACGACCAGTCATTTTTTAAGTCTGAAGAACAAGTCTGCGCTAGACAAGATGAGAATATCTTATGATGTCCTTTTCGAAATTAATCATGCTTATATAGATGTTGCAGAACATGTTCCCCCACCACTGTTGAATCCACCAATTGGATGCGATCCGCTAAGTTACCCCCTCTTCTTTTTACCGACCAATCGCAGCCCTACACAATATTATATATACTAGGTTCATGACTTTAATTTCATCATTCTGCCCAGAACCTCTGAAGCAAATATTTGACGCAATGGCTCGTACCAAGCAGACTGCCCGAAAATCGACGGGAGGAAAGGCTCCGAGGAAGCAGTTGGCTACCAAGGCTGCCCGTAAGAGTGCGCCAGCAACTGGAGGAGTTAAGAAGCCACATCGTTACAGGCCAGGAACCGTAGCTCTTCGTGAGATTCGTCGTTACCAGAAGAGCACTGAGCTTCTCATCCGTAAACTGCCCTTCCAACGACTTGTTCGTGAGATCGCCCAGGACTTCAAGACCGACTTGAGATTCCAGAGCTCAGCTGTGATGGCTCTTCAGGAAGCCAGCGAGGCATACCTCGTTGGTCTTTTTGAAGATACCAACCTCTGCGCCATTCACGCCAAGAGAGTCACCATCATGCCTAAGGATATCCAATTGGCTCGTCGTATCAGAGGAGAGAGAGCTTAAGCCTTTCCAATTTTGACAATTATAAAATCGGCCCTTTTCAGGGCCACAAATATTTTCAAACGAATGAAATTCAATCGTACTTAGAGAGTATTACTAATTATTTTCAAAACTAATATGCATTTGATAAGCTAAATAAATTGATCGATTTTCTGTAGAAATTTAATTTCAGCATTCATTAATGTCTGCAAATTTTTCACTAATTGTGGAAATTGTTCAAATATCAAAACATTGACAGTATTGAATATTTTTTGTTGCAATGTGTGGTAAGTGTAAAATGCTGATGAAAGTGTTTCCAAAAAATCAAATGTAAACCAAGTTATAGATGGAATACAATTTTATTATTATATTTAGATTTGAAGATGTTCCATACACATATATAGCAAAAATTTACTTTTTTAAATTTTTTGGTAAATTATCAATGGACTTGATGTGCAAAAATATAACGCTTTTTCGTTTTTCCACTAGTTAATGGCGCAGTTCTGTGATAGTGTTATCATTTCCATGCATTTTTGAGTTGATTCTTTTCAAATGTTTATTATTAAATTCAAAATTAAATATTAAATTTTACGTCACTTCCATAGTAAGTTTTTAGAAACCTAAAAAAATGGAAATCTTGACTATATATGGATGTAGAATTGTTACGAATGAAAAGACCAAGGCGGCGTGTTGAATCTAAATAGCGTTAAATATGTCGGCATATTTGCTAACAATTTGCACTAGTATATTTGTCAAACATCATGCGCTTCTTCGATACGATATTGTAATAACATCGTAAATATTTGTTCTTTGAACAAATTATCTTAATCAATATTAATAAAGTAAATTATTATGAAGAAAAATTGCCAAAATATAAGTGCCACGTTAAAAATATTTGATGGCCCTGAAAAGGGCCGATTATTCAAAATTGCTCCAGTTTACTTAGAGCTGGTGTATTTGGTCACTGCCTTGGTTCCTTCAGATACAGCGTGCTTAGCTAACTCTCCTGGAAGAAGTAGACGAACAGCTGTCTGAATTTCCCGAGAAGTAATAGTTGATCTCTTGTTGTAGTGAGCCAATCTTGATGCTTCAGCGGCAATTCGTTCGAAAATGTCATTAACGAATGAGTTCATGATGCTCATGGCCTTGCTCGAAACTCCAGTGTCCGGATGAACTTGTTTCAAGACCTTGTAGATATAGATAGCGTAGCTCTCCTTCCTCTTACGCTTCTTCTTCTTATCGGTCTTGGTAATATTCTTCTGGGCTTTACCAGCCTTCTTCACAGCTTTACCGCTGGCCTTGGGTGGCATTTTCGTCAAATGGTAGTCTTCACGAACTGGGGAACAGAAGTGAAATGTGAGGTGCGTTACAGAGCCACCTTTTTTAATATCGTTGGCATTTGTAGCACCGAGCCAATCAGATAGGACTCTTGCGCACACGTCTTACTGCGCATTTTCGATTGGTTCGGCGCTGGGAACGCGCAAGCCTATATATACCCGATTTTCTGAGTTTCCATTCATTCCACATTTATTCCTCGCTGAGTTCACATCAACTTAAAACTTCTACAACATGTCTGGACGTGGCAAAGGTGGCAAAGTTAAGGGAAAGTCCAAGACTCGTTCGACGAGGGCTGGTCTTCAATTCCCAGTGGGCCGTATTCATCGTCTACTGCGCAAAGGAAATTACGCAGAACGAGTTGGTGCTGGAGCTCCAGTTTACCTGGCAGCAGTCATGGAGTACTTGGCTGCTGAGGTCCTTGAGTTGGCAGGAAATGCAGCTCGTGACAACAAGAAAACCAGAATCATCCCTAGACATCTTCAATTGGCCATTCGTAACGACGAAGAGCTGAATAAATTGTTGTCTGGAGTCACCATCGCTCAGGGTGGCGTTCTTCCTAACATTCAAGCTGTTCTACTCCCCAAAAAAACCGAGAAGAGCAGCTCTTAAATTTAAGACACCATCAATAACAAAATCGGCCCTTTTTAGGGCCACCAAATTTTTTTGAAACGTTGGTTATTCTATTTGCTTTATTATTTAAAACAAATTTTAACATTGTGCTTATTTTAAATGGCTTCAACTTATTCACAAATTCCATCTACAGAATAAGATTTCATAATATTGGCATTACCGTGCATTGGTTTACAAAATTTTTTTCTTAGTTATTACCATTTATACTGAGGAAACATTTCATTAATTATTCTTCCTCTACTAATTCGTGTAAAACTATCTGGTACACTATTATAGCGTTGCCGATCTAAAAGAAAAAATGTCATGAAAAACAATTAGCCAATTGATTGCCTCATTCAATAAGCAAGGCAATATTGTACATTACCGACATCATTAGAGAAGTGTCCAAAGAAAAAAATCCAAAGGCCGTGAATCGGATATTCTCAGAGAGCAATTCTATCGCATAATTCCTAAGCTGCAGCCAATATATTCCATAGTATTGCATCAATTAATCATCACTCAAATTCATAATTATATCACTAACTCACCGATTTTCTTTGTCTTTCTTTCAACAAGTGCCTAGACAGAATTTGTGAAATCACTTTTTTTGTTCTGTTCACCTAGAAATAATAGAAAAATTATTGTTTCATTATCTTAAGTTTGTCCAAAAACCTCAGTGGAATTATTTATAATCTAAATTTGCTATAACATTAATTTGTTTTTATTCCCCTGAGGCTTTATAATCCATCTTACAAACTTCTTGAGTAACTCCTTCGATGGTTAAACACAACACCAATATAGGAAATGTAGTGAGTAGAAATTCGTTGAGTGCTACGACGAAAGAAAAGCCAAGCCTTTCTTCCTGAATAACTATATAAGGAATTATAAAAGTTTGAATGTTGTTCATTAGCGATAAAAAAGACCAAAGGACGGCGGCTAAAATTGCTGGAGAAAAAAATGATTCAATCGACAAGAACACCTTAACGAGAATTCTCCGAGTTTGTAAAATTTTATCGACACTCTGTAGAATATAGGAGTCATTCGATGAAAACTTAATCAAAGCCACTCCCACGTTGAGTAGATTTTCATTCAAGTAATTCATTTCATTTTTTAGGAAAGTTAATATAGTAGCGTACTGAATGAACAAAGAACTGCAAATTAGATCACTCATTATATATAGTAACGCTCGTATTAGCGATTCATTTCTGACTGTAGAAATGATATAAGCGATGTGGATAATGAGTACACCGATAATTTTTAATACTATTTCAATTTCCTCTTGTCGATAAATAATTGTTGTGTTAAAATTCGGATTGGATTTCGACACTTGATTTATCAGAATTTTTAACTGAGATTTTTTCAAATCCAGTTCATTCCAAAATCCAACTATTGCGAATAGATTTTTGCGATTGCAGTAGAAAACAATTACTACTGTTGACGCCAAAAGATTACACACCACAATTAGAAAAGTAGTAACAATTTCTTGATGTTTCGAGTTAACCGAGGACAAAATAGTAAAGTTGACGATCACTAAAAAAATGGCTAGGATGATGTCATAAGCAGATCTTCTGCGAGATGAAGATATTTCTATACCATATGAATTTATTCCGGGAATGTGGAGAATGTTTAATGCACAAGGAGCGAGACCGTACACTGACAAGATGACTTCGAAGATTTTTAGAATAATTCGAGTGATATTCCAAGTATCTTTGGAACAAATAAATTTTGACGTCGTCATTTGATTGTATTGAGAGTACAGTTTAACTTGCTTCTGGTGTCCATTCGCAGTTACTGCGGGATAGTATAGAAACCACAGAAAAAAGAATACGGCGTAAATTCATCATTGATTGCGTGGTAAAAAATTGTTGACGTCCGTTGCATAATTTATTTGTTTATGATCTATAAATATAGACCGAGTGAAATTTACACGGAAAAACTTCGCATGTTATCATTTTTTCTCGGTACCTAATTCATGCGAGAATGGACAGAAATGTTTAAACAAAAATAGATTATTCTGAATTATTCTGAAGTTTTTTTAAATTTTGGTAAAGCGAGAAGGATTGTCTACGTTTTAAAAAATTGTTGGCCCTGAAAAGGGCCGATTATGGTATATCAGTGATGAACTTTCATAGAAATGAATAAGGAATTCACTTTTGTGTAGCTGTTTTCTTCGCCGCTGGTTTTGATTTCGGAGCAACAGCCTTTTTTGGTTTAGGAGCCTTAGGCTTGGCAGTAGGTACCTTAACAGCCTTTTTCGCTTTCGATGGGCTTTTAGGTTTGGCAACTTTCTCTGCCTTAGGTTTAACTGCTTTCTTCTCCCCAGCGGGCTTCTTTGTGACAGCTTTCTTCGGTGAAGCGGGCTTCGCCTTGGGTGCTGCTTTCTTCGTTGCAGGCTTCTTCACAGCCTTCTTTGGTGATCCCTCCGTGGAAACCTTAGGCTTTGGCTTAGCCTTGGCAGCAACAGACTTCTTCACAGCGAGCTTGAAAGATCCTGAAGCGCCTTTTCCTTTGGTCTGCACCAAAGTTTCAGAAGTAACTGCTGATTTCAAATATTTCTTGATGAATGGAGCGTGCTTCTCGGCGTCAATCTTGTAGTTAGCAGTCAAATACTTTTTGATTGCCTGAAGAGATGATCCATTGCGCTCAGCCAACTCCTTGATAGCGGAGTTCACCATCTCTGCGGTGCTGGGATGACTTGGTTTAGGCTTAGGATTAGAACTCTTGGCCTTAGGTGCTTTCTTAACAGCTGTTTTAGCTGGAACAGCTTGAGCTGGTACAGGTGCAGGTGATGTAGAAACGTCAGCCATCTTGTCGAATTGTTAGTTAAAAGCGAAGAAGTCTCGAGTCTCGAGATGTTACTGCTTCACAGTTGTTCTTTCGAATGAATTGAGAAACTACCACTGGGCCTTTAAGGGCGGAGCGCGGACCGTGGAGAGAGGCGTACGCATGGGATCGCCAGAAATGTTCTGTCTTCCACAGTTTTGCTTCCGTTATTTTTACGTATTTGTTGTTATTCCTAATGAAATTATTATATTTTTTTGATTGAGAAATATTAATAAATGTTCAGTCATTCTGATAAAAGGCTTTTATCATGGATTATTCATAGGAATCGGCACGGAAATATGAAGTTTATCAGCCGTATGCTTCGCTGTGCGGGACTTCTTGTGTCTTTAAATATTTATAATTTAAACAATTATGCATATTTTTGTGTGAAAATTTATAGAGGTTGTAGTGTAAACTTGAACTGATACGAAATCAATGGCAGTTATTGAAATTATTGATGGGAGTCGCGGTATTTCGGGACTGAATAGTCAGGAACTGACTCAGACAAAAAAGTGAAGTTGAACATTAATAATGCAATTTCAAAATTATATACAAATCAATATTTGAATGATTGCTTATTTTTTGGGTCGAGGTGTTACAGGGATTATAGGTAGACCTGAATTTTACCTGGAATATTCATTATTCTTAAAAATAACAGTAAATAGGACTCGTAAAGTTATTCGATGTTATCGATTAAGTTTTGCTATACAGAAAACATATATATGTATATATATGGATATTTAAATCACTATTGCATGGGTATTTCTTTTGCAGATTATCACTAAATTGTTACTAATTTATTAATTATTAATTATTAGTAATCTACGAACGGAGGATTTGGTTTAGATGAGAATCGATTTAATATGAAAAATGTTTCATTTTACTAAATTTCCCAGTGATAAATACGTTTTTTTCAGGCAACAATTTCAGTGGAGTATTAGATAGAAATTTGAAATATTTAATTCTTCAAAAGTATTTATTTCGCCGGAATAATTATTCTGCAGTGAAACAAATGAATTGCAGACCTTGCATTTTCATTATCAATAATGAAATTGTTATAATCGTAGATGGAAAACCACGCTAGATACACGGCTCTAATTATTGCAAGGATTATTTTAGCAAAACAGGAAAAAATCAAGTTCATCCATAAAGAACGTTTAGGTGTAATCATTGTTGGTTTTCCAGATTCCAAGTCGTAAAAATAATGAGTCAATGTCCATAATAAAAAGTGGACAGTGAAAATTACAATAATCATTTTTATGGCTTAGAAATGTGGATTTATAGAATGTGTAAGAATTAACAAAATAAGAAGAGCTCAATTTGGTGAAATTGGAAATGTGAGTGATTACACGTTGTAAAAATTTATTGGCCCTGAAAAGGGCCGATTGAGTTGGGTGCAAAATTTCAATATTTAAGCTCTCTCTCCACGGATACGACGAGCCAGCTGGATGTCCTTGGGCATGATGGTGACTCTCTTGGCGTGAATAGCACAGAGATTGGTATCTTCGAAAAGACCAACGAGGTAAGCCTCACTGGCTTCCTGAAGAGCCATCACAGCTGAGCTCTGGAATCTCAAATCAGTCTTGAAGTCCTGGGCGATCTCCCGAACTAGCCGTTGGAATGGAAGTTTACGGATGAGAAGTTCAGTACTCTTCTGGTAACGACGAATTTCACGGAGAGCTACTGTTCCAGGCCTGTAGCGATGTGGCTTTTTGACTCCTCCAGTTGCTGGCGCACTCTTACGAGCGGCCTTGGTAGCCAATTGCTTTCTGGGAGCTTTTCCTCCAGTCGATTTACGAGCAGTTTGCTTGGTACGAGCCATTCTGTTTAATGGTTGCTTGAAAGGTCCTGAGCGAAATGATGAAAATATAATCTATAAACCTAGTATATATAATATTGTGCAGGGCTGCGATTGGTCGGTAAAAAGAAGAGGGGGTAACTTAGCGGATCGCATGCAATTGGTGGATTCAACAGTGGTGGGGGAACATGTTCTGCAACATCTATATAAGCATGATTACTTTCGAAAAAGGCATCACAAGCTTCTCTCATCTTGTCCAGCGTAGACTTGTTCTTCAAACTTAAAAAATGACTGGTCGTGGAAAGGGAGGAAAGGGATTGGGAAAAGGAGGAGCCAAGCGCCATCGTAAAGTTCTTCGTGATAACATCCAGGGAATCACCAAACCAGCCATCCGTCGTCTCGCTCGTCGAGGTGGTGTCAAACGTATTTCTGGTTTGATCTACGAAGAAACTCGTGGTGTTCTTAAGGTATTCCTTGAGAACGTCATCCGTGATGCAGTCACCTATACTGAACACGCCAAGAGGAAGACAGTAACAGCCATGGACGTTGTCTACGCTTTGAAACGTCAAGGCCGCACTCTCTACGGATTTGGAGGTTAAGTTCATCACTGAGTGGAATAAAAAAAAATCGGCCCTTTTCAGGGCCACCACATATTCACAACGTTGGAATTAAGAATTCGCTTACACAATTACAATTACAGTAGTATAAAATGAATGAATTCATAATAAAAAAAATTATTTCGTAGTTCTCACAGAAAACTGCGCCCATTCTCTCATCTGACCTTTTTCATAATGGAGTCTTGTACTCTCCCTCTTTCAACGAAATCTTTAACGATGTGCACTCCCCTACTGGTGCTAACGAACTTTACTTCCCTGACGGTATGCCGGAATTCTATCGATTGTGCCTACGATCAATTTTTCCAAAACTCACGTTTTTAACAAAGTCAAAATCACTTTTGCACGAAAAATTTAATTAAAAAAAATACATGTCTGGAATGAACTTATTCGAACCCATGTCCCAAATTATGATGATCACTAAACATTATTGAATCACGGTCCTTTCAATTATTTAACGTCTCTGAAATAATCACTGCAAAATCGTAATTATTTGTTTTGCTGCCTCTTCGTTGAATTTTCTTCCACTGACGACTTACATCCATCTAAACACAAATCGATACCGAGTAGATTTCAAAAATTGTCATGAACTCTCGTAGGAGAAGTCGTAAATTCATAACGACGTTTTCCGGAAAAAGAATCGAAAAATATCCAAGAAAATGTTTTCTTCGATTCTGCGAGAGAATACCCCTAATATAAAGCTATAGTATCGCCAGAAAATTGGAGCTATTACTTTGATGATAGACAGCGATTTGGTGTACATCAGCCTGACATAAGCTAGATAAAAAAAAATATTTCAGACAGTTTTTTCCTCCATTCCGCCAAGTCACATGCGTTTTTTATCTCCTCGCACCGACTTTCATTCATAGAAATTCACAACGTAGAAACAACTTAACTTTCTGTTAACGTCATTCTTCTCAGTGGTGGAAGAACAAGTTTGTGCAATTAAAAACCTGAATTCTCTTCAAGACAGTTCAGCCTTCTCGAAAATTTTTTGAAGACTGACGGTGTCTTATCTTTATGCACAGGCGATCGATAGAGTCGCACACCTCCACCTCTCCCCTCTAATCATCATCAATTTTGCAGACCTTGTATCGTACGTTAAGATAAAAGCAGGAAGAAAACCGAAAGATAAAAGAACCTCTTTCCTATCAATTGTCTATCTATCCAGACAAATTATAACGCGACGGCTTCCGCAGTGCAGCGATGAAACTCTTCTTTGATGAAAGACCTGGAAAAAACAAATTCTTGTGAACCAACAGATTGCGATAATATACGTTCACTAAAGATATTGCCTCCACTTCTCATTCCCATTTCTCATTACCACGTCAGCTGTTTTGGAGTGAACCCTTGAGTTCGTTGACAGTATAGTCGTTCCACCGAAGCGACTGCTTTGGATATTCGCAATGTCACTTTTTTCTCTCAGTATCTTCGTCTTTCGGATTTTGGGGCTTTGGTTTCCCGACGAGAATCCTTCAACCTGGAGAACCAAGTTATACCGAATTTTCAATATATTTACGGTTACGATGATGTGTACTTTCACGCTGACGCAATTTCTTGCTTTACCTTCGTGCATTCATGATGCTGAAGAATTAACGAATGCATCTTTTATGCTGTTGACGATGATTGCTGTGACAGGAAAGATGTGGAACATGACTCTCTACCGAAAAGAAATCAGCAGAATGGTTAAATTATTCGATCTTGAGCCTTTCAAGCCTCTGGATGATCATGAAGTGGCAATCAAACGAAAAGTTCGCCGGTCGATCAGGTAAGTTTAATTGTTAATTAATTAAAAATTGTGTAAATTCGGATTAATCAATGATTTTTTAGAGAAAGCCAATGAGTGCATATGAAACTCACCATTCATTCAAATACGTCACACAATCCGGTGGGAATTTTCATTAAATGGAATTAGTTTTCCTAATTTAATTCCAATTCCACAGATTCGGTATAATTCAATGAGAGAATTTACGCAATTTTCGATAAAAAAATTGTAATTGTACAAATACCGGAACCAATGAAAGTGAATTTATCGAAGGCTTTTTACTATCATGTACGGAACGCTGACAGAAGTTACGTGTTCAATGCTGACATTATCTTCATTTATTCGGGATATTCCTCGTCGTCAGCTGCTCTTCAAGTCTTGGTATCCCTTCGATCGTTCGACTTTAATTGGGTTTTGGATCGCCTACGTTCATCAGACTATTAGTCATTACATCGGTGCTAACGTCAACGTTGCCTTCGATACTTTTATCCCTGGCCTGATGATGGCTACCACAGCTCAGTTGGAGATTATTAAGTATCGGTTCATCACAATGCCAAAGACAATAGAGAACAAATGTTCTGAATCCGTTTGCGAAGTAAATGAAGATGAACTTATGAAGATTGAAACAAAATATTTGGCGGATTATACGAGGCATCATCTTAAAATTTTACGGTTGAGTATTCAATAAGAGAGCGAATAGTTAATTCTATGAGTAGGGATGGAAAAATTTATATCTACAGTTCTTGAATTCTTTCCTCTCAAAAATTTCTAATGCTCTTTCCTTATATTTTCGTTTAGATTTTCCAAAACAACTAATAACACATTCACCGGTTCTATTTTCTTGCAATATTGCGCGAGTTCTTTAGTACTCTGCGTTAGTGTCTTCAGCTTATCAACGTTGAAGCCCTTAAGTAAAGAGTTTAATTCTCTGGTGATGTACGTGGCTTGTATGTTGGTTCAAATATTCATATTTTGTGACGCCGCAAATGAGGTTACTATCAAGGTAAAGCAGTTCTTATCCATGGGTGATTAAAATTATGACGATCATCTATATTTCAGAGTGGCACCATTGCAGATGCTATTTATGAGATGGATTGGACTTCTTTATCAACCACCAGCAAAAAGAGTCTAGTGCTCATCATGGTTCGTACTTTGCGACCCATCATGTACAGCAGTGGCCATGTGGTCAGTTTGTCTCTGGTTTCATTCAGCAGCGTAAGTGATAATTAATCTTCCGGCATTCGATATCACTTTTTTAAATTGAAAGTTTTAAATATTTTATTAATGGGATTAAATACTATTCGTAAACGTGAAGGAACTGATATTAAATACTGACTTATTGATTCGATCATAGTTGCTGAAACTTTCATACTCGGTCTTCAACATCTTAAATCATTCGTCTCAAGGCAGTACTTGAATTTTTCACGACTGCAAGTCATCAATACGACATGATGTTCCTGGAAAATGGAGTTTTAAGGTTAAGCTTTCGATGTATTTGCTGTCTAAAGTACACTTGAATTTTCTGTTGTGAAAGAAGATACATCGAAATTGATACAATAAACTCTTTGTTGATTATTGAATGAATTTAATTTCTAATCATGCTCAATGAAATGCTCACGTCAATGTTTTGCTGAAATTTAAGGTAATGTTTAGCGTTGTATACTTATTTTATGGGTAGTTTGCAATATAGATGAATTCACGTTTAAAAAATTTGTTGGCCCTGAAAAGGGCCGTTTGTTTTAATTTATTGGAATAACTTAAGCTCTCTCGCCACGAATACGTCTAGCCAGTTGAATATCCTTGGGCATGATGGTAACTCTTTTAGCGTGGATAGCGCAGAGATTGGTGTCTTCGAAAAGACCAACGAGGTATGCCTCGCTAGCTTCCTGAAGAGCCATCACAGCTGAGCTTTGGAATCTCAGGTCAGTCTTGAAGTCCTGAGCGATTTCACGAACAAGTCGTTGGAATGGAAGTTTACGGATGAGAAGTTCGGTACTCTTCTGGTAACGACGAATTTCACGGAGAGCTACTGTTCCTGGCCTGTAGCGATGTGGTTTCTTAACTCCTCCAGTAGCTGGGGCACTTTTACGAGCGGCTTTGGTGGCCAACTGTTTTCTAGGAGCCTTGCCTCCAGTTGACTTACGGGCAGTCTGCTTGGTACGAGCCATTGCGTTAAATAATTGCTTCGGAGGTCCTGAGCGAAATGATGAAAATGTAAGTCCTGAACCCTAGTATATATAATATTGTGCAGGACTGCTATTGGTCGGTAAAAAGAAGAGGGAGGACTCCACGGGATTGCATCCGATTGGCGGGTTGAACGATGGTGGGGGAATATGTTCTGCAACATCTATATAAACATGATTAATTTCGAAAAAGGCATCACAAGCTTCTCTCATCTTATCCAGTGTAGACGTCTTCATCAGACTTAAAAAATGACTGGTCGTGGAAAGGGAGGAAAAGGATTGGGAAAAGGAGGAGCCAAGCGCCATCGTAAAGTTCTTCGTGATAACATCCAGGGAATCACCAAACCAGCCATCCGTCGTCTCGCTCGTCGAGGTGGTGTCAAACGTATTTCTGGTTTAATCTACGAAGAAACTCGTGGTGTTCTCAAGGTATTCCTTGAGAACGTTATCCGCGATGCAGTCACCTATACTGAACACGCCAAGAGGAAGACAGTAACAGCCATGGACGTTGTCTACGCTTTGAAACGTCAAGGTCGCACTCTTTACGGATTTGGAGGTTAAGAGTTTCATCAAAAAAAAAATCGGCCCTTTTTAGGGCCACAACATTTCTTAAAATGTAGAATACTGAAGTCGCTATTCGTAAATATCTAGTACTCTAGTAACTTTCGAGTCTAGTTAGCGGGTATTTAAATTTACACATCGTAGTGACTTAGAAATAAATTATTCGTAACAATATAGTTTCCGCGTTACAAAATAATTAGAAAATTCTCCCTTAGAACAATTGGTTTTTCTTACCAATTTTTTCTTTATACCAACAACGTATTGACATATTCTTCCTACCGCCACCGAATTGATATACAACGTATAATCAGTTCAAACAAAACTGCCAAGAAAATAGCCAGGGACTCTTTTCCTATCGAGCTAATTGGAGCTAGTTTACTTCACTGATAGACAAACTGTACAGAATAAAAATGCCTTGTTGTCAACCAACATGTTGGGATAATGGCCGTCGTCTGAAATATTGCACTCAGCCGGTTTTTTTGTTACCGGACCCAGCGCAGACTCTTGCACCCTGTCCTTTATTTTTTTCGGAAAAGAGTGAAAAGATATCATCGAAACATGGAAATGTTTATGAAACGAAGTTGTAATTTACTATTTGACGTAGAATACCGAATTTTTTCTTTAAAAAATGTTTGCTATTTTTGACGTTTCCACTTAATTTCTTTCCGGTAAACACTCATGATCGTAGCAATTTTCATTTCTAATAATTATTACAGCAAAGCTAAATTGATTTATCAACGTTGTAAAAATTTTGTGGCCCTGAAAAGGGCCGATTATTAAAAAATGTTCTAATTTATTTAGAACTGGTGTATTTAGTCACAGCTTTGGTTCCTTCAGATACAGCGTGTTTAGCTAATTCTCCGGGGAGAAGTAGACGAACAGCTGTTTGAATTTCCCGAGACGTGATGGTGGAGCGCTTGTTGTAGTGAGCCAATCTAGATGCTTCAGCAGCAATACGTTCAAAGATGTCGTTTACGAACGAATTCATGATGCTCATGGCTTTGCTTGACACTCCGGTGTCGGGATGAACTTGTTTCAAGACTTTGTAGATATAGATAGCGTAGCTCTCCTTCCTCTTACGCTTCTTCTTCTTGTCGGACTTGGTAATATTCTTCTGGGCTTTACCAGCCTTCTTTACAGCTTTGCCGCTGGCCTTGGGTGGCATTTTCGTCAAATCTTAAGTCTTCACGAACTGGAGAGCAGAAGTGAAATGTGAGGTGCGTTACAAAGCGACCTCTTTTAATACCGTTGGCGTTTGCAGCGCCGAGCCAATCAGATGAGACCCTTGCGCACACGGCCTACTGCGCATTTTCCATTGGCTCGGCGCTGGGAACGCGCAAGCCTATATATACCCGAATTTTTGAGTTTCTATTCATTCCACATTTATTCCTCGCTGAGTTTACATCGACTTAAAACTTTTACAACATGTCTGGACGCGGCAAAGGTGGCAAAGTCAAGGGAAAGTCCAAGACTCGTTCAACGAGGGCTGGTCTTCAATTCCCAGTGGGTCGTATTCATCGTCTACTGCGCAAAGGAAATTACGCAGAACGAGTTGGTGCTGGAGCTCCAGTTTACCTGGCAGCAGTTATGGAGTACTTGGCTGCTGAAGTTCTTGAGTTGGCAGGCAACGCAGCTCGTGACAACAAGAAAACCAGGATCATTCCTAGACATCTACAATTGGCCATTCGTAACGACGAGGAGCTGAATAAATTGTTGTCTGGAGTCACCATTGCACAGGGCGGTGTTCTCCCCAACATTCAAGCCGTTCTTCTACCCAAGAAGACTGAGAAAAGCAGTTCATAAATTGTTTCACTCAATTTACTGCAAACAATCGGCCCTTTTCAGGGCCACAAAATCTTTTCGGACGCAGAATCCTCAATTTGCTATATCCTGAAACCTTCGGATTGAAGTGGATGTTAATTACACTATTTGAGATATTTTATTCAGTATGTAATAACATTACATACTTTCATGACTTACATTTTACATTACATTACATTTACATTACATTTTGACACTGACTCATCATTCCGATTTTTCCTCATTCGATTCCGGGAAGCTGCAGCACCGCGGAGGCTTCACTATTGACGACGCACGAGATCACATTGACAAATGAAGACCAACTGAACGAGAACTAGTTCTGGATTATAACTCTCGCTGACAAACGAGTGAGACTGTGGATGAAGGACAAAATTGACGCGGCTGTCACATCCGACTAGCCCGTGGCCATCTTCTAAACAAAAGTGACAGGGAAGTGCCCCACAACGGCACTACCCAACAAATTTTTAAATAAACTAACCCATTCAGCAAAAACTGAATGTAAAAAACTACCAAATAACGACAAGATGCCCCCCCCCCCCCGGGCAAGGGAGGAGGACAACCTACGAGGAAACTGTTACCAAAAGTAACACCAACACCACAATCAATAAATCACATAAGTGACAAGAGAGCCAAAACCACAACAAGTATCTCAAACTCAAGTGCAAAAACATTAACAAATAGCGAACCAAGTGCAATAAAACAGTTAGACAATGCCTCTAAGCTAAACAAACGTAAAAAATCAGTGTCTCCTAAAAGCAGTGACCATAAATCCAAAATAACAAAAACTGAAAACCAAGTGACATTCATCGATAAAAACAGATTTGAAGTGCTAAGTGACACCAGCACAGATGACTCTACAACCAGTGATGATAATGTATCGGCGGCCAGTAACACGTCCGTCAAGAAACCAAAGATGCCCCCTATCGTGGTGACTTCTAAGATTACCAACTACAAACTGTTTATGGACGCAATAAAAACATGGTGCAGCGAACCAGTTACCAGATGCTGCTTCCTGAAACAAAAAGGAGCCAAGGAACCATCATTCAATTATCTCATCTATATGGTGACGTTCGCGACAGCTCAAGAAGCGGCAAAAGCAACCAAAATTAAATACCTGGCCCACTGTAAATTACATTGGGAAAAATATAAAAATAAAAAACGAGTGACCCAATGCCACCAATGCCAGCAATTTGGTCATGGATCAAGGTACTGCCACCAAAAACCCAAGTGTGTAAATGCCCTGGAGACCACTTGACATCAGAGTGCAGGAAACCGGCGGAAGCTAAACCCATATGCTCCAACTGTGGCCAAGAACATCCAGCCAACTACAGACAGTGTGAAGTTTACCTGAAACACCTGAGCAAAGTGCTCAGGAACAAAAAACCCAAAACAACACAACCTACTAGAGCAACGCAGCAACCAAGGGAGCATCCAAGGGACCAGGGACCTACAACAACATCAACCCCCAGACACGAGAGGAAGCAAACTCCAAAGAAACAGTACGCCCAAGTAGTCAAGGCATACGAGAGGAACAACAACAGCATCATCACCAACGAGGTAATCAACGCCGATCCAGAAATCCTAGATGACATAAACCTGTTAATTAATATTAAGAATCAAATGAAAAAACTTAATGAACTGTGCGACCTGAGCAACATACTAAAATCAATAAGAGAACTAAATAGTAAAATGGCAATGTGCTCAGACAATCAAGAAAGATCCATAATATTCTATAATCACTTCATCAAAAATGGCTAACAAAACCAGAAATTCTTATATCAAAATAGCCTTCTGGAATGCCAATGGCTTTAAAGATAAAAAATTCGAGACTCTTGATTTTCTGAACAAACATAAAATAGACATTCCCCTACTGGGGGAAACAAAATTCAATAGAAAAAGCAACACTAAGCTGCAAGGCTACAACAGTATTATCAAAAATAGAAATCTAGATAACAATGAAGGCGGGGTTGCAATCTATATAAGAAACGATATACAAAATTATCACGAAATACAAACTGAAACTGAAACATTCGAAACTGTGGCTATTAAAATTGGAGGGGTAGTGCTGGCATCCATTTACAACACTCCGGTATCAAGCAAAACCAAAAATAAACTTCCTAAATTCAACCCAAATGAACTAAACAAAATATTTAATACTAGCAACAAAGTAATAGTATGTGGAGATTTCAATGCCAAGCACACGAATTGGAATTGCGCCAACAACAACAGCCAGGGCAAACAACTAATAGAATTCTTAAGTAACAAACAAATATCATTAGAATATCCCACCAAACACACCCTGTACCCCAGTGGAGGTCAACCATCCTCCACAGTAGATTTAGCATTAATTAAAAATGTAATCATCACCGAACCAATAACATACAACGAACTGAATGCTGACCACTTACCAGTTGTATTGATCGTGTTAAAACACGCAATTCAGAGAGTAGATAATAGCATGCTTGATTATAAAAAGGCTAACTGGTCAGAATTCAGAGAAAAATTGAAAGATACTTACGAGATAAAGAAAAACCGATAATCAGGCAAGGAAATAGATCAAGCAGTTCAACAACTAACCGATCAAATTAATAAAGCCATTAGTGAAACAATCCCAATTAAAAAAACACGCCCTAATCCAATAGAGATGCCCAGGGAAATCAAAGAACTCATTAAAAAAAGAAACAAAACTAGAAACAAGTTTCAAAGAACGCGAGACACGTTTTGGAAGAGGATTAAGAACAGACTAACTAACATCATAAATAAAAAAATCCTAGCTTTCACCAGGAAGACATGGGAGGATAAAACGTCCAATCTCGATCCACGTGATCAGTCTCTGTGGAGAATGGCACGCGCATTGAAGGGACAAAATCGAAAACGTATTCCCATTCTTCATGGAACATCTGGCCTGGCTCTTGATGATCTATCCAAGGCGAATACTCTCGCTGACACTTTCGAAAGAGTTCATAGGCTAACCGAGGATTACGGAGAATATAGCCATACTAAAAAAATCAAAAGAAGCTATCAAAAAATCAAAAACAACAAAATAGACATAAACAAAATAGAACTAGTCAGCCCAAGGGAGCTTTGTAAATTAATTAAAACGCTCAAACCGAAAAAAGCTCCAGGACTGGACAAAATACAAAATCTAGTCATTAAAAACTTACCAATTAAGGCGCTCGTACATCTAACTCAAATTTTTAATGACTGTCTTCGTCTCTCTCACTTCCCAGAAGTATGGAGAATAGCAAATGTCCTACCCTTTCCCAAACCCAACAAACCGCAACTATTCCCTCAAAACTATAGAACCATAAGCCTCTTGCCTACGCTAGCCAAGCTCCTCGAAAAAACGATATACAGCAGAATCAAAAAATACTTAGATTCTGAAAATAAATTGATCCCAGAGCAATTCGGCTTTAGAAATAGACACAGCACTGTCAAACAACTTGCCAGACTGACAGATCACATATCTGTGAATTACGACATAAATAAAAATACAGGCATGATTCTGCTCGATATCGAGAAGGCGTTTGACACGGTGTGGCTGGAGGGCCTTATCCACAAAATGAATAGCAATAACATTCCAGTATATTTAATCAAAATCGTATTGAGCTACCTGACTAACAGAAAGTTTACGGTAACAGTGAATCAGGTTCAGTCTAGCTACAGAAAAATAGTAGCGGGAGTTCCACAGGGATCAATCTTGGGACCTTTGCTATTCCTCATATACATTAACGATGTACCCAAAACAGATAGGACACAAGTAGCTCTATTCGCGGACGATACAGCTATTTATTCCTCATCTTGGTCCAACAAACTATTAACGAAACATCTCCAGAATCACTGGGACTTACTCAACGATTACTTCCTTAAATGGGAAATTAAAATAAACGTAAACAAAATAGAATTTATTATATTTTCAATCAAAAATAACAAAAAGAACAAGGAATCGATTGAAGGGTCCCGGCTGATTGTTGAAGATGTCCAAATTGAACCACGTAGCACCGTCAAATACCTGGGAATGACACTTGACAGTAAACTTTCATGGACTAAACATATAGAATTAGCTAAACAAAAAATCTATGGTACCAAAATTATGTTAAATCCACTTATAACGAGGACAAGTAAAATCGACACTAAAAACAAACTACTAATCTATAATATGATCATCAAACCTGTATTTATGTACGCAGCTCCTATCTGGAGCAACACATGTAAGACTAACATTAATAAATTACAAATAATACAAAACAAATGTTTACGGGCGATCAGCAAAGCTGACCCCAAAAAATCAAATGCAGCAATCCATGCAGAGCTGCAAATCAAAACTGTGTATGAAGCTGCCAAAGACGCGTCTATCGACTTCTACACTAACCAATTGAGCGACCTAGAAATATTAAGCAACACATGTAAAATTAATAACAATAACATATATTTTAAAATGAAACACAAACTCCCTCAACATCTAACAATGATAAATGACTAGCTAGTAAGAAAAATCCTGTGATATTAGCAATAAGAACAAAACAACTATGGAGAGCACCCCGACTCACCCTCCAAAAACTACGTAGAATAGCAATGAAGCCAAACAACAAAAACGTCAAATTTCACTAGATAATAAATACGGAGTAAATTAACCATGTTAATAGGAACCTATGTATATATTTTAGAAACTACTTGTAGCCAAACCTGACAAAATGTAAAACATGCATAAATAAACGAGTTTTATAAAATAAAAAAAAAAAAATTCCATTCATTCCACATTTATTCCTCGCTGAGTTTACATCGACTTAAAACTTTTACAACATGTCTGGACGCGGCAAAGGTGGCAAAGTCAAGGGAAAGTCCAAGACTCGTTCAACGAGGGCTGGTCTTCAATTCCCAGTGGGTCGTGTTCATCGTCTGCTGCGCAAAGGAAATTACGCAGAACGAGTTGGTGCTGGAGCTCCAGTTTACCTGGCAGCAGTTATGGAGTACTTGGCTGCTGAGGTCCTTGAGTTAGCAGGCAACGCAGCTCGTGACAACAAGAAAACCAGGATCATTCCTAGACATCTAAAATTGGCCATTCGTAACGACGAGAAGCTGAATAAATTGTTGTCTGGAGTCACCATTGCACAGGGCGGTGTTCTCCCCAACATTCAAGCCGTTCTTCTACCCAAGAAGACTGAGAAAAGCAGTTCATAAATTGTTTCACTCAATTTACTGCAACCAATCGGCCCTTTTCAGGGCCACAAAATCTTTTCGGACGTAGAATCCTCAATTTGCTATTTCCTGAAACCTTCGGATTGAAGTGGATGTTAATTACACTATTTGAGATATTTTATTCAGTATGTAATAACATTACATACTTTCATGACTTCTTTTAAGTCGGTAAATTATTAGAGATTAATTTTACGGGGTATAAAATGATAAGAAAATGCTCCTTCGGAGCGATCTGTTCTTTCCACTAACTTTTTTATGCTGAAGGCTTATATTTTTCCTACCTCCGCCGAATCGATATGCAACCTATAACCAGGTGCTGAATTTTTATCACGGCAATATAACAAGACTTCCAAGAAAAGAGTCAAAGCCTCTTTTTATCGATTCTTCTATAGAATCAGCTCTGACGACAGTTCCGTCCCTCCCACTAAATTAGAGATAGTTTACTTCGATGGTGGACAAAGTGGGTAGAGCAGAAATATTTTGTTGTGAACCAACATCTTGCGATAATGGCAGGCTTCTGAAATTTTTATTGCTGAATACAACGCGGACTTTAGCACGCAGTCCTGGAAAAAGGTCAAGAGACATCACCGAGATCCTGACATCTGCCCTAAGAAGACGCTTGCAATTTCGACGATGTCATTCTTTGCCATCAGCATTTTCTGCCTCCAGAGTACGGGCCTCTGGATCCCTGAAAAATCTACCACAACCTGGAGAACTCATTTGTATCGGATCTACAACGCATTCGTCGGGACAACAATGTTCGCCTTCGTCTGGACTCAATTTTTTGCACTATTAACAAGCTTTCATAACACCATGGAACTAACTAATGTTTCTTTTATGCTGTTAACGGAAAGATGCTGAATATGACTCTTCAGCGGAATGAAATAAGCAAGATGGTGATTTTTTGATGGTATTTGATATTGCGCCATTCAACCCCCTGGATGATAACGAAGTGGCGATTAAGTCCAAGTTCCATCGCTCTGTCAAGTGAGTATACTATTCTGTTAATGAAAAATATAAAAAAAAAAGTTAATGATGATTAATTTGTTTCTAGGATCTTCACTTCTATCTATGGAATCCTGACGACAGCAACATGTTCATTGATAACAATTCTCTCGCTACTCCGTGACATACCTCGTCGTCAACTGCCATTTAAGGCTCGTCATCCTTTCGACCATACCGATTCAATTGGATTCTGGATTGCCTACTTTCTTCAACTCTATAGTCACTACATGGGTGCCATCTTTAACATCGGTTTTGATACTTTTATCTTAGCGATGATGATGGCGACCTCGATCCAACTGGAAATACTCAAGTACCGATTTATAACCATGTCGAGTGCAATCGAAAATTAACGGTCTGCATTCAGCACTTACTTGGATCATGGGAGAACTAGAATAGAATAGAATACTTTATTTCCTTGATGTTACTTTTCTAGTTTTACATCTACACAGGCCATCTTCTCTCATCCAATAAGTTTCATTTTCTTACGTCTAATTTGGTTAACAGAGATAAAATAAATAGCAAAGATCAATAATAAAACATGTCATATATATGTCTTCTATTCAGATTTAGCTTTCGAGTTCCAGCTCCTTGTGGGAGAACTATTAAAGTGGAAACAAAATATTTGGTCAATTACACAAGTCATCTTGCAATTTTTGAGCTGAGTATATTGTGGTAAGTGACAGAGAATAATTAGAATATCCTTTTTTCATCAATCACTAAAAATTTGGAAATTTGAAATTGAGAGGATTTAAATTGACATTGCAACAAGTAATCAATAACGTTCTGAAAATTCAATTAAATTCACCGCGATAATTGTGATTTCAAATCTCAGTTGGGCATTAAAAAAAATTACATCTCTCATAATTTCCCTATACGTCGATAAATTTAGGATCCCGAATCTCGGACGGAGGAGAATTAGGAAATTAAATACGACATACAAAAATTGATCCCTGACCCATTAAATCGAAGGATCAATTTCCATTTAGATTCTCCAGGAAAACCAATGATACATTCACTGGCTCAATATTCCTCCAATATTGTGCTAGCTCACTTGTTCTCTGCGTTAATGTATTCACGACAGTTCAGTTAGAGCCATTATAAAGAGTTCAATTCTCTGGTGATGTACGTTGCTTGCAATTTGCAAATATTTTTATTCTGCGATGCAGCAAACGATGTTACTATTAGGGTAAGACAGTCATAATTAATCTATAATGCACATAATCAATTTTTATATTTCAGAGTGAGAGTGTCGCCGGTGCAATTTACCAAATGGACTGGACCTCATTATCTGTTATCAGTCAGAAACCAGTGGATATGTAGTCCGCCTGTCTCTAGTCTCATTCAGCAACGTGAGTACCTACTAATAAATCATCAATTTAATAACTGCAGAAATAATATGATCATCACAGAATAGACTCACTTCATTAAACAACTTCAATGACCCCAGTAATTTTATGAAGCGAGAAACATGAAAGTGTTTATGGAAAACGAAGTTGTAACATTATTTGACGCACAATATATAAATTAAACTCTACCGTTGATTGTTAAGTCACGCGATGATATTATGAAGTATTTGCAAGAGAATTAACAATTTCCTATATCCCTTTTTAGCTTCAGTGAAATTGTGTTTTTTCTATCCGATCTATTCCTCCCGTTTTCGACTATAGGCGACTTATGTCTCCCGTCACGAAGTAATACTCCGGGTCTATCATTTCTCTCCGAAACTGTCATCAAATTTTCGTCACGAAGGACATACATATATAACGCCGATTTCAGGAATAAGAAGCAGATAATAGCTCAGAAATTCCCTTTTTCGTGAAGAATAGAAACTCTTTCCTATCAATTGTCTCCCATCACATACAGATCGCTAAATTATCACTTGCTACATGCAATGACAAAGCTGTCTCCCTTGACACACCCACCCGCCGGGGGGGAGCGAAATTGTTGTGAACCAACAGCTTGCGATAATGTCAGCTCTCTAAGAATATTCCCTTGGCCTCTCTTTTCTATTACTTACACCACGTCGGGTGTTTTGGCGCCTAGTCTTAAGTGCATGACAACGAAGTCATCACTTCTAACTCGTCTCTGCCTTTGAAAACAAACCGAGTATTTCACAATGTCACTTTTTTCTCTGAGTATTTTCTTATTTCGAATGGTCGGTCTCTGGTTCCCTGAAGAAAATGTCTCAACCTGGAGAACAAAGTTATATCACATCTTCAATGGAATCACTGTCTCGTCGATGTGCATTGCAATATTGACTCAATTTCTTGCATTACCCGCGTGCATTCACAATGTCGAGGAATTAACTAATGCCTCCTTTATGCTAATATCGGTAATAGCATTGACAGGGAAAATGTTCAATATGACTATTTGTCGAAAGGAAATTAGTAAAATGGTAAAAATATTCGATCTTGAGCCGTTCAAGCCCCTGGATGAACCTGAAGTGGCGATCCAAAAGAAAGTTCATCGATCTATCAGGTGAGTTAACTTTTTGTTGTAATTGAGAAAATAATGGGATTGATAAAAGTGAATTTATCGCAGGTTCTATACTATCTTGTACGGTACGTTGACAAATACGACATGTTCAATGTTGACACTATCTTCATTTATTCGTGATATTCCTCGACGTCAGCTACTGTTCAAATCCTGGTTCCCCTTCGATCGCACAACACCTGTTGGCTTTTGGTCTACCTACGTTTACCAGACTATTTATCATTACATGGGAGCTAATGTCAACATTGCATTCGATACTTTTCTCCCTGGTCTCATGATGGCTACCACGGCTCAGATGGAGATCCTCAAGTATCGGTTCATCACGCTGCCAAGGATGATAGAGAACAAATGTTTTGAATCGGTTTGCGAAGTGAATGCAGACGAACTTATAAAGATAGAAACAAAATATTTGGCGGATTATACGAGACATCATCTCAAAATTTTAAGGTTGAGTAGAGAAAATTAAATTTCGAATAGGGAAAGAAAAATGAATATCTGCAGTTCTGGAATTCTTCCCTCTCAAAAATTTCTGATGCTCTTTCTTATATTTTGGTTTAGATTTTCCAAAGCAACTAATGACACATTCACCGTTTCAATTTTTCTACAATATTGTGCGAGCTCTTTAGTGATCTGCGTTAGTGTCTTCAGCTTATCAACATTGAAGCCCTTGAGTAAAGAGTTTAATTCTTTGGTGATGTACGTTGCTTGTATGCTGATTCAAATATACATATTTTGTGACGCGGCAAATGAAGCAACTATCAAGGTAAAGCAGTCATTATCCGTGGATGATTAAAATTATGACGATTATCTGGATTTCAGAGTGGCACCATTGCCGATGCCATTTATGAGATGGACTGGACTGCTCTATCAACCACCAGCCAAAAAAGTCTGGTGCTCATGATGGCTCGGACTTTACGACCCATTATGTACACGAGCGGCCATATGATCAGTCTGTCCCTCGTTTCATTCAATAGCGTAAGTCATAATTTATAAAATGAATTTATATTTATTAATACTCAATCATCGATGCGGTTTCAGTTATTGAAACTTTCCTACTCTATCTGGAACATCTTGAACCGGTCATCTCAGAGAAGTGATTGAACTTCCCAAAACTTCAAGTCACTGATACGATGGGAGGTGCTGAATAAATCGAGTTATAATATTATCTTTTCGATGTACTTACTGCGTAGGTTCTACTGAAATGGCTCTTCACAAAAGAAAGCCCATCGTAATTGATCCACACTTTTTGTCGATTGTTCTATCAGTTTAATGAAATTAATCATGATATAAGAATGATTGAAAGGTTTTCATAAAAAGCATTAATGAGACGCCATTCGCTGTTTAATTTTCGCGTAGAAGGTTCGCCTTTTAAGTTCTTCGTGTCTTTTGCAATGAGGCGGAAGTCGTTAAAGTAATTTGCCCGATAAAGTGGCTTGTTGACTCTATAAAACAAGTTGGCAGTCACCAATCAGTTAAAAGTGCGATTAACAATGGTTGAGCGAAGGGTTATGCTCCTCGTCCTTCTTGCGCTGAATATAAGAAGTTCAATTCTCGCGGAATCGGAAATAGAAGAGGCAGAAAAGCCTTCAGAGGGTGAGTTGATCATTAGGAAATATTGAATATTCCCTTATTATGATGTTAATTGGTTTTAAGGAACTTTGTGGTGCGGAGAGTATCCTCCAGATGATGAAAACGCCCTAGGAAAATATGAGGGAACCGACAAGTGTTGTCGAGCTCATATCGTAGATTGCTCTCAAATTAAACCCGGCGAAAAGAAATATGGCCTGGAAAATTCACAATCGTTTGCTACGTAAGAATCAATTATCAATTATTTCTCTCTCTATTTTTAAATCTATTCTTCAGGTCGGAATGTTCGTGTGACGAAACTCTACTGACATGCTTGCAAGCTGTTGAAGGAGAAGAAGTGACTAAAGAAGTTATGAATGATTTTTTCCATATTTTAAGTCCACCGTGTTTCAATTTTGAAGACGATGAAAAGACTAAAGCTGTGTGGAGTGACACTAAGGTCAAGATCGAGAATTAGAGTAATTGTGTTATTAAAAATCGAGGGGTTGTTCTCATCAAAACTATCGCACCGGCAGCCACCTACATTTACACTGATAAATAAAAATCTGTTAGCACAATTGGGAGTAAAATTAATTTGAAGATGCGAATACTCCATTTTCTGTTCCTTGGTGAAAGCGAATACTCCTAGGAATGAACGGGTTTGGAGAATCGACGATATTATAACGGTTGTCTCGAATTCCGAAAGTTAATTTCCCGCGCTGGAAAATTACAACAGCTCTTCGTGACTTCTGTAAACTGATAACACTGAACGATAGGGAAAAATGATAAAGAGGATTCCATCGATATTTAGAACCCAGAGGTGGAAAATGACGGTTGAAGGTGCGTAACACAACAATTTCTAGTGAAGAACTTTCCAATGTAATTTTTCGCTGAAAAAGGATGGGAATAAACAGGAAATATATTCACGTCTTCTTGAAATAGTTGAATGATTAACTATAGAATATTTCGCCACGAAAAATTCCTCTCGACCGAGTGACGAATAATATTTTTTCATTCATAAAAAATAAATGAAAATAATGCAAAGGGTTATTAGACAAGAGACCTGTGGCTACGTAAAATTCATGCGTGTAATTTGCATTTTCAAAGACTTCTTCCATTTGTTACATAATAACAATCACATTACACATTTTTCTCATTTTTTCTCTCGTGAACTTTGGGGTTTCAGGGGCTTTGGTTCAGACGCTTATAAAAAAAATTGTTCATTTTTTTTTTGGTTTTTTTTTTCTTTTTCTTGCACTCATGGGGCACATAGAACCTGAAACACACAGGACAGAGAGGTTTCAGGTTTATTTTCGACTTTTCTTTCATTTTTTTATGTATATAATTATTTTTATATCATCAATTATAATGAATATATAGTTATTTACAATATTGAATCTCATTCTTTAACAATAACATCAACAACATGATTAAACAACGTTCCTCATTGGTACACAAATTGTAAATGTACAGATAAAAAAGCATTAGATGAGGCTCAATGAGGCATTGAAGGTGGCAAACGCTCTGCGCGCCATTTTTTTCATCTTTCTTCATTTAATTTATCTTTATACATTTTATATAACCCCAGTAACATTTGAATTTATTCTTCAGATTGTTCACGTGTTATCTCTTTCTAATTTTCACCTTCGTATAATTAATTTTGTTCTTCAGACACACGTCGTTCACGCACGCAAATTTTCACCATTTTTTAAACAATGGCACGAAGATAATTAATGATTAAACGATGAATGAATTCGATTTGGTGCATGATTTAATTATTAAAGAGAGTGCATGAATAATTGTCTTCTTTACCGATTTAGAAGAATTGCGGTTCATCTCGGGTTTCAGAAAATAAATTGACAAATTAATAACTAAACAAATAATTCGAGAAATTGTCGAGTCTCGTGTTTTATTGAATATTTTGTAGACCACAAAATATCGAAGTGATAATCAAAACTTTTCTCAATTGTAACTATAAAATGGAAGAACAGCAATTCTCTCAATGGTAACGTAATCGCAATCATTTCTAATATTTCTACCCAAGGCTTTCCGATTTTTGTTTAATGATTAAAGTTGCACAAAATCTAATGCACATATTCTCAATCTCCCCGAGACGAGAGAGGTAAAGTGTATTAAATGTATACAATAATTAATTTTCATTAAAATGATTGAATGAATGTGCCCGAGGAGATCGTCGGTGTATTCATTACCTAGAACAAAAAGTTATAAATTTTCGACCGGGGGGTGGGATTAATCCGTTAAAAACCAATTCCATTTTCCGAATTGAAACAGCATGATTATTTTTTCTTTCCACCGAGTCGAGATAATTCATCTGAATTTAAATTCGTATATTTAATCAACAAATTCTACATTCTCACACAAACGAGGGGAATTAATTTTCTCCATGTTCCATTATTGAATCAGCACCGATATATTGAATCCGTCTCGCCGCTAATACCGATAGTATATAAATTTCTGTATCTTAAAAATTGTTATTTTTTTTTTCTTCATAAATTTTCTCCATTTTCTCCATTTATATACGATGATAACACGAACTGCGGTGGCAGTGAACAGTGCACGTGGATATTGCAACAGCAGCAGCATTAATTAGCGGCAGCAGCAGCAGTTATACACGGGTATGCATATACGAACACAGCAGCAGTCTACCACATGTTTTTAAAGGTTCATCTGATGATTTAGTTGAATTAAAACGATTTATGAATTTTTGATACAATTTCCTTCGTAACATCGATGTCAATTAGAAAAAATCATTTTTAATCTCTAATACTCTACCATTCATATCTCCCCACCTAATACCTAAATTTTCGTTCATTTATTTTTTTTTGTATCCCCCCCCCCCCCCAACCCATTTCCCAGTCCTGGGTATGAATGTGAATTTCAACGTGCGCAGAAATTTTATCAAATTATTATATTTCTCGTAGAGTTGTTTCTCAATAATGCAAATGTGATGTTGAATTATTCATTTTTGCCTGCAAATTAATGACATTACACTCCAACGCAATTGTGAAACGCTCAACTGTGTATTCTCATTTCTCGGTTATTTTTTATAATAATTATTTTGTTATAATTTATGTATAATATGTCCGCCCGTATATATACACACGTGAGTTTCACAAAAATATATAAAAGAGAGAGTGTCTATTTATATGATTTCTTGTATCTTCATGTATAATAATTAATATATACGAATATGTACCTATGATGTATACATACCGATATATAACTGATGTTTTATGTAATTTGTTGTTTATTCTGTATGTTTTTTTCTTCTTCCTTTTATTATTTAATTATTTATTTTTTTACTCAAAGTCATTTGTGGAAAAGGGCAATTCATTTTTCGTAATTATCTATAATTAATTGTTTTACGAATTTGTAAGTATTTTTCAGGGTGAAAATACGTACATATACGTAAGATACCTGTACAAAGTGCTTCATTCAGAGTTCACATATTCTTCATTTGTGGATTTTAATCGTTAATCAAGACACACGAGGTAAAGATTACATGAATAAGTCCCGCGCACTCTCATCTATCGTTTTTACCATTGATTTCATTCATCTCCGTGAATTATTTCTTTTCAGGTTCTACCAATGACTGTTCACACTCTACCAGTTTGTCATCACGATTAATCACAATTAGTGTCTCTGGTTGATTGAGTGATTTAGATTAACAGCGATGAATTCGTCCATCTTGTCAAGCCTGATCGAGAATGATGACACCTAGAGGATGTTCTACGTGGCGACGACTAACTGCTGGCGAGGATTGTCTTCTTCATTGTTATCTCATCGCTGATTAGACCATCTTCGATTACCCATGGGCATTCGCACGTGAGTGTTGCACCTCCATTGATAAATTGTCCTTCGTGCCTATTCTATTTTAATCATAGTTTAACCTCGTGACATTGGCAACGTGTAGCAGCCCTCCAGACCCTCAATCGTGCCACCGTTCAATAATTCTCTCGTCTTCATTAGATTACCACTTGAAAATCTCTGAAGTTTCCAGAAGCCCAGTAGAGTCCTCATTAATTGTTAAAGTGCAAATTTGTTTGAAGGAAAAAAAGGTGATAGGTTTGTGTGATAAAAATGAGAAAGAATAACTATTTGTTGTGATGGGGTTGAGGCCCCGGGGGTTGATGAAGACGCAGATATATTTCATGGATGACAAGGTGGCACGACAGCCTTCCTACGTGGAATTAAATGTAGGAATAGGGTCCGTCTGTGAGGGCGCTACACAGCAACAGTCAGGAGGCATCGTCCTTTCCTCGTGTCCCTCTGTTCGGTCGATACTCGAGGCCAGGGTCGAACTGCATAAGCACGAAGACCTACGAAAAGTGGCCAACCCAATGAAGCATCCCCATGTTATTAATAATTCTAAATAATAAACGAACTCTACCAATCCTGCCAGGACTTACCTGATCCGTAGGTAATAGAGTAAAGTCATCGGGTGGATTTGTGATCACATAACGCTTGGACGAGGCTTCGCAAGACGAACTCGTATCGCGAAACCTAAAAAAACCCGGATAAACGGTATTAGTTTGAATTCAGAAGTAGTAAACCACAATTAGCCATTCACAAGCTAAACTAAAACATAAAACTAATATACTTCAGCAAGTATGACCTATCGACTAAGGTAACAGATGTACAGACAAGGTTGACACGAAATAACGACAGAAATAATGTCAAAAATGATATTTTTTGGATGGGAGAACTTACGGACGGAATGGGCGCGATTTTTAGTGAATTTTATTTTCTTATGCATGGATATATATTGTTGGTGTTTCATGATGCAAACGCAAAATGCAAAAGTGGTGCGGCAAAGAATATAGAAAATTCATAAGTGACAGAGTGATATAGCAAATTCATTAATGAAAGTATTTGATTAAAAAAATATACAGTAATAATTGATTTATCATGTATATTTTTTATTACAACGAAGGTCCTTGCGATGGAGGACAATCGTGACATTTCATAGATAAACTTTATTGATTGTTCGGCGGGTAATCCAATAAATACCATCGAGGGAAAGAAAGTCCGGTACCTGTACCTGTACAGACCAATGCACAGCATTCCGTATGATTTCAATGCCGCAACAAAGAGATCGCCGTACTTGCCAGCCTCACCGTATTGGGCCAGAGGCCCATCATACAGTGAGATTTGACCTACGCGACAGCGATCTCTGTTTGCCAGACTGTCCGCCGTACTGTAACGATAAAAAATAGAAATCGAGATTTAGTGGATTGAGAGCAAGAACAAAGAATTGGTCTCAGAATTTCAATTCAAGTTCCTGGAGTCAAGATTGCGTATGATCTCTCATGACGAGATGATAGTGATGTAATACTCGGATATATCTACCTGTAACCACCTCTTAATCCAGCACCTTCAGCTAAAATCAATTCCAATTCGGGTGTCGCTCCTCCAGTGATTAACGATCGGATTAGTGTCAGTGCGTTCTGATTGAAATAGGTCTGAAAAGGATATTGGTTTTTACGAGTTATAGCTATCCATTCGGTGGATATTTATTGAATAATCGGATTACGGTACCGTAGACATTAAAGAGTCAAGTACGCTGACAGCGAAGGCAGTGCCGCATGCAAACGGTTGGGTGAGGTAGAGCTCCGTATCGGGATCGTCGTCGTCGTCCTGGTCGAGAAATTGTACGTTACTGTCGTTTACGAGTTCTGAAATAAAAGGAATATTGCGTATTTATGTATTTAAGTGTGATGGCAGATAGGCGGAAGCACATGATCAATTTCACGATTAAAGATCAAAATCAAGTGCTAATTGATGCGGATCACATCACAAATGAATAGCCCATTCTTCACATCTCTTTAGTATGCTGCAATGTACTCACCAGTGATCATTGGCACGTTTGCACCGTAAACTGAGCCACGTCGTTGCAGTACAATGGGGCTGCCAACTGTTGAGCAAACAACATCATCAACATACCGCTTGTTTATTTTCATTGAATCTAGAAAGCCTAGTTTACCTTGACTGAGTACTCCAATTGTATCATCAAATGTCATAGCCTTGATATTAAGGGACGCGAGAATGGCTTCCTTGTCGGCGAGGGTTGGATCATCGTTGCTAGGCACTTTTGCCGACAGGATGCAACACATGTCACAGAGATTAACATTCACTGCTCGTAAATCTGCTCTGCTCAATGGTGAACCCTTTAACAAAAGGTTGGCAAGTTGGAGGTCATAGAGTTGATGGGTTTTTGCAATGGAATCGATAGCGAATCTCTTTCTCGCGGTATTCACGTCGGAAATAGTTTTGTGTATGACAAATGCATGAATTTAAAGAAGATAGACGAGAAGGGTAATATTTTTAGGACTGTCGACAGAAAATTATTTAACAGTGAAAACTTACATTGAGAACCGAAATCTTTGGCAAATTTTGCAGCATCTTCCACTCGCGTCTTATATAGTCAACGGATCCGACTATAACTACGTGTTTAAGCTCGTGGTAATGAAAATTGGAAGCTCGTAATGGCATGACAAGGTTTCTCAGTCCAATTAATGGTGAATCAGGATCAGCAAATAGGCATACAACAACGTGCCCATTTAACACAGTCATTGCGGCCTGATTGCGATCCAGTATGCAGTCTTCGAGATTGCGGGCTGGACTCCAGTGGAACATACCCGTTGAATCGTATTTCATTTCAGTTTTTTCAAAGTCAAAATCTTTCGCCTGATCGTCGGCAATGCCAATCTGCAGACCACCGTTGTTATTAACATTTGAGCCACCGGATGCTCTGTTTGTAGGCCTGAAATAATCAAGATTCAGTGATTAAACAACGTGGAGAGTGCCTCCGGGGCGTTACAATCCAGAGCAAATGAGTTGCAATTATTTTTCTTCAATTATGATTATTTACTGGATCATTAAGGAACATACTGGCATGCAAACAAGCAGTAGCGAGGCGTATACTTTTACATATTCAACATAGACATGGAATACTATGATCATTAATCCTGAAATTAATTCGAATAACTCTGTCATTTTAATTTTTTCAATAAGAAATATCAACACGTGTAAAAACAGTGTTAACGGCAATAAGCGTACATGAGTTTTTTGACTTCGTAGGCGAGATGGTAGCCAGAGTATGCCGACTCCTCTTGCGATCTGGAAACAGAAGGTGACGTTTCTTGATGCTCCATTTTCTCTTACGCTGTGTCTTTTTTTATTTCATTAATTCGTTTCTTGTTTCGCTTTCATCATCGATGACTTGATATTTGGTGACACGAGTGGTGAACCAATGGCGGGATATTGATGAATAATATTGTGAAAAACAAAAGATGATGATAACAAATAGAATAAGTGGATGAATATGATTTTCTCATGAATTATTGACAATGCGTCGAAGCGAACTCCAACATATTATTACCATGAAAATTCGTATCGGTGTCTATAACCGTTTATTTTTCATCTTTTGTTTCAATAATGAGTTCATTATTTTATTTATAACTCATGCATCACTCAGGACGTATATTTAACCTATCAATTTTGAAATAAAAATAATTGGCTCATGCTTTGATAATAAATCAACGAATGCATTAAATGTGCTTGGATATTTGCTGAACCGGTGCTCATCGCTAATCGATTAGTTTTATTTATGATTTTAATTCGAATGTACTACTATCTAAAATCAGAAGCCTCGAGATAGAGAAATACAGAGAAGAGTTAGAGATAGACTTTAGTGAAGAGCAATTACGAGAAATTCAGTTGAGTAATTTGGTTTTCTTGAATAATTTCTGGATAGAGTTTGTATGGAGTGGTTTGAATTTTTCATTTCTTTTTTTTTTTGATTCGGGTGAGTGATCATGAGATGGGGTTTTGATGGTGGTGATGAGTGTGGAATGAGTGATGATGATTGAAAAAAAAAAGAAATTATGAAGTCAGGGGGCACCGTTTTAACTGGTACCTCTGATTGTACGGATGATTGGGACTGGATAAGCTATCACTGGTTGCTCTGTTGACATTTGGCTTGACTTTATTCACTTGCTTTGTTGAATTCATTGTTGTCATTCCTACGGAGTTACGGTGATTCCTCATGGCTACAAATAAATTTAAGATTACAATTAATATGTAAATTTGGTTTTAAGCTTGTGTAAGGGGACAAGGAAAAATGAATTTGTGGAAACAAAAATAATCCAAGTAATTTACCATTTGGATCATCTCGGTCTCGACTGATTTCACCTAAAATTCATACGAAATAATTAATACGCAATTACTGATTATTTGTGTGAAGCTATTAAAGCACAAAATGATCAATTTTGGAATGACAATTATAAACACGAGCACATTTTTTGCTCCCCCCGATGGTGATAAAATCGAGAGCGTTTTACAGTGATTTTCGGTTAGGCGACCTACAGCCCCCCATGCGTACAGACGCGCATACCTCATCCTAGGCATTATTTAAATGCCAGAGATACGCGCAAATTAATTTGCAAATGAATAATAAAAAATTGATGTACTACTGATAACAAAAAAAGGATTGGAGAAAAAATACTCAACACTATTTAACACAATTCTGTGAGATTATTGCAGTAGAATAAAAATAGGTGTAAAAAACATGCAAAAAACAAAGTGTAGATTGAAAATAAATTATTTACTGAAAAGTCTCATTCAGCCATTACGTAACATAACTGAATCAATAAAATTTTAGGATTTCATTGTTATAGAAATTAATTAACTTAATGGAAGACAACTATCGATGAATTATTCATTTCACTTCTGTGAATGTTAAAAAATTATGAAATGAATTAAGTAATCATGTTGTAAAACTCAATAATTTTTACAGTAATAATATGTGGTAAAAAAATTAGTTTAACTGAGAAAATTCCTCGCAAAAACTATTTTTGAACTAATTTTGAAAAATGAATGGGTGGATTATTAAGTTTTGCAACTCAGAATTATAAGGAATTAATAAGTCATGATGATGCTTATAATATAAATTAACAATAATATTATTAGGAGTGCAGCTTGCGAGACTGTAGCATGGCTTTGACTGAGGTGTAACTGTACCTCTCACGTGAACCATCTTGGGCAGTTCTGGCGGAGTGAATGTGGGGGGAGGATGATGGTCGTCTGTAACAAACCACTACACATGTTAGCTACCCCTACCCCTAGATATTAAACAAGGCCTAAGTCCTTTTAAATCTACACAATAATCTATCATTATTGCGCTGAACCTCCAACTGATCGTTCCAGCCTTAAACTGAGATATGAACTCACACAATTCCATCTGTAACGCTCAACTTTTCCTGAACAGATTTAAGATTTTAATTTAATTTTAATTTTAATTGAATTTAAATCTTCCAAAATCCGGTACTAGCAAAAACTCGTGTGGAATAAAATGATGGAATTCTATAATTTCATCAGTGATGATCAACTCAGTGATGGATTAATTTTAATATTGACATTTTGATAAAAATTCCATGATTTAATAAATTAGTCCTCTCGACATACGTACCTGAATCAACCTAACGCTAAAGGACGTATTTACACATTCTTTGACCGTCGACGATGACTAAATGATGATTTTTAATTATTAGAATTTCTTGCGGCTGGAACGATCATTCATATTCTACTCTAAACATTTAGTTTAATCGTTATACCTCCATTCACAAACGAAGGTATTTAATTTCTCTCTTTCCGATTCCCTACAACGAGCTCAATGAATTTTTACGCCGATAGAATTATTAATTATGCAGAATGGCCTTTATAGTTTATTATGGTCGGCTCGTTGTGGAGAGGTCGTTAGACGAGACTGCCAACTATTTTAATAATTACCACATGCGCCGTGCACAAAATACACCAGACATGAAACTAATTGAATTCCAATATGACGAGTTATCGAGTTGCATCAACTCTTGAACGCGGTAATTGTTCGCCGTTATTTTCCATGACGAAAAAAACAATGAATTTCATGTGGATTTTGTCGAAGATTAAAAAAATACTCTAGAACATTCTAAAATACTTCAACACTACACTTATCATCCATATTAACTAATATTAATTAAGTGTGCGTGTCGTATTTCGCTTGAAGGAGAAAAAGGAGAAGAGACATGCTATTGGGTGTGAAAGAGTTATTAACGGTTAAAAATTATGTGGACTTGATGGAAGAAATTGGAGAGCAAAGAGAGAATAAAAGGCATGGGGTCGTGGGTGTGCAATTAATTTTCTTTGTGATTATTTTAATCTACTGTGTAGCAGCCAGTGTTGGGCCGACGTGACGTCATAAAAATATGTTGGCAATGATAAATATTTCATGTGCATTTACCAAATATCTCCGTAACTATAAATCTTGATATTGAATTGGAGAATATCGTGTTAAAATTAGAGTAGCATGTGAACACGACGAATAACTCGGACAAATGCACAAAATATTCTCAATGAATGTCAAATGAACAGCATTATTTCGCTGTGTAATTGATGATTGCACGTATCCTATACATCTAATTACTTCAATATGATATTGATTCATATATATTTTGGTGACATGTTAATCCCTAGTATTCACAATGATATATCAAATTTATTGAATTGAGTTTCGGTTATGCTCGAATTATACTATTGGATTTTTAATTTATTTTTTATAATTTTTGTTCCTTTATCCTCGGATAATTTTGACTTACTTGCGTACGAGAAGTCTTCACCTACGGAGTACGTGGAGGACGAAGGGGTATCAGGCACATAGACACATAGACGGTTAGTTTGTCAGAAAGTTTTGGTTGTCAATTTTTTTAATATAAATAATGAATACATAGAGGAAGTAGAATTAATCCCTTAAAAAAATTTCAATAGCATTAAAAAGGAGAATTAATAAGCGAGTGGAACAATTAAAGCGAAACCGTGATTCTGTCCTCTATGTATTCATTACACTTGTTCAGTTGTCATTAGTGTGTATGCGCAAGAGTCCATTACAATAGATGAGTGTGTTTGATATTAATTTTTTAAATGTATGTAAACTACAAATGAAACCATGAATTAGTGATTCAATGGATTGTGACAATTTTTTTAATTTCCTTCTAATTATCTGATCATTGCGTTGATGATTTCACATGATCCATTTATTAAAACTATCTATTTCATTGTATGGAATAAACTACTACTGTATTGTCACTGAATATACAAACACCGAGCTGTTATTGATTTTTTTTTACGAGGATGAGAAAACCCCTGGGGTCACAATGTTGGATATTGCGATCATGTCGAGAGAATTCGAGTCAATATTGATGGATACATACTGGTTTCCGTATAGTCCTTTCTTGTTTTTTAAAATCGGTGAAAAAATGAAGTCTCTGAGAACAATTATCAACATCAATGTATCTATCTGAGAGTGATTTCTAGATTATTTTTCCGGCAGATCCTCAAATCAACATTAACAACGATACAACATTAATAAAATATTGTAGCAGTACTGTTGTGAATATTTTTTATAATTAAAATAAAGAAGTCACCGACAAAACCAATAAAACCACTCAATAACACTCACAAACGGTTCTTTTCACATCTCTGGTTTAAACGTGATTAGCTACTATTTAGAGAGAGAAAAAATTATGACATTTGGAAAGAAAATAACATCGATAAATGGTCAGTTTCAAAGTCGTAGTTGCAGTAAATAAATTAATAAATAAACACCACACCAATAGGGCTCAAACACTAAAACGTTCTACATTGGGACGGTTCTTTTTTAAGTCGTCTGTCTTTGTTGTTTTGGAATTTTTTTATTTACGACTCGATTACTTTCAAGGGTTTTTCTTCTATTTTTATGCTCGATTCATGAATTTTCCGAACTCTCCAAGTACTAGTAATTTGTAAAACACTAAAAATTAAAATTTCTACTTCAAAATTTTCCTCAAGACTCAATTGATAAATTTGACAATTGACAATGTTTAAAAAGTACTTGGATATTCTGAAGTATCGACTCTGCGGAAAACAAATTATTGAGAAAAATTGACGTGATTCTAATTTATCTTTACAGAATTTTCTCGATTGTTAACTTTCATATTTTAATGGAATATTTAAAATTGGCAGATGAAAAAATACTCTAAAATAATAATATCAGTATTTTCGGGACAATAACAATAGGCGTGAAATTATGATTTTGTACACGATTCTGCAAGCCAGTGGTCGGTGACGGTGTGAGTGTTTTCAACGCGTACAAACCCGTGATATTGCTCTCAATTGATATAATCCTCTGATTGTGAATGAAATTGCCTCCAACAGCCTCCGACAAGCCTACCGTCTCAAATATATCCAACTTTCTATATTCCCCGGAGCAACGAATAAATGAGAACACATTAGATGAGGAATAATTTAATAACTCGAAATTTAGGCGGAAATAGTTCGAGTCCAGGCAGGAAAAATGGGGCAAGTACAGGGGCATAAAGTAATATCCAATTGCATTGATATCGGAACACGTTTTGGCAAGGAACTACCCCAGCAGACTTTGCCCATTCAATTTTACGATCTTTGATATCTGCTATTTCTTTATTCCAAGCTCCCACGTCTTCATTCGAAAATAGAGTTATGAGAGCAAAAAGGTAGAATAAATTTCGCGGAATGACTGTCATAAAAGCTCCAGTTTTTTTTTTAAACCTCTGCCAACGCAGATTCTGTGGCTAATCCACCGCAATCCGCTGTTTTCATACCGATATTTGTAAAGAATCTCGATCTCCCATAAATCCAGATGTAAATAAAATCACCTATAATTTATTTTTATTAATAATCATCGTTTCAGACGACTTCACTCCCGGCTGAAGTCGTGCTACTTCGGGAGAGCTCGTACAGCCTACGACCCTCACTAAAAACATCTCCCCATTTATCTAGATTATCTTAATTTATAAAGTCGTAACGTAATCTGCTGTATCCGTATTTTTTTCTCAGTAAGCTGCAATAATTGATGAAAATTTCATCACAATCAGAGGTCAATTAACAATAATCTATCAGCAGAGCGTGAGAGGCACCACCACAAGGCCTGCGATTGGTAATGTAACGCAGGGCTATCTCAGACTCAATCAAAACAATAATAGAAACTAAAAAATAAATATCCCGACGTCGTTGGTGATTGTAATATACGTGACACAGTTGTTGTTTTTTTTTTCTACTCTCGGGGGATACGTACTTGCTCTTCCGACCATCTGAACGGCTCTCACGCCCTTCCGGAATGTCGCCACTGCCCGAGGGGAGAAGAGAACCATAGCTGTTAGTCTTCACATCTAAATACCTTAGTCCATCTTTTTTTTTCTTTTTTTGTGGAACACATAGGAGTGGGTCTGTCAGAGAGGTAAGGGTTCGATTTGGATCCATCTCCATTTTTATCCTTCAAATTCATGTGACGTGCCATTATTTTAGTCAATGATTTTCCGTTAAAGCTGAGAGGAATCAATGGATGGAGATGAAACCGATGATATTATCGCATGGATAATGATCTAACTGTATCAAATGATGTTTCTGTTTTTGTATGGTTTTATGAGCCCTAGCCATGTGTTGTGTTCGTACTTAATGAATATATATTACATCGAGTAAAATAACAGTTAATCAATGTATGTATACATAATTGTTAAAATTAAAGTAGAATTTAAAAGAATATACAGTTCAGGTACACAGAGAAAAGCATTTGCGAAGTAGAGTGAATGTTCACATTACACGAATAACCAATGATTTACAATTACTCCTCGAGTGTAATTTTTATCAAGACAAACTCGCTATGGTTGAAAATCTCATTTGGAGTGTATTTTTGTCTTTGAATATGAATTTAGTGGAGAAGAGCAGAAAATTTTCTCTGTGTAATAAAAGACGAGGTAAACCCTGGGCATCTGGAGTTATTTAATCTCAGCATATCAATAATTATTGAAGAAGGCACTAAATCGGGGTAATGGAATGAAACCTTCCTGAAATACTTGTGCCTCAAGCTTCCATCGAATGGCGACGATAATTACGTGGTAATGAGGAAGATAAAGGAAAGTTGAAGTTAATATCATCCACCACTCGGCACTCCCCTGGAAAATTTAAGAACCAAAACTCCAGGTGAATTATAATTCACCAGGAGTTGACCTTCAACCCACACCCTTGCTCGATCTATTCATAAACTGGGAGCGGCATAAAGAGCCAAAGTTGATAGAAAATAGTGGGAGAAAGTAAACTCTGGAGTTCGAGGATGAGTATCATCAGGTAAATCATTTTACCTTGAAATTCTTCAACATTTGGGGTACAGAAGTTTTCTGTGAATAACATAAAAATGATTTTGTAACGGCTGAACAAGATTATTCTAGCGTTAATTACTTTGCTTTACAATGAACGATTTAATTTACAGCGTAAGCCAACATTTACTTCTGTTTTTATTAGCAAATAACTATATTTAATGATTCATTTTACGCGCCAAGCAATATTCATACGATACAGGTAGTCCAATGTTTCGTTACCATTTATCAAAGCCTGTGAACATTCATATTCACATTGAGAAAAATTTTGTTGATGCTCTTCAACTTGTTAATTAAATATATTAATTGTTAATTTTTCTCAATGTACTGCACATGATTTACAGAGCATTAGTGATGCGTTACGTTTTGAGTGGACACATAGAGTGACATCGAGAGAAATAAAGTGTTTTTCTCCTTTTGAAATACTGTTTATTTCATTCGATTCGAGCCATGAACGATTATACAACGTGCCCAGCAAAAAATTATGCATTCGTTAATGTGGAGGTAGTGCTAGCGCATTGTTTCTCGATATATTTTTGAAACATTTGAATTTTATTTCCAATCAGCACGAAAAATAGTTAAATAGATTGTTTCCAAAAAATTTTAATTATAGATCATGATGTTTCATCATTTATTTTTCATCTCCTCGCTTCGAGAATATAAATTGAAAATATTCTCAATTCAAGGTTTAAGTGTCAATTATTTTTTGTGGATATTCAGTACTAATGATGCTCATTATTTAATATCAACAACGAATTTGCCTTCTTATGCTTTATTTTCAACGAAATTGTTTCAACTTTGTTAGAGCTTGCATTATGCAAAAGCATTAACGATGAATCTTGCTTGAAAGAAAAAAATACTCATCATTTCAGGATGGAAAACAGTGGGATATCAAAAAATAAACATAAAACAAAAACATTTCGGATAAATAGGAGATAATGAGTGGATGGAGTTCAGGCGTACCGTCAAGGTAACTTCGTAATGCAGAATTTCCCTTCACCATTCCAGTCTGCATCATCATCATTCCAACATCTGGAAAAATTTCTCCATCATTTATCCTTCTACACTGAATAAAAAAATTGATTAATTTCAAACCAAGTCCACCTGCGTCTATTGGAATTATGAGAAATTTTGTCTGGTAAAAATTTTTGTTTGTTTTTTATTTTGACTGCCCAGGGTTTAGAATATGCTGTGATACCTTCGAATAAATATCAACGATTATTTGTCAATGTCAGATAGTGTGTGAATGTCGATATATCGTGTGATGATTTTATCTATTATTCAAAATAAAAAGTTGATGAGTGAAATAATGAAATATTCGGTGAGAGTGCTCGTACATTTGGAACGACAGGATGAACTCTTACATCAAAGTATCCATCGATTATTCAATCTATCAATTATATTTGCACCGTAATATCTGCCTCCCAAATTTGCTGATTATTTTCATTTATTTCAGATGAATGATAAATCATTAATTGATTTTATGCTGATCGATAATGACGAGAGGATTGGACAGACTGAAGCATCTTGCATAGGCAAATTTTTTTTTATTAAAAAAGGGGATGTGGACCCAACCCGAGCTATAGATGACATGCAATGCAAGGCGGACGGATTAAAAGGAGGGCACATATCTATGGTGCAGGCTATTTCATGATTTTTTATCTTCTCAAAACATGTGGTCAGGTGGTCATGCACCAGCTGACTTAAACTATTAAAAATTAGGGGAAACATTTCACTTGCTCAAACTCATTCGAATACTTCAATTTTTTCATCGACAATAATTATTATCCTTTCTCCTTCATTATTTTATCAATTTACTCGCAAAAAGTTGAAGTATTTGGAGTTATGCTGGGCGAATTATGCCAAGAATTTGAAATGAAAATGCAGTTGTCATTTCAAATTAAAATGGATTTATCGAGGCAGATTTGATAATTCAGCGGGAAGAAATTTGACAACACAAGACATGATGGTAATAGAGTGAGTAAGGATGGAGTTATGAGATAGCAAAGGAATAACAGAGAAGACAGATAGAAGAATATAATACGTGGAATTAATCTGAGGCCAGATGTAATGGCAATCCAAGGGATTTTTGGGTTACTTTCGGTGAATTTAGAACAACGATGATAGAAGAAATTAAATAAAAGAAAGTATATGTTTTAATATACTCAGACCAAAGTTTTTTAGTAGTAAAAAGTTTTGAGAGATTAAGCGAGCGAGTTAGAGACGTTACCTAAGTCCCGGCCCCAGGAGCGCTGCTGCTGCCCCACTAGATCATATATTATAATAGTTTATCACTGGTATGTGAATTTCTCTGTTTTTTTTTTCTTTAATTACGTTTTTCTTTCTAATTATGTCATAGACAGATTCAAGAGGATAGTATCCAGTGTGGTGTGGGGTGGGGGATAAAAAAGTTCTTTTGAGAGAAGAGGAGGATAAAAAGTTTGCGGAGAGATTTTTCAAGGGATTTTTTTAATGAAAACTTCCTGCGATCGATTGACCTACGTGGAAGCTTTTTCGTATAGTTGCGAGTCACTTGGGATTATTTTCAGGTTTTTTTTAATGGTTTCTGCACTCACCGCAGGACTTTTGAATTTTCATTAGTTTTTATTGGAGGTTCTCTCCTTGGAAAGGAAATTTCGGGGTTGGAAGATTAATGGCAGGGGGTCCATATTTTTTTCTCCTGTAAGAAAGGAAACTTGATTTTTCACGACGTGACTCGCAGAAAGTGAGATTGTATGAGACTCGGAGTGCGAGATTTTTTTTTCACTTGGACAGCAAAAAATCAGATGAATTATGAAAAATTTTTTCTTGTTAGTAGAGAAATCGTAATTTTTGTTTATAAATTTTGAGATTTTTTGGGGGGATATCGAACATGACTTACAGTTTTTGCATTTGCATTTCTTGATCAGTGTCTCGTCCTTGATGTCCTCGTGGCATGCTTTGCAGTAAAACCATGCACTGAAAAATGTGAAGAGTAGTTACAATTCTTTAGATTTCAATTTCTGGGAAACATTACGATTTTTATGGGGTTTTAGTTACCGTTTGACCTCATCGGCCGATTGAGCAATGAAAAATCCCTGAGTATTAGCAGCGATCTTGGCACCACGTGGATTTATGGAGATTTTGCTGTCCGCACCCGCTTCACCCTTAATCTCGATCGCCAGGAGTAATAGTTTCAATTTCGTGAAACACAATCTAGCACAGACAATCACGTGTTATACCGAGAATTTATCAAATTAATCTCAAATTATATCTCTACTACAGGTCATTTTAAGAACAGAAATCAGTTCTCAATGTGATGTCGAATTACTAAATATTACGTGTGTCAAAGGATCCAACTAAAATTAATCTTTAAAACATTGAACAATAGGATGATAACTCAGAAATGGGAGAAACGAATATAGAGTAAAAACTCCAAAAAAATTCTCGAATGTAAGAGAAAGTTAAAATAATCTGTAAAATAAATCCGTAAATCCCCTCGCTCTTAAAAAAACCAAATAAATTTTCAATACTCCATATTCGGTTCACCAAATATACATATAAACACCAACAAAACATCCATAAATAACCCAAAATACGACACACAAAATGAAAGAGAGGAGTCAGCTGACAAGATTAACACTGCGATATCAGCAAAGTCCATGATGGCAAAACCACGGTACACGAGAATTCCAATGAAACGTAATGCACATGCCTACAAAAACACTAATCCAACTGGAATCTACAGCATGAATGACTATACGTGCATAACACTCGATTCAACGCACGCCACGATGACGATTGGCAAGTACACAGTGAGTTCATGGTGGTGTGGAAAATTTTCTATCCACATACGCCAGAATGGAGTGGATGTGTATATCGTATATCGCACGTGCGTCGACTGCGGATTTTACATGGCAATTTCAGCCCAATAGATAAAGGGAAACGAGGGAATTTAGGGGAAGGAGAGGGTGAGAGAGATTCAGGATAAGATTGGCTAGTCAAGCGAGCAAATGCACGCATTATATTGCTACACGATACTCAACTCATGCTGCACATTGAGCATCGGACTAATTGCAAAACCGATCGTTACGGTATTACGCTCTGCCATTTCCTTCTCTAAGTATAAGCTAAAAGTTCAAGTAGTCGTTAAAAATGACGAAACGTTGTATTAATTCGTTGGTTTTTAAACTAAACGGTTCCTTTCTCCACAGCGTGATTACATATTCACATATTTACAGTCATTCGAATAAGATATTTTTGCTATTTTTTTTTTATTGTTTAGAGGGCGGTGCTCTTTTATAATTCACTCTCTTTTTTAGCTACACTCCCACACACGCAAACAGGCTGCTAATTTTGATGGTTCACTATTAGTCTTTTTTCCACAAATTCTATTTTATTTTGCGGCTTCTTGCGGATGTGAAATTAATTCGTTCTTTAACTTGAAAGTATAATAAGATTGTGCAGTTTTAAATTGCAGAAGATATGTGCACTTGGACTAGGCTTGACATTTGTCACGACTTATTAATTTAGGTGCAATTTTGCTATTTTTTTTTAGTTGCGAATGTGCTTTTCGTGGGAATGTGTGATTTTTTTTTGTTTAGGTGATTCTGTGACGTGGATTTCAGGTGTTTTTGCAGGGAGGGCGGTCAGTAGTAGAAACTGGCTGTGGTCAGACGAACAAAAATAAAGGATTCTCCGTTTTTTTTTTCTCCAATTGAAAACAAATTGATAAATAAAATACGTTTCCAGGATGAGAGCAATTGATCACGTCCTCCTTGCATCGAGTCGTGTTATCACAAATGTTACGTCAATCTTCCATGATTTTTTTATTCAACTAAATGATGAATGGAGAGTGCACAGAGCATGCATGCAGTTGTGCAGAAAAATTTCCAACATTTCTAATTCATTAGATTATTATTGAGTGTTATATGCTACATCAAGTGACACATAAATTGGGGAGGAAGATGAGAATGGAAGAAACTCATCAACATGTCCATTTCCTAAAGATAATCACCCGAAATTAAAAGAATAATTACTATTTTTAACAATAATAACTATTTTATCGTATATGCAGAACAATAGTACGAAAAATTAATGGATGTATGATGGAAATGGGACAGACTTGAAATAAAATCACCCGAGGTATAATTATTTGAATTTAGACTGAGAAATCTCGAAAACGTTGGACTTTTTTGTGGTTCAATCTCGATGAAAAAAAATGACAAAAAGTTGGAACTGGGGGGGCGTAGCCTCATTTCGATGGCGGAGGCATCCGAACGCTAGTTGGCTATGTGCAATAATTAACCGCGTACCACGAGCTCAATAAGCCTCTCGGCATGGTGGCTCGCTATCAGGTTTATCCTGTGGAGTTTCCGCGTTTACCCCGATGTACATACTACAACCAAAATTCCTGGGTAATTTAGCGCTGGGTAAATCTCACGCAAAATCTTGCTCGTTAACCTGCACCACTAATTTCGTTCTTTACCCCCAGTACAAACAATGATCGAGTGCCATTATTCATTAATTTGTCCGTTCACTCGTTAATTCAGTATAAAAATCGAAGAATTATTCTCGTCACGAGTGACTTTGCGGAAAAATGCTGAATGAACGAGTGAATTGGGGGAACAAATGAAATAAAAGAGTTTTTAAAAATATTTTTGTGAATTTATGATGGATATAAAGGTTGGACGATCCACTGGGAGAATTGCGAATAGTACAAACTACTCAGGTGCATAAACAGAGAGAGGAGGTAAAATTCCCAAAACATTACTGAGTGATTTTGTGATAGATTGATAGACACGACTACGGGGTGAAAATAATACGAACGCAATTGAGAAAAATACCATAAAATGGAGAGAGAGAGGGGGTGCGAACACGTCTACTTGTGATTTATTGTTGTTGTAAAGAAATATTTCAGGGTGAAATGAATTTGAAGAAACAAATTGTGAGTGTGTAAATATTCAATAAAAAATAGAAAACAAGTTGTTGAAAAAAGAGGAGAGAAAAAATAGTTTGAAAGAGAGGGTAAGTTTGCATGTGTGGCAGCCGTTGGCAGCGAGAACTTACTCGCTGGCTTGGGGAAATGTCATCCCTGTAAAGGACGGGGAGAGGGTTTCCGTGTACATCTCGCAGCCCGTTCCCTGCAGGTAATCATTCTGCCACGCCTGAGTGTCCGGCGACTGAAACACCAATCACCAAAGCTCCACGTCATCAACACCTTCTACGAGCGCGGCCCTCCATTTTTATTTATTTATTTTTGCTTTTATTATTATTCCATTTGTTGTGCACATTAGCATTAATGTTAAACCAGAGGATTTTATTCCACTGTGTTATACTTCTGAATCACCACGAGACGAGAATTGATTCCTCATCTCGTGGCTACGACATGGTGAACGTACGCGCGCATTTTTCATTATTTTTTTTTATTTTCTTTTGGAACCTCAATCGAAGCGTCGATTTAGTAGCTGAAATAATTAGGTCATTGCACAGTTTCGGGAGATTGTTTCAATTTTTTTGGCATAATTAATGCGTCATGGGGCAATATGAACGAATAGTCTGATGTTTTGCGCCGCAGTAGTAGGTAGAGCGAGCTGACACGATGTGAGCCGAAGATGTACGGGCCAAACCGAGAGTGAAATGACGCGATGTGATGTCCGAGAATTTCGCCTGTCGAAAACCAGATGAAAAAAAAAAAGTATCTATAAAAATGAAACCGAAAGAGTAGTTAAATGAATATTAGGAAGAATTTCGACAAAAGAGGTAATATGAAATTAAAACCCGGATGTAATAAAATCTCTAAAAAAAATATAAAAAGTTATTAGAGTCTTCCTAAGGGATGACCGTGATTTTTGTCATTGGAAAATGGCCACAGCCGGTGGAGACGTGAATGGTCAATTCAATTTCGCGTACCCGAGAGATCGATTGGTCCTGATACCCAACGGGAAATCGAAAATGGGTGGTGGTGAAGGATAGGGGGTAAAGACGGGGTAGAGTAGTGTGAAGGGGAGCCAGAGGAGAGGAGTGAGAATTTCATAGAAGACCAGAGGGTCAGATGCAGTTCTCGGCTACAAACCGCGCGTGACCCCTTGACCCGAAACTCTCCCTGGGAAACCCCGGAAGCCATTGAATTATCGTGAATCCTGAAGCGAGGATATGGCGGGATAGATTTTATTGCGAATTGCGCGAATATCGGGACATTGTTCTTTTTTCGTATCATTCATCCGGAGAAGATAAACGTGTTGGGTGGAAATAGTCTGTGATTGAGATTTTAATTATGATGAAAAATTTCATTCATGAGGTTATCTGGTCATGATAATAAATTTTGCGTCACGGTATTTTGCTTTGATTAATGTGGCCATTATTTTCTGTCGTATTTATCAATGAATGTAATGCCGAAATAAAATATTGGGCCTGATGAAAAATTCCTACTTTATGCAACGAAGTTATTTCATCTGATTACGTTCTCAGTGACATTTAACTGTACATGATGATTGAATTACAATAAACAATGCGAAAAACACAAGAATTTTATCAAGTCAACAACTGTGTACTCGATTCTCAGTTGATTGTTCTTCATCTTTTGCTCATATTCTTGCAACACATTGTGAAAATAATAGACGGAGTTGCTGAAGCATTGAAGGGTGGTTGACATCGATTAGGTGTAGCACAGATACGAAGTTATACAATTAATATATATAATATATATAATGTAATATATATTGGTTAATTTGATTCAGTTGTTTTGGCACGTTCAATTATGGTAGAATGGTTCAATAATAGCGGAGTGGAGCGTAGTGAGAGACATAGGCGAGGCGAAGCTTTTTTTCCTTTTTCTTCCGATTCAAGAGACTCAATTCTTACCATTGGCTTTAATTCGGTAATAAAAATTTATGGAGAATAATGAGACTTCAAAAATATTTCTTAACTTAATTCTTAAAGTAAAATAAAACTACGTTGAGAACGAAATGGAGCGTATTAAAATTATTGAAAATCAATTGATAAAACTAAAGCAATTGACTAAAGTTCAGTAATAAAGAAGCTAAAGAAAAGAAAATTCCTCATCAAGACGTTTTAAGAAAGCAAACCAGGCAAATTACCATTTTATTTCTATTCTTTTTCAGTGTTAAATATTTTATAACTTCGTTATTAGCTCTAGATTTTTTTAATAGGTATGAGGTGACCCATGGGCGTGATTTTCAATCGCTGGAGTGGGAATTATTGATAAAAATATTAGCGAAACTAGGAATTTGCCACGTGGTATCAATCCATTTTCGCATGACAAATCTTTTTGTGAGAGCCCACCATAGCTCAAAATTCTACTTGATGCGGGATTTGAACTCACGACTTGTCGTTTACTAAACTGGCATTTAGCCGACACAGCCACTACTTCATCATTACCATTGAATATTATATTTCAATTGGCGAATGATAAATAAACCATCAATTAACTCGGTATAATTAGTAGTTGAATAAGAATAATAATTTATCAATGAATGTAATGTCAAAATAAAATATTGGGCCTGATGAAAAATCCCTACTTTATGCAACGAAGATCGAGTTGAATTTTTAAAAATCAATTCAATCAATTTAATTGGAGGAACACATGGGCCACCTCAAAAAAAAATGGTGGCAGCGTTTATATTGATTGTTAGGGCGGGGTGCTATTAATTCCGTATTTTGCGAAATTCAATGCAAAGTTTTGTCTCTTGAATCAGAGCATTTAGTCATTTCAGCTTTGATGGATCATTTGTTTGACATTTTAATTGGTCGTTTTTAGAAAAGGATTTTTTGGATCATGGAACGACTTACTCGGTGGCTTTGGCAAAGGGCATTCCAATGAAGGTAGGGCTCAGTGTCTCGGTGTACATCTCCATTCCGGTGCCACGGAGGTAGTCATTCTGCCATGCCTGTATATCGAGCGACTGGTTCCAATCAACCAACCATCTCTTAATTACACGCGCGCCTACATATATGCATGTAGAGGTGTGTGTGTTGTCTCTATTTTTATTTCTTTTTTAGTGTCCACAGTGAAGCGATTTTTACGTTCCATATTTGAATTCGCGGGGCATTTTTTCTTTATTTTTTTTTTCATTCAATTTTATTGTGTCCAGTTGAACAGAAACTGAAATACGGAGCGAGTGACGAGTGTATGAGTTTAATTTTTGCTTCACGATTTGCGTTAAATCTTTCATTGTGGACTCTTTCTAAACGAGAATATATCAATGGTTGTAAGTCAAAATTTACGAATGTAAATGATTTGAGTTTATTTTTCCATCTTTTCTCGGATTGAGGAGAGACTCAAATTCGACGTCACGACGTTCACACATGCACAGATGAATTTAAGGCGATTTATATTTTCCAGAGGACGATTTTACTGACCGTCTTGAAGGATCTCATGGCGAACAAGTTTGCCATCATCGTGCTGAATCCTGGGGCCAGGCAGGATTGAGCGATGAAGCCGAGTTTCAGCTCAGCGAGGCATATCACGTCGTCTCCTTGTTTCCAGTCCCATGATGGAATGTTTAATAAATAGGCCTGGGGATAAGAAAAGAGAAAAAATTCAATTGATTGTTCATCAATCGATTCTAAGGGAAGGAAATCAGATCACGAGAACTTAAAGTGAAGAATAACGATAAATCTTGCTGTTGAGGCTGCGATGAAGAAATAAATTTTAGTTCTGCAATTTTTTCGTCTTTGAGGGCTTCATGATCACGTATGATGTAATCACATATGAAATCAATCACTGGTTGAGCGAAACATGAATGGATTATTGACTGTATTTCAATTTTAATAACTCACCTTATTGTGATATTGCATTAACTGAATGATAACGCGTATGTCATCCGAATAATTTTTAATGGAGATCACACGCATAATGTTTGCCGCATCCTCAGCGTCCGGATCTTGACAGTACTTGTTAGCAAGTACCAGACACGCGTCTGCCTCGTGGACCTATAAAATCCCAGACATTAAGCCTCAAACTCGCCTCCTCCAAACCCCCTTACTTCAATTTGTCGTAAAATTAATTTTTAACGTGTGACCAATAAAAAAAATTGTCGAAAAAGTATCTTAACGAGAGTTCAAGTGCGTTAAAGGAATCTAAACTCGATGAATCGATGCTCAAGACCTTTATTACAGAATAGTATGTTTACACATTCGGGATAAATAATTGAAAATAAAACGATGCGACAAGTTTTCCCTTTTTATCCTATTTTTTTATGGTTTTGTTAATGAAAAGTTGTTTGAATCATAAAAAATTGTTGGCACTGTTTACCCTCCGAGGAAATGACAAATAATTTAGTGACATGGGGAACATTGAAAGTAGTCGAAACTGTTATTGGGCATACGAAGGCGTTTATTAACTTGCGGCTGAGTGGTGAACGTTAAATCAATGATAAACTATGTTTATTTGTTGTAAAATGTATTGAGTGATGTTTGTTATATTGTAGAGGGCGCACATATGCTTGTGAGCTACCTACACAATCGGAAACGCCATAACGCTTGTAACAACGTCATTGAAGCGCGCAGAAGCGCCATTAAACAGCATGCGAGAACACTACTTGGTTAGAGGTATAATTAATCATTAATGGACAACGTCGCAGGCGTGGATGTCACGCAGAGGTAGAATACGTAATTGACCGGGAAATGCATCCAGAGAGTTTTTTCAGTTAATCGATCAATTAATCAATCAAACTTGAGAAATTATTGGGAATTCTGGCGCTTGAAATGCAAGATCGCGGATTGAGATAAATCCACTTTCACTTCGGATCCTCGTTTCTCATAAAATCATAAATTTAGCGATCGATAATACGAAATCCGCTCTACTGACGTTGAAATTTGTTACGTACGTTAAAATTCTCTGAATGCTAGGGTAGATGAAAATTCAGGAATATGGGAATTGGATTTAGGAAAACAGGAATTTCTGAGAAATTCATGTTTCACTAAAATTACGAAAATAGATGAGGGAATAACGATGAGCCCATATACCTCCTATGTGTACATCATGTAGACATGAATGTCACTCGATTGGGTGCGTCTCTATGCTAGTCACTACATCACTAATTGATATTCTATTACAACAGGCTTGATAACAAAAATATAGTCACTAATAATTTATCGTAAAAATGATAGATCAAAGAAGAAAACATATGTGAGAGGCACGAGCACTTACCCACCTGGGTCGACAGCAGGCATTGGGTCTCTATCCGTAGGAGTAACATATATGTAAACCTTTTGAAGGGATGTTTTTCTTTCGTTTATATTTTCCAATTGGAATAATTTTTTTTCCTCTAATTTTTAAATTTCCATGTTTGTGTACACATTCAATGAAAAGGAGAGAAGTATCGGGCCTTTTTGATAGACTAAAGCGCGTTTCTTGTGAAGGATGAAGTGAAATTATAGGCGAGTCCATTATCGTTTTGAGTATGACTTGAAATGTTCAGTTTTTCAAATAATTTCAACATTATGAAAATTATAAAATCTACTTCAACACTTTTCGCTATTGTTAAGCTAGATGGAAATCTAGTGACTTTTACGGAGAATATTATCTGACATTCTTTACGACTTTATTTCTCGCCTATAGATCATCTCAATCGAGCCTATCACCCATAATGTAAATATCTGGATGATGAGCGTAAATGGGACTGATGAGTAATTTTTTATCTCAATTGATAAAAATATATTTCAAGAACTGACTGGGACACACTAAGGATTTTTATGTACGTAAATGAGTGTGCAGCACGTCAACGACTAAACGACTCACGATATGCAAAGGTTTATCTTTAATCATCCTGATGGGCTTCTGACATGGGTCTGAACATACAGGCAAACAACCATGCCCCGATAAAACTTCGTAGCAAAAAGAAAAATCATCCCATTATGCCTATCGCGATTATATTTCTCATTCAATCGTCAATCACGTTTCCATCACGAAAGCCCATTTGTCCTCGCGGGATTATTACATCATAATAATCTAAAACTTCCATAAACCCGATTCAAAGAAAAAATGACTTCCCTCCGCAATCGATATGCTACATCGAAACCCGTGAAAAAAGTCATAATACTAAAATAAAAGTAGACCATTCGTCTTTGAGACTATCCATCACCGATTTCGCGGTCATAAAATATCTATGAGTTGAAATACCTTCGCGATGAGTGCGAGGAAGTTTGCAAACGGAGGTACATTTGTCTGATGTGCGAGAATAAAGGATAAGGCACAGAGAAAGACAGTGAGACAAGTATTGTAAGTACTTTCACACATTCGACGAGAGAGACTGATGTTGGTAGAGCACAGAAGGATCGTGGGAATGTATTGAAAAATTTTATTTGAAACCAAGGTGATTATATCCGCGCAAACTCGATTTCAACTGGATTCTTGCATCAGCAAAAGGATATTTAATTACGTTAAATAACTTCAATACCTAATTCAACAAATGTGGATAATATACTCAAGCCAAATAAAATTTTTCTCTCTGCTGTACATAGAGGTAATTAGGTCAAAGATAGACGTGAGGCGTGTGCGAATCATCCGATTAATTTAGCCAAATAGATAAATATTATTTTAGTAGTTGTTGTTATTATTTGTCACTGGGTTATTACTTGAGCTGTTATTTATTATTTTGTTCATTGTTTTTTATTTGTTTTCTTTTTTTTTTGCTATCAGTGTTGACTCACCTTGACCCGTTGTAGATCAATGGGATTCATGATGGTGCCCTGAAAGAACTCGACGGTTGTGAAGTGGCGCTTGAACAGTCCCTCCAGCTCGAGATCTGGTGGTTTCCTGTTTGATTCGATACATCACGATTTATGTATTTTTGATGTTACAATTATTCATTCACATCATTCACTCCCACGTTCATTGTCCTTGTCACGACAAATGATTTGAAATATAGTAAAATACTAACAGATGTGTAAAAAAATCATTCTAAACGAATAAATTCATCTCCACTGGTGTCTTCATCCTCGGCCATGACTCCGTGCTGTCGAAATGAATTTTAACATACACATAAAAATATAGTTTAACGCCTAAATAATTTCTACGTGAAAAACTGCCTCTCGTTCTGGAACAAACCCATAGCTCAAATAACCAGCATAACTCATGCAGAGCCGCGCAGGCGCTTGCTTTTTCTACGTGTTTTGTATTGAATAATCGAGTGTTAACGGTGTCTTTTAATTAACCTCAGCTGTATCAATTTATTGAGTGTATTGATTAATACCAGCCGTGTGTATGGCTGCTAAGATTTTCATACCATTTTCATGAGCATCCAGAGAATGGAGAAGAAATAGTGGAGGTTCATTAAAATTCAATGAAAGACTTCGTCCACTCGTCACAGTATAGATATAAGTTGGTGTAATTCTCAAATATAATGAGGGCAAAAGTCGCTGAATGTACGGGGAGAAAAAATATATTTAAAAAATTCTCTCTCTCAACTCATAATCATTCAAAACCTTCAGTGGAGAAGAGAAAATGAGAAGAAATTCGTTGAGAAGCTCCAAGAAAATTTGCATGAGATTTTTCTCAGGGGATTTTTCTGTCAATAGCTCATCGAATGTGACTATTTTTTAGTTGATAATATCATGATAATCGGGCGGACAATATTGAATTGTTAATCCTCCGAGATTAGTTCAAGAATGGATTATTCATGAGGAAAGATATCTGTAGCCTTGTGGGCTCAGTGCAAGTCTTGTGTACGAGAGATTGTGAGTTGAAATCCCGGTTGGGGCAGAGTTTCAATCCATCGCTTTGAAAAGCAAAAGATTGATAATAGAGGAAAAGACCTGCCCTGTTCCCCTACAATATATGATTCGTTAATTCCCGAAGATTGAGAGTAAAGATTTACTGTGATTCCTTATTGAGTTCCGATTGTAATTACTAATAATTTGAGTATCAATTTTTTAATAATAAATAGTGCGACCAACCGGAGGAGAATCGATCCATCAAGTTGTCCCAGAGTAATCCCTAATATCTCCTATAACCAAAATATGGAAACGCTCCGTAATGAAATAATATTGTAGACAATAATTTTGATCTTTGAAATCACTGGGATTTTTGAGTTCTACAAGTGTGGAACATTGGTGTGTTGTTGGGAGGATACCTTGACACGCTCTAGATCCACAGCATTCATCATGGTTCCCTGAAAAAACTCCACGGTGGTGTAATGCCTCTTCAGGAGACCCTCCAATTCAAGATCCGGTTCTTTTCTGTAAGCACAGGGGAGTCCTTATGCACAGGCCAATCAGACGACGATTGTCCAACATTTTCTTTCAATAAATAAATATTAAAATTCGTTGCACCAATGAACCTCCATCGTCTTATTGACCTGACAGAAATATCCGCACTTGGAAAGGATACTTACCAGGGGGCTAAATATATTGAGACATTTTTATGTTTAGTGTGACATTAATTTTTCGATATTAATTGTTTATTTCTTACGAATCAAACAATTACTCATCGTTTCTACAAACAGACAGTTTCATACTTACGCCTTTGTCATATTTTTTCGGTGAACATAGAGGAATTAAAGTGATAAATGTGCTTTGTTAAATGATTTTTCATACCTGTGCAAGAAGACCACTTCGACGTCGACGTCCTCACGATCCTCGTGCAAAAAATCCTTGAGGAAGTGGGAAACTGACTCGTAGGTGATGTGACCGCAAACAACAATGTGTCTGCCAACACAAGTAACTTGTTAATTCAATCACATATCGGGTGGATTTTTATTGTTAATCATTTGGTATTTGTGAAGTTTTACAAGCGGACTACGACGAGGTGCTACAGGAAACTACAGGCTAGCAATTGCTAATAGGTATTTCGAATAATTGGGGTTTAATCCCTTCTGAATTTTTGTTATTCGTTACGGAGATTTTTTTTTTGGGAGCCAGATGTGAGTGGAAAGCGACAGATATTGTTAATTTTGTGATGCCGTAGAGGATAAAGTGGAAATTTTGAATTTTACACCATCTTTAGTCTGCTGCCAATAAAGTTATTCGAATTTCCGATGCTTGAAGTGATTTGTTTTAATTGAGTTAAGCCAAATGTAAAAATTATTCAATTGTGATAAACAATTTTTTCCCCAAATAACAATCAAACGGTTTACTCAGTTGAAATAAAAATCTAGTTCTACCGAATTGCGTGAGGGAAAAAAAAATTTAACCATTTACTCGATTCAAATAAATCCTTTTTCTGTATGCAATTTCGTTGGAGCCCGATTGGTCTGATTGATCCGAATGTTATCCTCACTCATTTCCCGAGTTACCAATTTACAGCGTTTTACAAGTGGACGTGTCAATAACAAAACCGAAGAGAAAAAATCGCTCAAAAAATCCCCAACATTTTGATTTTCAATACAGGGGATTAAATAATCATGAAATTGACTACAACTTACCAGGACATAGCGATAGGAATTGAAGGTAATGAGATGTTATCTGATTCTAAATGTATGAAATTTGTTTATACAAAAACTATGATACCTATATTACAATTTAAATACTATAGAATTGTTATTCAGACTTGTGTTCGTGTTTTAGCTGTATAACGACGTTCCTCATAAATTCGGCAATAAAAATTCTGCTCAAACCGTGTAGTTGGGATTTATATCAATTCATTAAACGCCGTTCATTCGTTGCAAGTGCAGGCACTTAAAAATTGTGTTATCGTATTCAATTGCAAAAATTGTTTTCAAGCATCAAATGATCAGCTATAATGTAAGACTAGTATCTACGTATGTGTGTCTTTCTCTGTGCGTGTTTAAATATTCATCGAGAGTTTGTATTTATTTTTGTTCTTGTGGGATTGGGATTTTCAGAAATAATAAAAATATGGAATACAAGGAACATAGCAGGTGAAAAAATGCCATCAGACTGTGTAGCCATTCCGTGCTGCGTTTATTGCACAATATTAGCTGTACCTATTGGCACCCCATTATCTTTACGAATTTAAGAATTAAATACATTAAAATAAATGAAAATGGAATTTTCTGCTTTCAAATAGTAGAATCTCTCGGAATTTTTTCTATTGGAATTTCTGGGTGAGGGGTGTCCATAGGCTCAGCAGGGAATAATAAAAGTAATTCAATAGGAGATGTGAGGTAATGGAAATAATTATATGGGTATGGTCCGGGTCCGGGTAAATGTGTATCGAAAAGGACGAAAAAAGGAAAAAGAGAAGTTTGTCATTATGAATTCAGTAGGCTACTCTGTTAGCTTGTCACTTCGCCAAACATTACGAACGTGACATGAAAAACCAAAGGAACTCCAAAATTATCTTCTAGAATTCGTTGTTTTATGGAGTGCACCGTGTCCTGTATCTGTTTAATTCATGGTTTTTGTGAATGGAAAATTCCATGAAATAAAAGTCAGGAGACACTGGCCTGGATAAAGTAACAGGGTGAGAACTAGTGAATTCATTTGGAACAACGGGACAAACTTTTCACGGGAAATCGATGGTGCATATTGTGGTCCTCTGTTTCGTGTACAGTTTGTATATTTGTGGACAATTTTATCTGCTGAGATTGTGAGGTTTTTCGTGTTTGTGTTTAGTTTTGCAGTTTGTGTTCTCGAGGGTTGGGTGATTAATATCGTGACATCTGTGTGGAGAATAAGAATTATGGTTGGGGCAACTGAAGGCAGTGGACGTGACAAAACGTAACTGGAGAGCTGGATAGATATTCCAAAATCTTCAATTTCTCATGACCAAATGATGAAGTTTTAAAAATTTTCTGGCGTTCTAAATCTCAAATAAAGACAATGAAATGATATTTACAGGAAAATTTTTGAAATTCAATCTGTCGATCTCGAGATATTGACAATCAATAAACCCCTCAGGGGAAAATATCAAAAATTTTTTGTTCATTCAATGGAATATGGAAAATCGATTGACTCTGGTACGTTTTGAAACTCCACTATAGAATACATTCAATACGTGTCATGGAATGTGATTTGTTTTTCACAAAATGTACAGCATTTAATATCCCGGAAAGCGAGGGACGAATCCCGACGCGAGTTGTTGCACCCTTTGTTTTGGCAAAAATAAAAAAAAATGAACTGTACAAAACTGAAATTACTCCATTTGTGTGTGATTGATAGTAACCAGAAATAAAAATACTTCGTGATGAGATGCCATTAATTTGTGATAATTATTAAACTGTGATCCGTGTTTCAGTGTTCACAAAAATGTGCATAACCCGTGATTTATTTAATGGTGATCAATCATTGATTTCCGTTGGATTTGCTTGAGAAACGATAATTGGCGAATTTTATGACGAGCTCCATGTCCTAAATTTCACATCGACCCTCACACGACCTGAACTACAAACGATTACAGGACAATATCGCTGAACCTACCACACTTTTTCATCAACAATGTTTTTATCATTGTTTTATTAATACAATTTTGTTGATAAAGTTAATACGGACTCGCAAAAACGATTAATATCAATGCTGACTAAAACATCAAGGAATGTATTAACACTGAACTCTTATAACAACAGTGGGAAAGTACCTCAATATTTTTTTCTGTAGTCAGAGAAATACAGATAGTGCATTTAATGCTGGGGGAATGCAGAGGTGGCATGCTGGAGTATAAAAATGACCCTTTCAACTGTTTTTTTTTTAAAACTGGGTGTAAATACGGCTTAATAGTTTTATATTCAGAGTTGAACAACTTTTTTTTCACTTCACCGTCCATTCGATAATGCCCAGAGGGCGGTCTGACCAAACACTCAACTCCACTACTTGTTATCACAAAACAGAAAAGAGGTGATTCTGATTTTATGCCGAAATGTTAAGTATTTAATTTGAAATTGTAAACGGAATTATAATGCGTCATATAAAATTTAATAAAACGGGAATTAAGAAAATTTGAGGATTTTTCTGCGAGAAAGAAAAGGAAACGAACAATTACCCGTTCCACATTTCGCGGTTGTGGACGGGAGCAAACGAATCCCTACATTTCTCTCCGAACGAGCGAAAAAAAGAAAATAGAAGAGAAATAAGTAGAAAAAAAACACCGGAGAATGAATGCTCGAATCTCTGTTTCTCGGTTAAGTTCCATAATTTCTCTTTTTCTCTCACTCCGATTCTGAACAAAAAGATCTCGCCATGGATTTTTAAAATAACTATTCATTTGATGATAGAATATGATATATTTTTTTTATTCAATGTTCCTTCAAAAGAAGCGTCTCGACACTGAGGAAGACTTAATAAACAGAAATGTGACCCGTTTTATCACTTCATTAGTGAATTCCATTTCTCGATGCTTCAAAGTGAAGTTCCCTCAAACTTTCTCACAGCAAAATGAATCAAGCTCTAATGACCCGCAGAATTAAATTTAATGAGTTGGATTCGCTGAGCTCGAGGCTCAACCCAGAGAAACAAGTCGAAGACTCTTTAACTTTATTCAATAACTTTAAAAAGAAATTTATGAAAAACAAGTTGATTGTAACGATTAGGACATGATCGTTCAGTAGTAAAGCCGTATTTGTCCCAAGTGCGGTCAGTGTGAACAAACAAGCTAACACCAGTTGCTGAGGATGTCGTAGTTCTGGGTGGTGATGAGGTTTTGGGACAAGTACATGAATTATTTCAGGACCAACTGTGAATAGACTGGGACAAGGATAGTGAGCTTTTCAAACTCACGGGATGAGATAAAGCGGAGGATGAGAGGTCATTGGGGATGTGGAATGGGACTGATGCCAAAACCTCAAACTAAACTGTCCCAACTTTCTGGTGAGGGATGGCAACGAAGAAAAATTGATGTGCACTTGGAAATTTTTAGTGTACTTTCTCCAACTCTACCACTCCTCACTCACTAACATTTTATATTTAAAGGCACTTGTGATATTCGTGGAGCTGAACACAGAAATAAGTGGGAGCAACATTATCTCACAATGAGGATTGGCAGGAGAAAATTATTAAATTTTACAATGAGTTTTGTTTCTAAATTAAATTTCTAGTGAAATAACGTTTTAACACTTTTTAACTGACGACGAAAAAAGGCGATTTATAATTTTTAATAATTTTCTCCTTCCACTGAGGACTTTTACTACAGGTGAATCAGGGATTAACGAAACATTAGGATATTTCAACAGGATAAGTGTTAACACTCGAAAGAAATTTTAATTTCAATTCGTTTTATCTTGTGGGAAGCTATTTTTTTTTCTTTGTTTTTTTTTTTAATTGTGTCTCACCTGCGACCTCGCTCGTTCTTCAAAGTGCCGCCGTACTTGTTTCGCGTCCCGATCAGGTCAATTATCTCGGGGATACAACTGGCGAATATGGCCTACACCACGTGATAGAACAGAACACAACACTCGCATCAATATATACATTTCATCAGGGTGATTTGTTCGTTGATTTGAAAAAAATCTCTTTTCATTGTCAATCAGTCAGTCATCGATGAAGTCCGTCGAGTCGCGGTCGAGCGCCGCCAATTGATTTTTATCTTTTCGTCTGAATTTTTTTAAATATATTCAACAACAGGTGGATAAAATCGTATGGGGTATTACAATAACAGGTCTGACAGAGACAGGGTGGGTGGTTACAGGTTCAATATCTCAACGATTTAAAAAAATATTATAAATAAATGTGCTTTATCTCACTACCTGGGGTGAGGGGGTGGGAAAATATAGACGAAGCATAGAGACACGAATGAACAGTGCTGTATAATCTATGCTCGCCGTTACCACGATTATAGATAATTAATTATTTCATTTTGGATGTAATTTAATGAACTTTGCAATGTGAATTTTTTTTTAGATTTTACCTACCCATACACCTATTGCCTACACATACCCCTAGCATTAATAAACTACTGTGCCGACACGTTCTACCTATCCACAGATAATAATTTATATAAAAAACTTCAGAACATTACAAAATTGTCTTCTCTACGCTCGCTTGCTAAATTTTCTTCCATTATCTGCGGTTAGCAAATTCCTCTATATTGATAAATATCAGAAAAAAGTAATGAGAGTGGTAAAAATACAAGAGGGGGAGAGTAGAGTAAGATTTTTTTTAAATAAATAATTATTCTGGAGTCTCGTCGTTGTGCGCATCGCTCACGCACTGCTGTCCGGAATTTTATTCAATTTTTTAATGCGCAGAGTGGACTTACCAATTTTCTATTAATTCACTGAAATTATTTTGATTGATTTGAGTTTTAGTGGTACGTCCGCTCTCGCTCACCTGACGCTCACCCTCAAACTCGCGTCGGCATTCGATAAAAATCGATTGAAGAATTTGACACGCGGTGGGTCGATAAAATTTTTTTTTTTTTTCGTCTCAATTGATCACGAGTCACTCGCTCTCACGGGTTTTGGTTTGATCAAATAAATACGACGAGATTCATTCGTTTGGTGCACAAGTGGTCAATAAAATATTTATAACATTTATGAGTTGAAAATCAGGTTGCAGGGGACGGGAATAATAGAGTATTGGTCTTTATTTGAGAAGTGCCAATTACTCGAAGGATAACAGAATTTTTTCTGGAGTTAGAAGAAAATGAATTATTCTGCCCCGAAATTCCGCTATCTCTCTCAGATTTAATTTAATTCACTCTTTCACCACTGAATTTTCATCTCGAGAGATGTTATCAGGAAAAAAATGAATAGAAAATATCATCACGGACAGAAAATAAGAGAGATAACAACTGGGTGAAGAGATGAGTGTTAATGACACGCAGATATGACAGAACATAAATAAAAAAAAAGTGATCAATCAAGTACACATATTATTGGAATAATATATATAAATATTTGATTATGGAATTTAACACTTGATGTTGTTTCTTGGGACATGGGCTAGTGTCATACTACGAAATAGTGTATTCCCCCCGAATCTGTGGTACATCGATATTGATCATGTGAGTTGGTAATGTCCGATATATTACGTGTTCGGTTAGATTTTTAATTTGTGTACTGAAATGTTGTGAATGATGAATTATTTGAGATAAAATATGTCAAAGCCTGAGTGCGTCTACGCGTTTTTCATCAGTTTCTATCAAATCCTCACATTATCTTTATGATATTAGATAAGAAACTTAAGGAAATTAATAGTTGTGACTATAGCTACGCTACCGAAGTGCCTCAGCCAAGAGATTTAACTATTTAATAGCTCGTGTTTGCAGTGAAATGTGAAAATTATCGAGATTAATCCAAATATTCGCATTGGATTTTTCTTCATCGATGAAAAATTTCGTCGTCAATTGTAAATTAAAATGTTCTCCAGTAATTGTAAATTATTCCATGAATCTTTCAATTCTTTATCTTCACATTTCTCAACCTTCACGCTTTCTTATTCTTGTAATAAAAATAATCAGCATCTTTATTGTTATTTACGTTAATTCGTGCGATTATAATTTGCTCTACGTAGCCCCTAAAATAGCTGATTCATCAATGCCTACCACCTGCACCCCTTTCTACTGCCGCAACTACGTGTACACCCTCTTTTGTATTTATTCAATTGAATTCATAAAAAAAACAAATCGATTAAAAACTTAAACAAGATAATTCTAATCTACGTCATAATAATTAAGGCGATTTTTTTCAATAGCGAGATTATTGACGACTGTTCGATTTATTTTGGGTAATCAATACCTGACGGAGGCTTTTAGCGTATTTATTTAGGAATAATTTAATGAGGCATTTTTAATCAACGAAATTAGCTTCATCATTCGGTTTTGATCTATTTAGATCAAAATCTATTTAGTCTCAAAACACTAACGCATGCCGCCAAGAAACTGAATTTTATTGAAGTTTTTATTCATAGTCTTTTTCTCGGGGGAAAATGAAATTAACGAGTTTGAATACCGGAAGAAGAGAAGAGTGAAGCTGAAATAATGCAGGAGAAACAAATTCCGTCGCTTTTCGTAGATTCGTGGAGGCATTTAAACATTGAAGAGTGCTAGAGGTTAATAAAATTCAATTTAGATATTCTGAAAAATTTCCGGGGTAAATTGGAATTTTTAATCAACTACTGGCGACGGTAAGTGAAAGAAAGGCGAAAAGTGTGCTCTGTATAATGTTTCAATTGAAAAAGTGGAATTGCTTTTCTAAACATCGGGATTTGGAATTCCCTCGTTGTTAATCAAATTTATTATATTATTCACAAAAATGAAAAGGAAAAAAAAACAGAAGGAAAATATAAACTTGGATTATAAAAGATAAATAGAGTTAGAGGCATACAAGTGTATAAATTACCATAAGATATAATTCTGCTAAGAGGTGAGAGAAAAGTTGTAAGAAAAAAGCGGTGAGTCAGCGCAGAGATGAGGAAAAGATTTAAAAAGTGGGTAATTTGGTATGAAAAATGGGGAAAAAGAAATTAAGATCAAAAAATCACAATTTTTCGGTTTTCCTTTCACGCCAATTTTCTCATTAATTTGGTCTGAAGTGAGTGTCACCGATAGCAGCCGTGTGACACCAATTCCGAGGACAAAAAAGATGATGTGAATGAAAAAAAAAGAATCCATTTTAATTACGCGAGATGCATTTCCACGATTTAAACGGGCCAACTGTGACACATTGGACTGTGTGAAATTTAACATTTCCCGTTGTCTACATCTGTCCCCCCAGTGGGGTATTACAACAAATACTAGAACTGTCAATTTTCTCTCGGGGGCCATTAACAGTCTGTCTAATACCATCTACGTATTTTCAATACAATTTTTTTTTCATCACCCACATAGAATCCGTTAAAATTTTATTACTCGTAAAAAATCTGGGAACAATTTCTCAATGATTTTTCAACTAAATTGTTTATTGGAAAAATATCTAGGCAAAATGAAAAAAACCTCAACTCCATTGCCAATCGATAGAATCGGATACTGAAGGAAATCATAAAACAATAACAAATGGATGGATTAATCTAGCTTGGCATGGAATACTCTGAATTTCCTCTGTAAAATTAAGATATTAATCTCCAAATAATCAACGAACTAAACCCGATATACAGGGGCTGTCTTTCACGCATTGCTATCCATGCTCACATCTCTCGACCTCTCATCTACGCGTTATAAACTCTACGTTAATCTCAAAAATATTCAGTATAAAAATAATAATTATTTAAGCTTGGATAAATGGATAAAAGGGTTTATCTGATAAATAAAGAAAAGGATGATTTAGTCTGGGTCTATATCTTAGAAGGTTGATTGGAAAAATTTGGTGGAATCACGCTCACGTGAAATTATCATTTGTCATTTTGTTTTTTTTTTCTCATTAATGGGGTACCTGCGTCCACGCTCGCCCTTGTACTTGCCACCGTACTTGCAGCGATTCGCAGCGAGCTCCGTGATTTCTGGGATCCAGCTGGCGAACACCGCCTACACACCCACAATAATGCCGTTGTCTTAAGAACATGAGAAAACCTAGCTCCATAAGTGTTTCTTATACTTTCTGGCTAAATTAAACGTCTGAATATTTCACGATCCCTCAATTAACAGGGGCTCAATCATTAAAATGAATAAAATTATTTACACGAAGCGACCAGCCTCGTGTAACGCAAGGAAGACGTAATAATAATCGATTTCATTGAAATAAATCTCGTAATGAGTAGAGGTGGCTCGCTTAAAATTCACTCGCTCAATATTCGCGAATCATTATTTTTATGAGATTAAAACATCCGCATTTATTCCACAGAATTATTTCTGGTGCTCAGATTTTCGCTTTTATCTGCATTGCGATATTTTCAGCGTTAGTCACACAAATGGATTAGAAAAAAACTGCTGCATCACTTTTTTTTTGAGAATTGGAATTTATTTAATTGATCTGTGGGTCCTCAAGATCGCGTCTCCTTGCAATCTCTTTTAATCTAAAAATCAACGAATGGAAATTAATGACTGCATGGAAAATGAGATATTCCCTCTGTCATTCAACATTCACGTTATTCGAAATATGAGATTGAAAATTGACGGAATATCTTTTTATCGTGCAGCTCATACAATTTGTGAAGGACAATTTATGGGTGTGTGCAGGGTGAATTGCAAATAGTCGTGAGATGGAAAAAAAAAACGTCCAAGGATTTTTGTTTACAGATTGAGGTAGCAGACTAAAGTGGCAAATCGTGCGCCTGAATTCTATTGTATCGTGTCATTGGTTATATGTGTGTGAATTTGCTCGGGGTTAACATCAAGGACGAAGCAACCCTTTTTCTACTTCACAAAACTCCACGAATGCTTTCGCTTAGCAACGCCTTAGCGTTTTGTAAACTCGATTTATCGATTAATCTCTACCTTTTGAAATTTCAATAAAAAATATTGTCAAAGTCCAATTAAATATACTGCGA